CTTCGACCAAAGGGGGGCAAGGGCATGCAGGTTTCTGGTCGCCAGAGAGCGCTTCGTCAGAATATGCGATGTCGAGGCATTCCAAGGTTGTTAGACAATCTGTAATCTCCTTGGCAACTTGATGATGCTTGGTTCCTATGAGACTGTTGAAAGGCTTGGTCTCAGGTCGTCGCCCACGCGTCTTTGCGAATGCTTCATCGGCGAAGGGCTTGTCCTTCGCGGTTTTAGTACGCAAAGACGCTGGATTGAGCTTGACCCGCAATAGCGACTTGAGGAGTTTGTCTGCGTTTCCATTCCGGCGGCCCGTATGCTCGAGATGAGGTGCACTTTTGATGGTAGGAGAGGTTGCACCTTGGACATCCTCCGTGACGTTCAAACGCGTCTTCTTCTTTGATCGACCTTTCGGTTTCGTGATCGACCGACCTGGCTGTAAAGGCTTGTTCTTGGGCGAAGGACCTGTGCGAAGGCGCGGAGCGTCAGTGAGAGTGCGAGGTACTTCAATTAGCTGGCAATACATGTCCTCCTCACCTCTGCTGGTCGCGGCCTTCATATCGACGTCGGCACGATTCCCGACTTCGATCTCTGCTTCTGATTCGCCGGAACTATCATCCTCGTCATCTTCTTCTGACAGACTACCATGGAGATCATCAATGGCGAGATTTTCGTTGATCGCACAATTGACCACCATCTCGATTGTCGAATCCCGAACCTTGCTGCGCGGAATGTCGTCATGAAGCGCCCCCTTGAGATCCATAGCAGCTCGTGCCTGCTCCTCTGCATAGGTGGTTGAGTGGTGTTAGCAAGCCACCCAATGGGTTCCGTCTGGCAAACAGGTTGAATAGCGTACTCATCACAGTGTGATAGGGCCCATTATTCACCAGGAGATCCACTGCCCACAGGTGGGGGCAGCGCTTGCCTGACTGGTCGAAATCTGAGCATTTGCATTTCGGCAAGCGCATGTCCACTATTCTAGGCTCGGAACCATCTCTGCATTTTGCGTAGAGAGCCGCAGGAAATGACGTAAGTCCAGAGCTGAAGACATGTAGTATTGAGCAAGTTGACCGAGAGCAACTAACCCTGCTGAAACCACCCAAGCGTAGCTCTTCTTCGTCTGTTGAAAAACACCCATCTCCCAAATGTCCAGAGCTTTCGCCAGAATTCGCCTGAGATCCGCATTCGGAGTTGCAATCGTTACATCTTTGAGAATGTCGTAAATCAGTGCGCTGTCAAGTAGTATATTGACTAGATTATCGATGCTACCGACAGCGGGATGGTGCGGGCCTCAGCAAGTCTGTTTTACTCATTTTCTACGTGACTCGAGCCAGCTTACCGTTTATTTGCTCGACCTTGGAGATGCTCTTGCTGAATTCGTTTGAAAGCTCGTTCAGTGATGTTGTTTGTATTGATATCATCTCGAGCTACTCCCAATGGTAGACCATCGTCTACAAATGTTTCTGTGGTGAATGCGCAGTCTGGTCACTTGGCTGCCCTTGCATCCCAAATGCAAACTGGCTCTTGCTCTGGGACTGACCAATCCAAGCATCCACGAACCAATTCTGCGTGAAGTAGTCACGAACTTGTAGCTGCAACTTCTTGATCTTTGCCTTCCCAACATCCGTTGTTGACGTTTCATCGGATGAGTGCGACTTAAGGATCCATTCATCGGTTCGGGTTAGAAACGTCTGCGCTCTTGACGCAAATTCCTGACGTCGTCGCACGTTTGCAAGCTCCTCCGTTTCCTGTGGACCCCTGACGAACCGGAAGCGTTGGATGATTGAACGAAAATCACGCAAAATATGGACCAATATGGGCTTTGATACTGGGGACCTGTCGGTCTTGCTCGCATGGGTTGCATCCGTTGACCACCGAGTAATTGCTTGAATCGCATGAAACTGACAAAGTCGAATTTGAAACTCGAGCCCATGCCGCGATGCCCCTGTTGCAGACACAGACCCGTGAGGGGAGATCGAAAAAAATGATAGGTCAGATAAAATAACCCCTGAGACCAATGATCACCGCTTAAGAGGAAAGCGCCTCACATTTTTTGAGGGCGCTCAGTTCGGTCCTGCACTTGTCGATCATCAAGTTGGGCGGTTGCCACTGGTGCTGTACAATATACTGAGCGTTCTCCAGCAGATTGGGCAGGTTACCGGGCAGTTCGCTAACGGAGCCCCGTTGAGCATCTACGCTTCGCGAAAGACATGTCAATGCGCTGTGTCAAGGCCGAAGTATCGACAGACTGACTGCCGAACCTACCTCTGACAATAATGGCGGCCCGTTTTTCGACTAGGTCCTTCACAACGTCCAAATAATGCAGCAACGTCCCTTGCTTGACGTCACTCGAGAGTAGCATAGGCCCTACAGAAAAGAGAATGTGCGAAAACTGATCAGCGCCGAAGGCTGAAGACGCTGAGACTCGCAAGCAGGCACGGGATTGGGCAGGGCCTCCTTCGCGACTAACCCAACGCCATCTGTTCGTTCGTACCCATCGTCGCAAGAATGGTAAGCGGGGCGCGGTTCTCATTCAGATACCGCCAAGACGAATCAATCCCAAGGAATCGCGAACCGTCTTCGGCAACGTTTCCCATGGTGGCAAAGGCGATCAGGATATCGATCGAATGCAAGGATGCGAGTACGCAAATGAGTGACTCGTTGTTCGTGGCGTTAAAAGATTGAAAACTGCGGGACACACGTACGACGTGTAAGCCATGCATTTGCAGATGCAAGCGCGACAATGCGTCGGATGGAGAAGAAAACTCACTAGGCAACTCCGCGAGTCATCGGTTCGGACGCATCGTCCAAGCAGAATTTTCGCAGTTGAGCTGTGCGTGATAGGGCGTATAATGGAGAGGAATGTGTGTACGCCTTCGCAGCCTTGGTCCGGAACATGCTCTTGAGTTGTTTGGCCCAAATGACCCGGTTAGGATGGAGAGTGACTCGGTGGATCTTCTCCCACTTCTTGCAATAGTCGGACATAACTTTCTCGCGTGAATGGACCAAGAACGCGAGTCAGCGGTGAGATCAACAGACAGATACAGGGTTCTGTTGGACATATCATGATTGTGATTCACCTTGGAAAGCAGTGCTTCGGGTGCTGCCACACTGTTGCACTATCTGATGGGCGACAGTTCGCATAACCGCGGCCGGTTTCCTGACCGATTCTAGGGTCCGCCGGCCCTCATGGTCGCCAAGCGTGTAAATCAAGGCGATCGAGAGATTGCTGGCTGGAACCACAATCTTACAAAAGCAGAGTGCAGAGTGCAGGTAACGAAACGGGTCTCAGCGCATGCGCAAAAGCCACGAACCCAAACACAGCAAAGAAAGGATCTCTGACGCTGAAATTTCGGCTAACTCACCTTCAATTGTGAAGAGCATTCGCGCACGATATCTTTGTCCTTCGGTCGCACGTTGTAGTATATCTTCCCATCATCTCCTGTGTAGCGCATGCAGGCGCCCGAGCACTGGTGCGATATGCGAAGCACTTCTTTGCGTGATTCCTTCCAAGTGGATTGCAAATTGTGGCCGATCAGCGGGTGCGATTCGATCATTGTCAGGTGATCCGCCGGATGCTGATGGAAAGAGATCGATGGAGCACCGTGAGATGTTTCTTCTACGGCGAGACAACGTTCGTATTTGCAGGCTGTCCATTCGTGCTCCTGTTCCGGTTGGTTTCGCCAATGAAGGATAGGAGGATCGGTGAGGAAGAATTGTGTCAGTTTTGCTTCCTAATCAGCAACTTCAACTAGCCATCAATGACTGCTTATGCTTGAACCAGTATCGACATACTTCGGTGGCCATGTACAAAGGAAGCTTGAGAATTGGTATGGTGTCCTTGAGCGTCCATTCATCTGCTTTCCTTCGGTTGCCAAGAATCAGCGGCCATTGCCCGTAGTCGGCTTTCTCTTCCGCCGACCAGAGACGGTTCGACGACATGATCGCTTGACGTTTAGCTTGCATTGTGGCATACTCCAGCTGTAGATGGTTGGGTGCACAATCTTCGAGGAGGTTGACGACTTGGCGCAGTCGATCCATGGCTTCTTCGCCGCCATCGGAGGAGCTGGCTTCGGAGTCGTCGACGGCGGGGTCTGAGTCGGCGTTCCAGTCGACATCGTCGGAGCAGCCCTCAGGAGTCATTGAGGTTTGATTGGATTGCGTCACTGAAGGAGATTGGTCAATGATATTGGGTTCCCGCTGGCCCAAGTCTTTCTTCTGGGTAGACGTAGTCGAGGACATGTGGGAGGTGCCACGTGCAGGTGGGCTGGTCATGTCGATTGGTCGGGTCCCAATGCGGGGTCGGTCACCCTTGTTCTGCAGCGTTGCATTCATCTGCTGACTGGACATGACGTATGCGAAACGAGTTTTAGAACCAAGGCGAGTATCGGTCGATGGCAACGGATGGCAGGAACTGGCGTGGCACGGTGAACATGAGTCGAAAGTAGAAGTAGGCGTTTGGCGCGACGCGACGCGTCAAGCAGGCTACGTGCACCCAGACAAAATTGAGCAAGGTCGCTGGCGGCGATGCGCGGCTGTGCAATGGATGCAGGGCCTACTTTGCTTGGGCAGTGACACGCATGATCGGATCACTTGACCCGTTGTAGTACCCAGCAAAAGAAAGAGTGAATATTTCGATGCCTGGGGGGGAGAGCCGGGGGTAGGGGCACGATTTCCAACTACATGAGGTCCTGGTGAGAGTGCTTCTTACTGAAGGTGGACGTACTTGGTGATCATGTAAAAGGGCTCGTCAAGTTTCAGGGTGATACATGGCATACTACACGAGATACAGCGGATTGCCCAGCTAATTGGTAGATGCACCATCCTTAATTGATAAACGCACCTTTTTTCGGGAGCAAACGCACCAACTTGCGCGAGGAATGCACCATTTGTAAGTGAACTTTGCACCTTACTACCGGGGTAGATGGGTCAAGCTTCGGGGGTAAACGCGCGCGCGTAATTGGTAAATGCACCATTTACTCGCGGCATTATGTATGGATGCTTCTTTTTTAGGCTGTTGCTCCCTCCGCGGCAGCAGCAGCAGCTTTCTTCGCCTCCTCGGCCCGTTTCAGCCTCCTTTCCTCGGCCTGCCGCTTGAGCATCTCGACCTTGGACTCGTCATTCCTCTTTTGCACCTTTTGTACCTTGGACTTGTGCGCTTCCTCCTCTTCGATCTTGCGCTTGCGTTCGACCTCGAGCATCTGCCGCTCCAACTCGCGCGACTGTCGTTCGCGAGCTTGCCGAGCTCGTTCGGCCGGGGAGAGACCTTGTCCAATTAGAGAAGCTGTAGACGATGAAGAATATCTCGAGTCGTCCTTGTCGCTGGTCTTGCGTTGGGATATGGGCACGCTGAATCCCGCATCAGCGTCGGACTTGGGTTTGCGAACGAGGTTGAGACCTCCTCCGAGCAATTGTCGTTTGTCGATGATCTCGCCATCATCGTTGACCTCGATGCGTCGACCCGTCTGAGCCGATACCTCGGCCGCGAGTTCAGCTTCGGTCTTTTCTTTCGGTGGTGGGGCGACGCTGAACGAGGTTCTGGGGGTGCCTTCGGCGGGTTTGGCGAGCGTGGCGGCGACGGCGGCTTCGTGTTCTTTCGAACTGGCGTCGAGGTATGACTTGTAGAACGATGTCATGCCACCGGATTTACCAGCCTCTAACTCTTTAAATTTGAACACGAAAGACACCCGTCAGCCATGGTATGCTGCGGACGGCCGAAGCGCCCATGAATTGTGGTGATGGACGGACCTTCTCGTTTCTTCTCCTCCTCCTCGACCTTTCTTAGCTCCTCTTGCTGAGCAAGGTACGCCGGTGTGACAAAAGCGTCCTTGTCCGCGAATTCCTCGCCCTCGCGTTCGCGTTCACGTTGTACCATCTTGTCCTCGGCGCGCAGTCGATCCTGCTTTCGCAGCTCGGCCGTCTCGAGCAGTCGACCGATGTATTTCGGCTGTAGACCATCAGATCATCGGGTTAGAAAGTGCTATCATCAAGATCCGCGCCCAATGCATGACCCACCTTTCTCTCGGCCGATTCCTTCTTCTTGTCCAACAGCGCGACCTTGCTCGCCTCCTTCATCTGATCAAACACCTCGTCGTACTCGAAAACGGTCGCGTCCAACGCGAGCTGTTCTTCCTGTTTTTGCTTTTGCGCTCGACTCAGCTTGGTGTTCGCAGGGGGTTGGGCGACCATCGGTCGACCGGCGGTCGCTTTGGAAGTTGAAGCGATCGGGGTCGTAGCCTCGTCAGAGTCATCAGAGTCGTCTTGCCCTAGTGCGGAGCTTCCGAATGCATTCTTCTTCTTAGGAAGAGGTTTGGAACCTAGAGAAGGCTTCTTGGTTGCACCACCTTTGTTGAGACCAAAGGATAGCTTGACGGGAGCAGACATCGTGACGGTCGAGTCAGCTGGGAGAGAGGACCAAGTGGAGCGCCAGGGCTCGTGAGGCAACCCAAGCTGAGAAGCGGACTGGAGCCGAGGATCGATAGGTTGTAAGGTATACTTCTGAAACAGCTATGTTCAAGGGACTCGCAAAGCGCCAGAACCTAATTGGGACACAATTCTGATCGTCTATCGCTCTGCAATCGACGGAAATGCAGGCTCTGGCTTCTGATCGTGAATGGCTCGCCGCAAACTCCCCCCTCACAAATGGCCATCGGCCTCGGCACAGAATGCGTTATAAACCTCCTGTATCAATTCATTGCTGAACAAGTGGATCCCTGCTGATCGAGTACGTCAAATGAAAACTGCGAATCGGAACCCGATGATGGATGAGGCAATCATGCCGCTCTCCATCTGCAAACCCGTCGCTTATCAATAAGCCTTCCCTCGACCCGACAACGACCCTTTTCTGAACGTTCCATGAACCGTTTACGAACGGGGCTTCTCCTTCTTTTCCTTCCTGTAGACATGAAAAACATGCGGATGGGGAGCAGAGTCAGCTTTGGCCGCTATGCGCCGGACCGAAGCCGAATTCGCGCAGGAGACTGACCAGAGCGCGAGGAGACCAACACCCGACACCTTGACAACCTTGAATCGAACACCGGGGATATCTCCCTTAGCCTTGCCTTTCCTGCCGAAGCCTGAAATCAAGACTTCTAATAGACCGCAAACAGGATTGTAGAACGTTGCGGCATCGAGAAAGGAGTCAGCGAACGTTCGATGACCCAAGAGCGAGAGCGAGCGAGATGGGGGATCGCACGAGCGCCGGAGCGACGTGTGCGCACAAGCGATGAACTAACCGTCGTTCTCATCGGTGAAGTTCAAGCAACCATCGTTGGGGACGAAAGCGGTGACCTTCTTGCCGTTCTTGATCAATTGCACTCGAACGCACTTTCGGATGGCGGAGTTGGGCTGCTTGGCCTCGACGCCGACCTTCTCGAGCACGATACCCTTGGCGTGGGACGCTCCACCAGTCGGGGACGAACGGTAAGCCGTACCGAGGGCACGCTTCTTGTAGTTGTTATCGGCCTGTCAAGTCAGAAGGAAACGTTCGTGGACTTGTCAGCGTAGGCTCTCTGGTCGGCGTCACGCCGCGATGTGTGCTGCTCCACTTCTGCCCTCGCCAAGATCGTCTGGGTCCTTCCTATGTCCAATTGAGCTTTGCCTTCCAATAGCTCGTAACCGACACCTTTCCTCCACAACTCGAGCCCGATGCGCAACGGAGCGAGTATCAAAGCCCAGCCTTGGTGTAGGCGCGCCCGCTCCGCTGCCCGGCCGGCCCAGGCCCTGCCCGCCACTCTCACATGCCACTTCGCGAGATCTCCAGAGACGCAGGTTTCGGCCGATGACACATGACGATCGAACGATGGCGAGGATGTGGCGCAGGAAGCTACGGGCGCAAGGCGGAGAGGAGGTAGGGACGTAGGCAAATCAAAGTCGTCAACGCACCCATCGGTTCTCACGACGCGAGTTGCGCAACTTGCGGCCAGCCAACAATCCACGAGGTTTGCACGATCCTGTACACCGCGGTGGATCACCGAATGGTCAGTTACATCGATCGGAGGTAGTTTCAGGTCGCGGAATGGTGTGCCGATGGTCGGGTGACGTCCGTAGACGGGCGGCGGCGCCGGGGCTTTTTGGCTGGGGCGGCGGGGTCGGGGCTGCGATGGCGCAGCAAGGCCCAAGACGCAGGCAGGCAAGCCACGCCGCAGGACGGGACCGCGGAAGGGGCGACGACGGTGATGGGCTGGGTCAAATTTCGTCCCCGGGCGTCTACACAGTCCTACGCCGATGTGGACTCCAGGCATAGCAGGACGAGGTCGATTACGTTCGAACGGTCGAGCGTGTAGGACGTGGATGTGGCCGCACTCACCCATTTTGACGACGATGAAGACAAGAGACGAGGAAGAATGCCCTTGCGGCGGCTGCTCTCGTCGAGGCAGCGCTTCGGCGCCGTTCGGCGCCTGCGCGCATAGTATACGACAATCACCGCGCTCGCGCTGGACAAAATTCGGGCCGAAAGTGCAACTCGGTAATATTGGCCCGTCTCGATCACGCCGGCTCCATCTTCGCAGCCGGGGCAGCTCGTCGTTGAGCCGCATCCCACCTACCCACTCCTCTACACAAAGCACCACGAGCAGTCATGGGATCCGGAAAGAAGAACAAGCGTGGTGGAGCTCCCAAAGCCAAAGGAAGGCTCGCAGCAGGTCAGTTTGCCCGTCTACCTAAGCTCCTGAATCGCACCATAATCTCCCCACCAACTGACCTCCCCCGAACCTTACACTTCTCCGCTCTCAGCATTGTCAACGGCGCAGCAGGCCGCAGCACTAAAGGCGCGTCAAGCCCAAGCCGAAGCCAACAAGGAGGAGCTACTCAACAACAAGAAGAACAAGGAGGCCAACAAGCAGGCCAAGAAGAAGCGCCGCGTCGAGAGGCTGCTGAACGAAGTCGCCGAGGAGAAGCGCAAGGGCAAGGAGAGGGCCACCGAACTGCAACAACTGCTCGACGAAGAAGAGATGTCATCCGACGAGGAAGGGTCCAAAGCAGAAGGGACGAAGGAGATCGTCGTCAAGACCGTGGCACCACCGAGGAAACGACGAGGAACCGTGCCGTACAAGCTCGGAGAGAGAATCTTGCTCGTCGGCGAAGGTTCGTCGGTCCCCATCGCTTTTCGGCTCTGCTGGACAATGCACATCGATACTGACAGTAACGCCCGTATACAGGTAACTTTTCCTTTGCTCATGCTCTGCTCCTGGCCCAGCCCCCGATCGTCACCCCCCAACTCCTGTATGCGACGGCCTACGACTCGCAGCAAACTGCGCAGGAGAAGTACCCCGACCTGATGGAACACGTCAACGCGATCCGCAAGGCCGGCGCTACGGTCCTCTTTGGCGTCGATGCGACGAAGCTGCAGGCATGTAAGGAGCTCAAAGAGCACAAGGGCGCGTGGGATCGGGTCGTCTTCAACTTCCCGCATGTCGGTGCGTCCCTCGACTTCTCGGGAACTTGCGAGCCATCGTTTTTTATTTATTTTCTTTCATCTTACTGACTTACTTTAGCTCGTCGGATATCATGATAGGTCAAGGAATCACTGACCAAGATCGCAACGTCCGAGCAAATCAAACGCTGGTCTTGGGATTTTTCCGCTCTGTCGCGCCATTACTCCGCGTCGGCACCTCCTCCATCGCTGCCGCTGGCGCCAAGAAGGCGCAAACGAACAAAAAGGGAAAGCGAACTCGCCGCGACGATTCCGAGGACGAAGCCCCACCCATCGGGCACGGCGACGACGACTTTGATTCCGACATGGAGGTCGACTCGGCACAACTCGCCGACCCCGCTCTTCGGCCCCTCCCACCCCCACCTACGACGTCGGGGACGGTGCTCGTCACGCTCCGAACGGTCTCGCCGTATTCGCTTTGGTCGGTACAACACCTCGGCACGCGAGGATCGCTCTTGGCGCCGTCGATCTTGCCGAAACCGTTGCCTAAGACGCCCCAGCCTGATTATCTGCTCGTGAGGTCGTTCGAGTTTGACCCCAATGATTGGCAAGGGTACGAGCATCGAAGAACGGTCGGATTCAAGGAGGGCGTCAGTTCGGAAAAGAACGACGACTTGCAATTGACAGCGAGGGAGAGGGGCGAGAAGAGGAGGTGGGAGAAGGAACAGCAAGAGCGGAGGGAGAAGGAGGAGAGGGATGCGAATGCCGAGATCAGGAAAGGGGGCAAGGCGCTGATGAGGACCTGGGAGTTTGAGCTCAAAGACGTCGATGGGCTCTACGACTAAATCACTGCATTTCGATGTTGGCATGGTTGCCATGTTCCTGAAATGCACTTCCTTGTTGCAAGTCTAGTACAACATTTATGACCGGCCTAGCACAGATGGCGAAGTCTGAAGGTATAAACAACAAGAACGGGTTGAACAAACAGAGGCAGAGAGACAGGGACAGGGACAGGGGAAGATAATATGCGATGCACTCCTTTCAAGTTTCGAGGGCATCCAAAGTCCTGAGTACTTCACGCGCCGTCGGTCGATTCTTCTCCTTGGGGCTCGTCATGGACTTGAGAAGCATCCTGATTTCAAGCGGGACCAAGTCGTGGCCATTGAGAAAGTATTGATGCGGTGTGCCATCAACATAAGTCGTCGGTCCAGAAAACGCCATCGTCGGGTTGTCGTCCTCATCTTCGTCCTCGGACGACTCGAAGGCGCCATGGCTCGCATTCGAGGAAAGGTTTTGCAAGTCATCATCGTCGTCCGAGGAGGGGGAACGGGGCGGCAGGGCGAACAGGTTGGAGGGGTGGCTTCTGGGAAGGGCTGATGGAGAGGCCGACGGCGAAGGCGAAGCCAGCACACTCAGACTAGCCGGAGAATCGTAAACAGAAGCGGAGGCGCCCCCGCTCGGGGAGAGGAGCTTCTTCGCCAGTACCGCCAGACCCCAGCTGTTCCTGCCGGACGTACTCGCGACGCTGTGAACGCTACGTTCGCTTTCGATCGAAGCGCTACGTCGGAGGCTCGAAGTCGATCGACCGGACGACAAGTACGATACACAACCGCCGCTCGAGCTGAGCAAGCTCAGATTCGTCCCGCTGTCGGCTCGACTGTGGGTCCCGCTACGGATGCTGCGGATTGAGCTGCGCCGCGAGACACTCGCACTGCCCGTATCGTTGCCACGCTCGCGACGCCGTTGATCCCACTCCCAATACCCGCCACGCCCGACCCACAGCATCCTCTCGACCGTGCGCATGTTGGCAAAAGGTTCGATACCCGTGATGAGCACGCTGAGGGTCACGCCGAGCGAAAAGATGTCGGCTGAGTGACCAAAAGGGGATGGTGCGGGGCGCACGAATTCGGGCGGTGCGTATGGCGGCGTTCCGAGGCCCAGAGGGTCGGTAGGAGCTGGGTGAGTTGACGTCGCGGAGGGCAAAAACAGTGACATTCCGAAATCGGCAAGTCGGATCGAAAGATCTGAAGCGACCTGTGGGCAAGCCAGCACAAGGCTCGTCAGATCAACAGTCATGCGGGGTCTCACTACTAGCAGCGCTGCGAACTCACGAGCACATTCTGTGGCTTGATATCGGCATGCAATACCCCACGTTCATGGGTCCACGCCACAGCTGCGACCAGTTCGGTGGCCCAGGCGAGCCATCGACGTTTGCTCATGCGTTCGGGGAATGCTTTGGCAAAGCCGAGCACATGCCCGAAGGGGCAGTACTCGAGTAGCAACATGATGCGAGGCGTCGGTGGTCGAGTTGGGCCAGGGCCTTCGGATGACATCAAGGTTGAGGCAGTCCCTTGCGTCATATCAGAAGCGTCCGATACGATGCGGTCGACCCCTTCCGATGTGCGCGTACGCCGCCTAGGTTCGGCAGCGGAAGGGGAAGCGTCACCGACGACGACGATTGAATCAGGCGACTTTGTCGAAGGTCGTGGTGCGGGTGGCTCTGATTGACGAGGGTTCTTGGACTTGATTTGTATATCCGAGGCTCCCTGATCATCGACGGTCAAGCTCGCGTAAAGCTCGGGCATGTGGTCCAGGACTGGTGAACCTAATGGAGGTGAAAGACTGGGCCCAGTAAACGAGGATTGTCGATGCAGCGGGTGTTTCCTTCGACGTGGCGAAGTCAAGGTGGGTATAGGAACTGCCTCCGATGAACTGCGGGGTATCAAGTCGGAGTGCGTCGACTGCATACTCGGGGCTTGACCCAGACCGATCGATACCGCCGATGATGGGGACGAGTCTTCGTACCACTTGCGTCTCCTCGCTCCGGCGCTCACCGCCGATCTATCCTCATCGATCAGCTCCACACCGTCACGTTCATCACGAACCCCGAACAGCTTAAGCACATGCGCACTCCCTCTCGCAGCGATCGACTGGGGCGGGATTGGCGTCGTCGGCGGCGGCACCAATTTGGACAAGATGAACGCCTCGCCGAGCCCCGCGATCTGTGACTCGCGATCTGGAAAAATACGCTTGACGGCGCACAGCGTCCAGTGATGCTCGTCATCCTGAGTGACCTCTCTTGGGATGAAACTGCCTAGGAAAACGTTCGCGTGTCGACCCTCGCCGAGGGACTGGTCGCGGAAGGGTGCCATTCGCACGCGAGGCGCCTGGCGCGAGTCGAGCACGGGGTTGTCGCTGATCCCTGGTCCTGGGCCGGCGATGCTGCTCTGCTGTGGGTTCGAGTTCGAAGGTGCAACCAGTGAACGCGAGGCTGGTGGTGTGAGTGGCAAGGGTACTGTTCGGGCGCCGGGCGACTTGGTGCTTGCGATGTCGAGCAAAGTTGGAGCGACGCGGTCACCTGACGAGGTCGAGGCCGAGCGAAAGTGGTTCATCTGGCCGATGCGCAGGTCGTTCAGCTCTGATTTTGCGTAATCATTGTCGTACATGGCAAAGAATTCGCTGTCACGGGGCGGACTAGTTGGAGTCGCCAGTGATGAGGGCGAATGCAGAGGCCCCTGAAGGTGCGATGGTGCGTGGACGAGGCCTGGCCGCTGCAGATTGAGCTCGAGAGGAGGTGCGCCGTTGAGAATCGTGGGCGTTGGTCCGATGAGGTCGCGCGTGACGGGTGCGGTGCCGTTGCTCGTGCTTGTACTGTCGCTACCGGTGGTGGCACTGGTGTGACTGCTAGCGTCCTGGGGGGTCGACTGGAGCAGCTTGAGCCCTCTCCTCCATCCGCCATGCGGTGAGGACGTCGACGCTGACGATGAGCCCGAGACGTTCGGCGCCGGTGCAGACGGCGATGGAGCAACTGCAGAGGCCGGTGGGGTGCCGCCTCGGCTGGCAACATGAGGCGTGACGTTGGACCAATCGAGGGCAAAGAGATCGTTTCGTGAACTTTTGGGCGTGGTCACGATCGGCAGCGGTTGCAGCAGGTCGGACGAGCCGGACAAGGTCGATGAGGTGCCCGGGCTCGTGACCGCACGCTGCTGGTGGTGGTGGTCAGCGGCAGCACGGCGCTGCTCCGAGGGCAACTGATACGACGTTGAGCTCAGCGGAGGCGTTGCCCATGACAAGCGTCGGATCGAGCTGTCCGGTGGTGGCGTATCCGAGGCGCGAGTCGACCACATGGTGCTCGGCGTGGACGCTCGGCGTAGTCAAGGATCGAATTAAAGAGAGGACACAGTCCAAGCGCGCGAACGGCGTCAGCAACAGTGGGGGTGATCGGAGGCGATCGCGGACTCGGGGGTCGATCACCTCGGATCCGTCAGGCTTTCACAGTGCCGGTCAGTTCCTGATTTTGCAGAGCCAAACGCGAGGAAAACACCTGATAACTAGAATTAAATAAGTTTCGGGCTCGCGGGATGAGGCCTGACGAATTTTATTTGAGCACTTTTGGACTCGCGCGTAGGCCGCACAGACCTCCTCGATCGCTTGCCGCTCCAACTATATGTACAGGATCCTGACCTCGCGCCTCTGCGTCGCTTATAACCTTTTCACCCGCGCGATTCGCTGTCCCCTGTCTCCTACTCGGATCCGACGGCCCCGACGAACGCGGACGGTAGATCACCCCACCTTCCTAGCGCCTACAGCGCCCGGAAGGGGTACATTGCGATAGAATGCCAAACCCTTCGTTCTCGTGACGAGTCGGCACCACCACGTCTTTCAAGCATCATGACTTGATATCGGTCCTCAGCGAAGCCAAGCCTGAGGGTCCGGTTGCGAGCGTCAAGGTATCGACTGATGACTCGATACTCATTGTTCAGTCAAATACACATACTCTCTGGATCACGTCTGGGCCTCTGCTATTTCGGAGTTCGACCTGAGCCGGGAGATCGAAGCGAAGGCGATGCCGAATTGCGAATCGAGGTCAATTTTCAACATGAACTCGATTGCCCCTGAAATTCGCAGAACGCGCGGCCGTCGCGATGGCTCCGAGAACGTAACATTAGATCGTTTGACTGCCCAAGAACTGAACCGAACAGACACTCCCGAAATTGTGGACCCAGAGATCAGGAAACCGAGGTAGGCCTTGAACGAGGGCATGAAGGGAGAAAGAAGATATGAATATCACAACAAAGGGAAAGTCGCACCGCACCAATGCACCCAACAAAGAAAACCTTCACTCGTCTTCATCATTATCCTCGATCGTCGTCGTCTTCTTCCTCTTGGTCTTCGGAGCTGCTTCACTCGCACCATCACCCTTGGCCCACAGCCCCTTCTCCGTCAACGCCGCGATCGCCCTATCCCACAGGACCGGCTTCGTACCGCTCGTAGATTCGCCCATCAGCTTGAGGCCGTCCTTGAGATCCGCAACAAGCATTTTATTTTGCAATCGAGTCATTTTGTCAGCGAATTCTTGTATCTCTTCGGCGCTTCCAGTGGCCTCGGGTGTATGCGCTCGTTTCTTGTTCGACGTTCGAACCAGTGCGGGATCGAGCTCGTCTTCCGCTATCAAGCTCTTGAGTTGCGTGATCTTCTCACCGGCTCGCTGGAACAGAATGGAAGGACTCGGAAAGATTAGACACTGGGAATGGTGGCGATGATGTGGCCTGAGGCCTAAAGGGACTCACGTCGCGAATGGTCCCATACGCTGGGATAGTCTTGTCGATAGGATCGGGCAGCTCGTCATCCAACGCCGTCGCAGCCAACGTCTCTTGAAAGAAATTGATGGCTGATGGGTCCAAAATTTCCTTGAATTAGTCTCGAAACAGATGAGAACACTCCCCAAGTCGCGGACTTGGATAAGAGCATCCCAGAAAATGCCTGCTGACCTGGATTTGGGTAACTGTTGGGATCGTAAACGCGCGTCAATTTCTTCACGATCGCGGTCGCCAGAGCAATCTCGGGCTGTTCGGGTTCGTCATGGCCTTCGACTGTAATGATGCATGGCAAGACGAAGAGTGTCCAATTTCAGCTCCTACCGCGACGGAAGTCCTGTGCGAGGTTCCCGTCCACTCACCATAGGGTTTTTTGATCGATGGCGTCGAGTCGAGACGATGCTTGCGCAAATCATCGGCAAAAGGCAGCTGGTAGATGTTGATGCCGGCAGGCCGCTCGACGACACCCGTCTTTTGGTTCAACACCTCCTCCTGCGCGTCGAGGATGACGATCTGGGGTCGGCCACTGATGCGAATGAGAAGCGATGCGTACGCGATCACACCCTTCTTGATCATGGACTCCATCAGTGCGACGAAGGTGCGCGTACTGCCGCTGTAGGCATCCTCGTCGGGGCGAATGAAGTAGCCGTGCTTGATCGTTTCTTCGTATTTGAGAAATTCGCTACGGGAGACGAAGCCCAGCAAGCTCATCGAAGGCGAGAGACCGAGCGTCTGCGGTGTCATGAGTTGGTACGAGGAGGGTCAGTCGCTTGGTCCGCCGCCTCGCCACGGAAACGCGTGCGTACCTTAACTTTGCGAATCTCTGCTTCGGTGAAGAAGATCTGCGCCGAACGTGATCCCTTGTCAGGGTCGGCTTTGCCAATCTCGAAATATTTGCGAATGTCGGTCTTGACGTTGAGATCGTCAGAGGTCTAGAAGCAAAAGGAAGACAAAATCAGTCAGTAAACTCTACGGATTGAGGGTAAGGGCACATCTGATCCTACAGCGTCTTTGTAGAAGATCTTGTGGACGACCGCGTCGGCGTGGCTCGTATTGAGATCGATCTTGGTCGGGAGGCGAAGCCGTTCGACGCCAACCAGAGCATAGCTGTGTGAAATCGGAGTTTCTTCCGTCAACAATCACATAAGTGGAAGTGGCTGGAACGAACCCTCTTTTCGACCGACCCTTTGATCCCGATTGTCGTCCCTTCGGCGAGCGTAAACGGGATTTGGAACTGGACCCGCTTCATCGCCTCCTTCGTTCTCAGATTGTCGATCATCTCCGAGAGGGTCTGCACGATATCGTGGTGCACGAGCGGCCACGGGATCGGTATTTCGTTGACATCCGCAACCTCTTCATCATCGTCTTCGTTGTTGTTGTCGTCCTCCTTGGCCATCGTGATAAATTTCTGGAGAAATTGCGGATAGGAGCTCGCGGTCAGGTCAGCGCACACCTTGCACATCAATCCACAGCAAGTTGTTCAGCAAAACGCACGCCATAAAAGTTCTCGAGGTCAAACTCGTGATCAGGTGGGGAGAAGAAAAACGGCTCAATTTTGTGATCCATATCCGCGAGATCCTGGAGGGGACAATGGCCTTGCAACAGGGTGAGCCTAGGTACAGGACACTGCCTCATCAGAGTTGGTTCGAACGTACATTGCGCCTCTCGTTGGCGGCGTTGCGTAGCTTCGACCTTGGAGGGTAAGGTTCATCGTTGTCGGTGATGAGGATGATCTTTTTGTTGATCCGGGGGCTCGAGGCACTGGTTCCGGCGGAAAGTCAGCGATCCAAATGTGAAGATACGGCCAAGTCGCCGTAGCTCACTTTCGTCGAAAGAGATCGGTGCAGCCCTGAATCGCTTCCGTCAACGCATTGACCCCCGTGTTGACCTCGAACATCTGACTCAGCAATCCAGGGTCGTCCTCGATGTCTTGATGTGTGTGCAAAAAGTGCCTGACGAGTGAGTTCCCGGAGCACTGAGCGCCCCAGCGCGGGCACAGGAGAAAGAGCAAGCCTCGACTGACCGGCGAGCAGATCCTTGAACTTGACGAGACTCTCGGCCGTCACCAAAGCGAGATCCTGTACAATTTGGCAGTGCTTCTTGGCGCCGTTGCCCCCCTTGACGCCTTCGGTCTTTGCCTGCAGATAGGGCCATTTGGGTTCGGGGACACCGTCAGCTCTGAGTATCTCTCGGCCAGGTGCACACAGCCACGCTGTATGAGAGAGAAAGACGCAACCGTATTGAAGATCATGATACCAATACGATCCCTGGGTGCGGACTGAGCCTTGCGACGCATCATCGCGTACGCCGAGCGGAGGCAGGCTTGGAGCTTGGTCGTCGCATCGGGCTTGTCCTTCCAGCCCAACTTCTCGCGCGTTTGGGTCGATGGCGGTGGTTGATCCGTCGAAGCAGGGACCAAAGGTTCGAGCATGGAGCTTGTGGCTTCGATGAGGAACAGCGTCGCGTCGCTTGAGTGGTAGATCTGTTCGTTGGGCCATTCCAAGAGGTGGTGCGCGGAAGAGGTGGATACGCGACATGGAGGGGTGCATGGGAGGCGGAGAGGCATGAGTGTTCCGTTACAGGCGATTTCCTTCGCATGCTCACCTCTTCTTGCACGTCCTCATCCTCCTCCTCGGAGGCATGGCCATCGTCTGTGGGCCGGGTCACGTGCGATGCCATCAACACGTCAACGCCACGATCAGCGTCGGGCAGATGTCCACGAGGTGCATGAACCGAATGGTCAGAAATTTCAAGACTTACTCCAGCCGTATGCCATGTCGACTTGCGTTATTGCCGTATGCTCTGTAAGGGAGGACACACGCACGACCCCACACTCGTGTACAAGGCCAACCTGCGCCGCGCTTCCCGCAACTCTCGCCCGGCAGCGGCGCGATGTCAATTGCCGCTCGGCGCAAGCTCGGAACTCGCTTGGCGCTCAGCTCAAGCTCAATTTTCACGTAAGTAACAATACAAAGTCATTAGTGACTGCTCATCGGAGCAACTCGCTTCTGTCAATCCTGTAGCGTAGCAGACCGCGAATAGTATCGTTTCTTCTCTCTCCCTTTACAGATAGATACAACCCTGACTGCTCGCACGTGCCCACTGCCAGCCGGCCAACCGTGCCAGCTGTGCGAGACCGTCACGGTACCGTGACCGACAGCCGTTTTGGCGACAAATGTGGCTGCACGCCTGCACTGCCCTCTACCGCCCTGCGCCCTCCTGCGCCAGCCTGCGCCACGACTTTGGCCCTGCGAGCGCGGCGGCGCGAGGCGGCGCGTCCCCCAGCAAGTCGCTGCAAGTCGTTTCCACCGAGTCCGTCACTTTATGCACCGAGTCCCCGCTTTGCCTCAAGTCCTCCCTAGCGAACCTACTTGCCGAGTCACTGTTTCTTTCGACGCTCGTTCCCCAGTGGTCTTGGTTCCGTTGTACTGCGCCATCCTCCTTTGCACCTCCATCCTCCACCTCCGACTCGACTCTTTCGGACACGCGGCTAATAGTCCGTCGCCCGTCGCCCGTCGTTGTCTCACCCCACCTGCTGCACTGTGCTCAGCCTCCCTGCTCCTTTGTCCCTTCGCGGCCCAGCTGGCCGGATCTCGTGTGGCGTGGCCCAACCAACGTGTACCAGACAAACGAATAAACAAGGCTGACCACGACTGACCACGACTGAAACGCCTCTTACCCACTCCGACCCCACCACTACGATGAGCCCCATCTCGTCGCTCAAGAATGAGGCGAGCGAGGCCAAGGAGGCGTCCAAGGAGGTTTGGCACTTTACGCGCACGCACAACTGGAAGAAGTCAGCTCGCAACTCGTTTCGGATGAAGTACTTCTGGTACTGGTTCGTCGGCATCATTCTCGTAGCCTTCGCCGTCGTCGTCGCCATCTACCGCGATCCCATCGTTAGTGTGAGTCGATCGCAACAGGCCCCAAGTTGTTGGCTGGCTCGTCGCGTCGCGCTCGGCCCGGGCTCAAGCTGTGTGTCGGTTGGCGAGGCTCCGAGGCCACGTCAGGGCCATCAGGGCCACGAACAGCAAGATGTCGGTGACTGACACTTGTCGAATGCTCTCAACAGTGGTTTGAACCGAGAAAACACAACATCGTCAACCTCCCGGCGAGCTGGGCCATTCCCGTCGCCATCCTCGTCGTCCTGTCGTTCCCACCGCTGGGAGGCCACGAAATCGTACTCCTGGTCGTCGGACTCATTTGGGGCATCTGGATCGGGTTCGCGATCGCATGCGCCGGCACCTTCATCGGCGAGCTGGCCTGTTTCTTTGCGTTCAAATACTTCTTCACCGAAAAGGCGCGCAAGGTCGAACACAAGTCCATCTTCTATGCCTGCCTCGCTCGGCTCATGCGCGACGGTGGGGTGTGGATCGTCGCCGTCGTGCGGTTCTCGGCGATTCCGGGCCACGTCGTGACCGCACTGCAGTCGACGGTCGGGATGCCCTTGTGGCGCTATTCGATCGCCGTCATCATCTCGCTGCCCAAGCAACTCGCGATCGTCTACCTCGGAGTCATGTTCGGCGAGACCAAGGACACCAGCAACCAGGCCTCGATCGACAAGCAGCGGAGGATCTCGCTCGGCGTATTCTTCGGAACGGCGATCGCGACCGTGCTCGCGCTCTACATCGTCTACATGCGAGCTCGGAAGTTGTATCCGGTCGTGATGGCCGAGGCCGAGGAACGCAGGGCACTCGCCGCCGCCGAGCTGGGAGAGAACCCTCCGCGGTCGGACCCACATGATCCCACCCTCATAGGTGCGGCATGGGATGGCGAATCGATATCGTCCGATCTGGATCAGGGCAAGGACCGAGTGTTCAGTGCCGGTCCGCACAGCTACGTGCTGCCCGCGCGAGGGCGGCCGGTCAACTTTGATGATCCGCACCAACTTACGGACCCGATAGGGTACGGGCAATCACCGTATGCGCCGCCAGCCCAGACCCCGGCCGAGTGGACCGACGTCGAAGCGAGGGAACGATGGGAGGCTGAGAACCAGCAGCAAGGGGGATACAACAACGGCCCGCCGCAGGGTCACTACGGCGCACCGCATCAGATCGCTCGTGTCTCACTACCGCGGCTCGATTCGTACCCACCCAACTCGAACCCGAGCACGACAAGCTTTACACATCTACCGCTGCAAGGTTCGGACTACAACCAACCTTACCAACACCCGTACGCGCGGTGATGCGATACCCCGCCTGGAAGGTTGAAGCATTCATTACCTTGGTGTCGGTGCCCCTTTTCCTGGTGGCCCCAGAGTTTGGTTCGGGTTTACTTCGAAAACCAGCAGGTTCTGCCCTTTTCTCTCTGTGTTGAACACCACTCGTTCGTACGTTGTATCCTCCTATCTTTCGAGATATCCCTGCTGCTGTCCGACGGCGAGGCCATCCACTGTGGAAGATAGACCATTCCGACTTTTGCTACCTACTAGTGCTGTCTTCTCATCCCGTCGTATCTCGTACAATGTATCCATAACGTTCTAGACAAAATGCAACCAACTCTTTGTTACAAACAGGACAACCCCCAACAGAATATCTTTTACATCCAATATCCTTGTCCAAAATGCGCATTCTCTTCCTCAGGGTCGAGCCATCTTTCCCACAGTCCTGCACATCCTGGTTGTGAAAAACCGCTCCAATGATGCTGAAGCAATGACGTATAGCTACGCTTCACGTTCGGTCCGATGACGATGTTGGTCGTGGCGGCCCCCGGGTTCTCGAATAGGACCTGTCCCAACATCCCTATCGCGATGGGCGTGCTCGGGGTTATCCCCGACGGCGACCGCGACCGACGATCCACAAATGGCGCCGACGATGGCCCAGATCGCGATCGCGTACAGCAGCGCAAGCAGGAAGCGTCGACGCGCTCTTCGGTCCGCGATTTGCAGGGCCGAGGGTTGGGAGTGCGAGATGGGGAGTAAGGGTTGGCGCGTTGATGCGGACGACGGTATCGGAATGAGCACAGCTTGGCCCTGCGGTCCGGTGATGCCTGATGGTCGACTGGAACCCGAGGCCGAGGCGACGGAAGATGCTTCTTCGTACGTGGGTGCTGGGTGTGGTGTTAGTGTGGCGAACCGTCATCAGCGTGCATCGGGTACGGTCGGTGGCAACCTCGTGACTCATGACTCACGTGGGGGGATGAGGTCGGTGGTTGCGACGGACGAAGGTGGGCCCGAAGGTGGAGTATCCTTCTTGACCGTCATGACTGTTTGGAAGCTTGAGTAGTGTAGAGTGGTGTGGTGTTTGACGCAACAGGTGGTGTGACACGAAGAGCGACGGGTCCGTGCGGCGCCACCTGGCGCCACAGCCTGCCACAGCTCGCAACCTCTCGCCACAGCCAACTCGCGCTAGCTCGCGCTTCCAGAACGTACCTCCTGCGAGCTCCTGCGCCAGCCTGCGCCCCCCTTACTCCGCCTTCTGCTGGCTCACGTCGCGGCGAAAGCCGGCCGACGGCGACTTGTAGGAACTCGATTGACAACCCAAGCAGTATTCTTCGATCTTCGAATCTGGAACGACTGTATTTGAATACATACTTCGGCCACCTGCCCGCGGGTAGCACTAGTCGTGTAAGTTGTTAGTTGGCACGATTAGTAATCCGCCCTCTGACCGAGCTTCACGAGGGCGATTACGTGAGCCCGGCCCCAAAACGTCATCCGACCCTTCCGCCTTGCGAAACGAACCAACAATTCGGATAATTTTGAGTGTCCCATCCCTTTCTCTCTTTCATCTACGTTACCTTCAAGAGTCTCCTCCGCATCGTATTTGCATCACCCCTTGTCTTCCCTCTGCCCCTAAACCCAATATCGCCATGTCGGCCTCCACCTCCACGTCGCTTTGGACGCCACTCAAAGTCGGGCCCATCACACTCAGTCATCGCATCGTGATGGCCCCCTTGACCCGCATTCGAGCCGACCAGGACCATGTCCCGCAACAAGTCGCGGCCGAGTACTACGAGCAACGCAGCAACACCCCGGGTACGCTCCTCATATCGGAAGCGACCTTCATCAGCCCTCAGGCGGGCGGATCGGGCAACGTGCCCGGCATCTGGAGCGAGGCGCAGATCCAGGGATGGAAGAAGGTCGTCGACGCCGTCCACAGCAAGGGTGGCTTCATCTTCCTCCAACTCTGGGCCCTCGGTCGTGCCGCCGATGCCGACAACCTCAAGCAAGAGGGCGGCTTTGACGTCGTTTCGGCGTCGGACGTGGCCTTCAAAGGCGGCGACAAGCCCCGACCCCTGACCGAGGACGAGATCAAGCAGTACACCGCCGACTATGCGACGGCTGCCAAGAACTTTGTCGAAGGCGCAGGCGGAGACGGTGTCGAGAGTGAGTTTGCATCTCAGGCTATGAGAAAATCTTGCACTTTGTCTTGATTTTAGCCCGAGTTTTTTCGTCAACAGTTCACAGCGCCAACGGCTACCTGATCCAACAATTCCTTGAAACTAACTCGAACAAGCGGACGGACCGATACGGTGGATCCGTCGAGAACCGAGCCCGTTTCGGTTTAGAGGTTGTTGACGCCGTCGCCCAGGCCGTCGGCGCAGACCGTACCGGTATCCGATTGAGCCCGTACACGACCTTCCAAGGCATGAAGATGCCCGAGCATGAAGACATCATCGACACATACACGTACTACGTCAAGCAGATCAAGGAGAGGCACCCTGAGCTCGCTTACGTCCACGCCGTTGAATCGCGCATCGCCGGTAACGTCACCGAGGACGCCGACGAGCGAGAGACGCTCGACTTTTTGTACGACGTCTGGACCCCTTCGCCCTTCTTGGTCGCCGGTGGGTTCAAGCGCGAGGATGCCGAGCCCGTCACCGCCGCTCGCAAGAACACGGCCATCGTCTACGGCCGCTACTTCATCTCGAACCCGGACCTAGTCGAGCGAGTGCGCAAGGGCGTCGAGTTTGCCGATTACGACCGCGCCACGTTCTACATCCCTGGACCCCAGAACACCAAGGGGTACACGGACTACCCCAAGGCCACCTAGAGGTCTTCTGAAGGTGCAATAGATGAGTTGTATTAGAGCTTCACAGTCTTAGAGTGTAACATTATGAATAGAAGTGGCAATAGCATATATTGGACTCACCACTGAAGCAGGCTTCTGGTGTTGTCCGAGTGAACTTTTGCTGTTGAACGCTTTCGATTGGTTCAACGAGATCTGGGCTATATTGGTACATTATACAACGGTAATCCTATTCTATAATCCTATTATATGTTTTCTACTGCGGCTGCGAGAGAGTACTGCTGTTGCCCCTGGAGCGCCTCCAAGTCGGGCTCCTCGTCTTCATCATAAATGTCTTTTTCGAGCCGAGGTCGCACCCACTTCTCCTTGGGATTGCGCTCGCACTTTTCCTCTTTCAAAATGGCCTCCCACATCTGCTGGGAGATTTCAGTTGCTCGTACGATCCCGGCTCGCGCTCCGAACGCCGACGTCGTCCCGACGTGCTCGGACCAGACCTTCCAGTAATCCCACCCCATCCGGTGATTAACCAAACGGAGGCAGTCCGCCAAAGTATGGTCCGGGAGCACAAACTCGGGATCCTGCAATTGCTTCATCGACGGCGCCGGGTCGTCACCGGGAAGGAAACCGTACGTCGTGTCGTAAAAACCGTCGCGGCGACAATTGTATACATGGTCCACGACGCTGCCCGGGGGTGGGAGAATGCGGAGCGGAGGTTGACCACTGGCGTTGTACGCGATCGCGCTGAGCAAAAGCGGGTGACACTGCGCCGGCAGGGGTCGAGCGTGGTGGATGTGCGTCAGGGTCTTCAAGTGCGCACGGCTCACCATCATGGCGCGTGGAAGGAGGTGGGTGTAGCGGGTGATGCCGGGCATCGGATTTTGCTCCAGGTGACTCCTGAAGGTTTCAGGGTCTACGTCCAACGGCGGCGAGAACTCTTCCATCGCCGTCTCCGTGAAGAGTCCGACAAGGCGGTCCGGCTCGTCCAAGGCGTACGTGAGCAAGGAAGTCAAGGCCGACTGCAAAGAGACAGAGAGATAAGACAGTGAGTAAGAGCAGCCCAAACAAACAGCATCGAGTGTGTCAAGGCTCACCTTGTCGAGTCGCACCGAATCGGCCAAGATTAAGACTCGGGGCGAGGTCCCCAAGGTGCTAATTTGCGAGAGACCCCGACCAGCTTTGGCGGCGCGAATCTTGACTTTGCGAGCGTAAGGTCGTTTCTCGTACACGTCGACTGTCAGCATCGACACGTCGCTGCGGAGGATTGCTTGGCTAGGGTCGAGCAAGCTCAACACGATCTGCTCCGTCCACTGCGTGAGGCCACCAAGGGTTTCGAGTACGACGACCGATGAGCCGAAGAGGTCGTGGGATAAAATTTTGGGCCTGATCAAGTGATGCCGCAACGGGTGGTTGATGACCGGAACGAGGTCAATCCATTTGACCCTCGAATGCCGCGACAAACGACTGAACGTCTCCCACATCGAACATCGCGTGGCAGTCCACGAGTTCTTTCCGAGATGCGACGAGTGGAACAAAAAGCCGATCGTGTCCATCTCGGAGCGCGCGATCATCCTCTTGCCGAGGTCGAAGCGAACACCGTGATTCGCCGTCGTGTTGGCCCGGAACACGATCAGATCATTCTCGGTGTCGATCTGGGCCATGAGATGCGCAATCGAATCTCGATCCGCAAAAAGCTTGTCATCGTCGAGGTAGAGCACCCAACCCCTCGAATTTTCATCGATCACGAGAGCGTCGAGGTCGTACATCAATGGGGCTGTCGAGTCGGCGGCGCCGCATGCACAATCCCAGTAGCGCTTCTTGGCGATCGGATCCAAGGGAGGGAGGGAGCACGATTTGGCCCCGGTGAGACCCGGATCGGTCGCCGCGAGGTGCCCACATTTGTGGCAGAGTCGATCCCGGTCGGCGTCCAGGTCAAAGGTGACCGAAAGCACTTCGCGCTTCGGCCCCGCGGGTGGAAGCGTAACCCCCTCTTGTGCGACGACGAACTGCTTTCGGTTGGGGTATGTTTGCTGGTCGAACGAGTCGTAGAAGTCTTGGACAAAAGTCCCACGGACGATGCGCGACAATACAAAAACTCGTTCGCCATAGTGGTCAGGTATATCCTTGTGATTGATACAATCATGGGATTGAGAGGGACAGTTTGGGTCGAAGAGGAGCTCCAAATCGGTCGCCTTGGGACTCGAGAGATGGGAGCTCGTGATCGGTGGGAAGGGTTTGTGCTTGGACTCGGCGGCATTGGCCGCCGTTTCGTTCGCGGCGAGAAGGTCAAAGTAGATATCATTGTACTCGTGCATGCCAGGGAACTCGATGCCCATCGACCTGCAAGAAAGAGGCAAATGGGACGCTGTCAGTGGGAAGAGCCGGTGCAAGTGGAAGGGAGATAGGACTCACCAATGATGGGCGATTGCGATCGGCTGACTCGCACACTTGACCTCTTTGCGCCGTCCGAGCCACTGGTAGTTGCAGCCACACGGCAAGAGCTCAAAGTCCTCGGGGAACATGCGGATGTACGAGTTGATGAAATCCTGCTCGCCCCAACGCGCTCGTCGCCCGACGGATCGATAGGTGCGGGCGACGGTGCGCACGTAGCGATCGGTGAACGCGGCCTCGCGCATGCGGTCGAGACGCATTAACGCGACGCCACCATTGACCTGCACCGTCTCGATCTCGTGCGCACTGGCGCAGTAGGCGTGCTCGTCAAAGTGGTCCGGCGAGTTGTTCTGCGGGATGTTGCCGCATTCGAGGCCCTCGGGAACGCGCCAGTGGAGCGCGATCGGCCAGCAGCGATCCGGGTACAGTTGGCAGGCGTCGCCCATGTCGATGCCCATCTTGAGCAGTACTCGCTGATCGTCGGACTCGGCGTAGCAACTCGAGAGATCGCTCAATACCGTCACGTCCGTGTCGAGGTAGAGCACCTTTTCGGCGTGGGTGATGATCTTGGAGAGGAACATCTTGCAATGCGCGCTTATGTGGATGTCTTCGTCAGAGAAAGGCAGCACCGCAGCGGCGAATTTGGCACAGAGCCCATGATCGTACGTCGAGACGCCGTGTCCCGAGTCGGCAAAAAACTCGCGCAGCTCGTCGTGGAGTTTGGGTGGGGTCACGAGATGGAAGTGCAGGCTTGGTCGAGAGGTGAGGAATTTGATCGCCGACCGAATGACCTGCTTAGCCTGGTCGACCCGATTGGCATCAAAGACCAACGCGATGTTGAAGGCGGCGTCGAGGCTCAGCTCCGTACCAGACGAATCACCACCTTCGTCGTCGGCTGTCGGAACAGGGGATTCGGCCGCCTCCTTCGCGAGTTGTTCCTGACGTACGCGGTCTTGCTCGAGACGTTCGTTCCGGGACTTGGCGCTGGCGATCAGCTCGTTGCGTTTTGCGATACTGCTCCATGCGCGGCTGTTGATTTCGGCTTGCATGATCCCGAGGTCAATGTCGATGGCATCGCATTCGTCCGTCTCGAGGGGGTCGACCGAGATCGCGACGAGCGAGCCAGGCACGAGTTGCAAATCGACGCGAACCGTCTCGTCGCGGGAGTTCATGGTATTGATCTTGGCGTGGACCGTCCAATCCATACTGTCATCTATGCGGGAGGCGAACGTCACCTCCGTGCCGTCCCCACAGTGATGCGAGGCTTGCAGCTTCATCTCGGCGACGACGTCGAGCTCCTTGGGCGACTTGAAGATTTTGACCGCGGCATAGCGCACCCCGCGCGTGTCAATGTAAGGTTTCACGCCGAGCGCACTGAGGTAAGGTTGACTCGCCGCACGGTCAACACCCCACGACCCGTCCTCGGGGAACGCTTCGGCATGATACTGCGGGTCGACCGTCGGTAGTTTGCCGACGGGGATGAACGAATAGTACCACCCCTGCCAGCCTTGCACAAACTCGAAATCACGACTCGAGTCGGCCGTTCGCGGGATCGGCAACGGACGGTCCATCTCGCTCTTGGCGTACATGAGCAAATGTGCCAGGCCCATCTCCTGCACGCGCTTGTCGGCCAACAAAGGAGCGAGGGCGTGGTAGTTGGCTTCCCACGGGTCCATCGAGAATTTCTAAAACACGTGCAAAGGTCTCGGTAAGTTGCCGGGGCAGGGTAAGCCAATCAGGCCACGAGGAGCGAGCACTTACCATACTCTCCCGAGCCGGATCACTCCTGACCCAGATCAGTTCCTCGGGAATGGCGAGGTGCTTGTAGCCCTTGAGCGTCAGCCGCGTCCAAAACTGCCAATCCTCGGCTCCGAGTTCGCGCGAGGTCGAAAAGCCTCCGAGATCCTCAAAGACGGTACGCTCGACAAAGACGTTGCCGCTGCCAAACGAGTTCGTGATCAAGCCCAAACTCATTCCCGATCCGAGGAACCAATACGTTCTCCGATTGGGTATCACTTTGCTCGTCGTGAACAAGGGGTTCATGTCCGAAGCAAACTCGTCGAGCCACGTGGAAAGCGCTTTGGCGCCGGTGCGCCCAGCGACCTGGATGACGGTTTCGAGGTAGTGGGGCTTGAGGACGTCGTCGTCGTCGAGAAAGAGCAACCAGTTTCCCTTGGCCAGCGCGGCCCCACGGTTCCGCGCTTCCCCGAGGTACGAGTTCTCGATCGTGACAAAGTGCCAGTTCGACCTCGGGGCAAAATAGCGGGCTTCGATGTCGGCCAGCGCAGCTAGCGTCGAGTTCTTCTTGGATCCGTCGTCGACAAAGATAACCTCGTAGCATTCCCGCGTTTGACCAACGATCGAATCGAGCATCTGGGTAACCAGACCGGCGCGTTCGTAATGCGTGACGATAATGCTGATGCGGGGTGCGAACGAGGGAACGGCAGGTTTCCATTTGGACGGCGTGGGGATGCTCATGATCCAATCGTGAAAATTGACCCAGTCTTCTGTTGCGGTTACGGTCTCGGGTCGAGGTCGGATCTTTGGCCAGGCCGTCGAGCGTAGCGCTGTCACTTCTTGGGCAATCTTGTGGGCAAAAGGGGTCGCACGCGGCGCGAACAAGACCTTGCTGTGATCCGCGGGGTGCACGAGTTCCGGAATTCCGCCAACGTCACTAGCGATGAACCGAGCGCCGTACGCGATACATTCAAGCACGGTGCTGGGCGAGTTGTCGATCAAAGCAGGTAGCACGACCAGACGTCTAGGATCGGTGATGTAGACCAGACCTTGCTCCCGGTCGTAGTCTCGGAGAAACTGGACCTGCAAATCGACGTCAGAGTGATCGCGGAGGGCGTCCATCGCGTTTGAAATCAGCGCGCTCGCATCGATGTGGGATTTCGAATCCTCAAAGTCTCGCCCGAGAAACGTGATTTTGGTGATCGAAGTCGGCGTCTCAATCGATGAAGTTCTCTCGAACAAGAGCTCGAGCGTCTCGAGAAAGAGGCGAGTCCCTTTGCGTTCCTCAAGTCGACCGAAAAACACGAGCTCGTTGACGGGGTGCACGCCTCCACTCTCGCTGGACAGCCTCCGATTTACGTTTGGCAGTGGCCGAGCGCCGACGATGTTGGGGATCACAAAGGCATGTTGCGGCAGCTTCCACCCTCGCTTTTTCAGATAGTCGAGCATGTACTCGCTCGGTGCGATGGCGACGTCGGCCATCTCGACCGTGCGCCGTTCAAACTCGGCTTTTTGGAACGAAAATTTGTCCTGTGGATAGAGCTTGTTGAGGATCGTCGCCCATTCGACGTCCGCACCGTGCAGGCCGACGACGATGCGCGTATTTTGCAACATCAGGCCCTGCTGCCGAGCGAGAGTAGGGAAATAGCCAATGCCGGTGTTGTCGGGGAAATGAATAACGTCCCACTCGTTGTCGTGGGCCTGCAGGAAGGCGAGGATCTGGCGCGAGGCGAGGGCCGACCATGACGTCGGCCAAAAGGGCTGCGGTTCCTCTTCCACGAAATGAAGGTTTATCTCTTGATCCGCGAGTCTGGAGGCGAGACACAGAAGCAGGATGAGTTCCCCTGGCAACTTGGCGAGCTAGCACAGGACGAGAGCGGACCCGGCCCCACTCCGCAGAGACTCACGTCCGCGTCAAATTGCGCACTTGGCCCATCGGATAGTCTTGCATCCGATTGGCGATGAGAATGTCAACATTGACTATAGCAGAGGAAGCCAGAGCTGTGGCGAGCTCGCGAAAGGCGGTACCGATACCCCCGTTCTTGTGCAGACCGGCGAGTTCGGACGTGACGATTAGGGCACGCGTCGGAGTCCGATCCGGATGCAGGAGTCGCGGGTTCTTTTTCCAGGGCAGCTCAACGCGAGGTGTGACAGGGTCGGGGTGATTGTGGTAACGGTGCAGCAGTGACCCCCAGGTGTAATCGATCCCGTTCTTGGAGGAGAGGGATCGGCCCTTGAGGAAGTAACCGCCGTTGTGTGTTCTCCGCCGCGAACGAGCCCATCGTCGCTCGTACACGCGCCTGGCCAGCAGGAAGAAGACCAGCGCCAACAGAGAGAGCACGACCCAACGCAACACGCGTCGAGGTCGACGGTAAAGCCTCTTCCTGAGCTTGACGTCGCGGCTGGACCGTCGGCCGAGCGAGAAGCGCGACCTCGTCGTCGATCGGCCCGTCCTCGAGGTGAGCGCGCTCGGCTCGGAGTTCGGTAGCGAGGACGGTCCATCTACCGTGTAAGAAGAGTGAGGCGGGACCATCTCATCCCTGGGAATCGACGAAGCCGATCCAGGCACAATAAAAGTCGGGGGGAAATGAGCAGGCCTATAAGGAGGGCGAGAGAAGGAGGTCGGGGGTCGGCGTTCGAACTTTTGGACTTGGAATCGCGAGTTGACGCGACCTTAGAAAGCGACGAGGTACGATTCGGAGTTACGGATCACTTGCCATTGGAAGTTGGAAAGAAGCACGCACTCGAAGAAAATGCAGACCACTCTACTGGAGTATTTTTGATTCGGTTTTGAGTCTTTTAACTAGCACAGCCACAAAAAACATTGTCAATGCTGCCTGTATTTGACCGCTCAGTAAACGCTCTGCCGCCGGGTGCCGATTTCCACTGAGTGCTGAGCCTAAGCGGAGCCCGCCGCGCTTACGTTTTCCGTCCTCTCTGGTCTATGCCATATAACCCATGCCCCTCGTTTAGATACTGCACCCACGTCAAATTTGGCAACCCCTCCCTTGGCCACGATGATGCGACTCCGGTTACGCTTCGGACGACGGAGTGTCCACGTGGCGCTGCCCTTGTTCGCCGTCGTGCTCATCTGGTCGTACTGGACTTTCGCGCCATCCTCAAGCCGGCTCTACGACCCCCGCACCTCGGCGATCCACAAGCCTTTACCGCAGCCACTTGCAGGACCCGTCACAAGCTCCATCATCGTCCCCGCGTACCAGGAACGAGCCAATCTCCGACCGTTGACCGAGCGCATCTTCCAAGCTGTCCGGGACAAGGCCTCGGTCGAGCTCGTCATCGTCGATGACAACTCTGGGGATGGTACCGAGACCGAGATTGCGGATCTGAAGAACGAGGGCTACAATGTCGAGTTGTTGGTCAGGACCGACGAGAAGGGGCTCAGCAGCGCCGTGCTGAGAGGGTTCGAGATCGCACGAGGCTCGAGCTTGATCGTCATGGATGCTGATCTCCAGGTAAGGATTCATTCGGCTGAGAGCTTGAGATTGACTTCATTGCTAGCGGGTGTCTTCACTTGTTGCAGCACCCGCCAGAGACAATCCAACCGCTGCTCGACTCGCTCAGCGACGAAACTCCGATCGCACTCGCAACTCGGTACGGCAAAGGGGTCAGCATGTCCAAAGGGTGGCCACTGTATCGCAGAGTGATATCGTGGGGGGCTCGAATACTCGCCAGGCCGTTGACGAGTGCCAGTGATCCCATGACCGGCTTTTTCGCCATTCGCCGAGATCACGTGAGTTGCGGAGCGTCGGTTGGGTCGGGTCATGAAACGTCGAACGCCTCACACGTAGCTCACACTTTGTGTCCAATCCTAAAACAGTTCTTGAAGTCGCGCCCGATCAACTCGTCCGGGTTCAAGATCGCCCTCGAGTTGATGCTGAAAACTCCGCCGAGTCGGATCGCCGAATCGCCGTATTCGTTCGGGCTGCGACAAACGGGGACGTCCAAGCTGTCGTCCAAAGTGATGGTACGCTACGTCGGACAGCTCTTGACGCTGTACGCTTGGAAGATTGGGATCCTGTTCCATGTGCTTGTGGCGCTGGGGGTAGGGTTGGGGGTGCTTGGGCTCGAAAAGGCGGTTGGTATCGTGCGGAGAAGAAAGGGGACTGGACCGATGTTGGTCGGACACATGTCAAGGGAGAGGAAGCCTATGTATATCCCGGGCGGTGGGGGTGGGGGCGGAGGGGGTGGATTGAGGGGCATTAGTCGGCAGTCGGGGTCGACGAGGAATCTGCCGCCGGCGGATCGGCATGGCAAGCGGATGATGTAGCAATAAATGGTGGTGACGGATATCATGATTTTCACGACACGACACGACACGACACGACAGGATGTAGTTTAAATGTGACAATGTCTCAAGGAAGAAGATGGTGTGCATGAATACTACATCTTGTGACACGCGCAAATCAGATCCGGCGGCCCGGATGGTTCGAGGGGCTCTGAGGGGCTTCGAGGGGCTCGTTGCGCTCCGGGTGCTTCGCAGGCTGCGATCACGTCTCAAGCTCCCCCTGCTCACCTCGTCGCCGACTGACCAACTCCACGATGAGCGCCACCACTTTCGCACCACCACCTCGGCCCAGGTTCAAGACAAGGTTAGTAACGTATCCCTACTTCCCTGTAGATGGGCACACAGCACATTGCACTGGGGCTGGAGCTGGAGCTGGAGCTGGCTCCAACTCGTGCGAAGCGACGTCTCGGGGAGATGGCTCGACGGGCGAACGAATGCGGCGTAACGAATCCTCTCTTGGTGGCTTTCCAGCTACAGCAGAGCGTCATTACTGCTTTTGATGCTCGATGACTAGGTCAGACAAGTCAAGCACCTCCGTTGCAGCGACGCAGCTCGTTCTCGATTCCACGCTCACAGTCGAGCTCAGCTGCCTTCAAGGCCCCCTCGAGCACGGAATGAGGATCCAGAGCTAACATCACTTCACCTTCGTGCAGTTTCAAGGCCGTCCGAGCCTACGAACCTATCCACACGGGCGGCAAAGTCGTGCTCTCCGGCGATGGATCCTGGCTCGTTTCGACACTGGACGACCAAGCGCTCGTTAGTGACATTGCAACAGGAGAACGGATACAGCTCCTAAAAGGCGTAAGATTCGTCCCTTTCCCTTATATGGCCTCCATTCTCCCAACTGAGCCCATCCCCTGCCTCAATGTGTTCCCTCTATCAGGACTCCTCGGCGGTCACGACCTTGGCCATCACCCCGACCCCCGCCTCACCTAATGCAGGTGGATACCTCTTGACCGCCTCCCGATCTTCGGCACTCCACCTCTACTCGCTCCCTTCTTTGACCCTGCATCGCAGCATCGCCAAGGCCCACTCGGCACCCATCATCACCTCCGCTGCAGACCCCTCGGGAAGACTTTTCGCGACCGGTTCCGCCGACGGCATCGTCAAAGTCTGGGATGCCGAAAACGCCCACTGCACCCACGTCCTGCACGGCCACGGTGGTCTCATCTCCGCGCTCTTCTTCGATGTTGGCGCCGACGGCCGAGCGAGGTTGGTCTCGGGCGCTGACGACTGCAAAATCCGAGTGTGGGATCTGCACACGCGAGAATGTGTTCACGTCCTCGATGGCCACACCTCGGTCGTGACGGGCTTGCAGGTCACCAAAGATGGCAAAAACATGATCTCGGGTGGACGTGATCAGGTCGTCAACTTGTGGGATCTTGAACGGGGAGTGCTGAGGAAGACGGTGCCCGTTTTCGAAACGCTCGAAGCCGTCGGATTCGTCCAACTCCCGGATCAAGTCGCTGTTTGGACGGCGGGTGACAAGGGCGTCATCCGGTTGTGGGACCTTCGAAACGGCGAGGAAGTCAACAAAGAGCAGCGAGGGAACGGCAAAGGGAAGGTCCATGAGATCATCCAGGTCATGTGAGTAGACTCGGAACTGGCCCCGCCACAGACGATTGTCTCACTCGTGCCCCGTTTCGATTTGCACGCAGTCACAACGCCACCACCTCGACCTTGACGGCGGTCTATGTTGATCAAAATATCATCACTCGGAGTCTCCCAACCCTCGAAGTGGTCCGCCAGATCGTCGGCTACAACGATGAAGTCATCGATGTCGCCTACCTCGCGCCGAGCCGACCAGAGGACGAGTCCCATTTGGCCGTGGCGACGAATTCGGATTTGATCCGCGTCTATGATCTTGCTCGTTTCAATACCTCGTTGTTGGAGGGCCATAATGATGTTGTGCTGTGCCTTGCGCGGTCGACCGATGGTAGCGTTCTGGCGAGTGGCTCCAAGGACAAGACCGCGAGGGTATGGCGATCCAAGTCGTCGGGCAAAGGATGGGCGTGTGTCGCCAGTGCCGAAGGGCATGTCGAATCCATAGGCGCCGTCGCCGTCTCCAAGAAGGAGCGCAATTTCCTCGTCACGGCGTCGCAGGACCGGACGGCCAAAATCTGGGATCTCGCTTCTGCATTGGGCGGTGAGAAGGAAGGCGAGGTCAAGGATGATGCGGCAATCGTGGCCTTGAAATCATTGACGACACAGAAGATTCACGACAAGGACATCAATTCGTTAGACATCTCACCCAACGACAAACTGCTCGTGTCCGGATCCCAGGACCGCACGGCCAAGCTCTTCTCGATCACCTACACCGCCAAAATCAAATCCTCGCCACCGACCGCTGCTCTGTCTCTACTCGGTACTCTGAAAGGCCACAAGAGGGGTGTATGGAGCGTCAAGTTCTCGCCCGTCGACCAATGCGTGGCGACTGCTTCGGGTGACCGCACGATCCGCCTGTGGAGCTTGGCCGATTTCACTTGCGTCAAGACGTTCGAGGGGCATACCAACTCGGTGCTGAGAATCGACTTTTTGACTCGAGGGATGCAGCTCGCTTCGTGCGCTTCGGACGGATTGGTCAAGGTTTGGAACGTCAAGGACGAGCAATGCGTGTCGACGCTCGACAACCACGATGAGAAGGTCTGGGCATTGACGGTTGCCAAGGATGAGAAGCATCTTGTCTCCGGTGGTGCGGACTCGGTCATCACCGTTTGGCAAGACATTACGGAGGAAGAGGAAAAGGCCAAGATTGAGGAACACGAGGATCAAGTCCTGAAGGCGCAGGACTTTGAGAACTACCTCTCGATCAGGGACTACTCGAATGCGATCCTGTTGAGTCTGTCCATGGACCAACCGAGGCGATTGCTCAAACTCCTGACCGAGGTCCGACTCGCCGCCTCGGAAGATTTGAAGAGCTACACCGGTTCGAGTCAGGTCGATCAGGTGCTGCAGTCGCTCGGTGATGTCGATCTACGACAACTTTTGCTCTACGTCAAGGATTGGAACACAAACGCGCGCACGTCCGAGGTCGCTCAGGGTGTTCTCCACGCGATCCTCAAGCTTCATTGCGCCGAGAAGGTGCTCGAATGCCTCGATCCACAAAAGCCGAAAGAGGACCAGGACCAGGACGTCAATTTTGGCGTGGCAGACGATGACGATGAGGATGAGATCGTGAATGACGAGAAACGCAAGGAGCGACGACGAGAATTGGCGAAGAAGCGACGCACCGAGATCAAGGCTGGCGATCTGTTGCAGGCTTTGATACCGTATACGGAGCGGCACTTGAGTCGGGCCGATAAGATGGTGCGCGAGAGCTATATCGTCGAGCACTTGCTGGGTCAGATGAACAGCTATGAGCTCGAGGCGGCTGCCGTCAATGGGGCGAATGGCCTGCAAGCCATGGAGGTAGATCTCGACGTGGATAGAGCTGATGCCGTAGCTGCTTGGGCGGATGAGGACGAGGAGGAATGAAAATGCAAGTGATACCCTGTTCTCCTACTCAAGTTTTTGCACTCTCGGTTCGGATAATCGACGATGTTGTATGGCTACAACGCTGACTTGCCATTCATAAAGATACATGCACCATTCCTACAACATCATATCCCAGTCTAGTTGGCGAACATATCTCTTGCTGCAAGACGAGACCCGCTCGCCTCCTCAAAGATGCGCTCCTGAAGGGTGTCTCGGCGCATCGAAAAATCGCGGGGGTGCCTTGGTGCTACCGGGGCAAAGGCGACGACCGATCGCTTGGACGATTTTGGTGTCGGGGTCAAAATCTTGATGAAGCGGATCGTGGGCCTGAAGAAGACTTGGATCTCGGCGAGACCGATGTTGGCTGTAGCGCCCGAGACGGGTAGGATGTTCAATTTGAGCAACGTCGTCGTGATTGTCGTCGTGTTAAAGTACATCGCGGTACCTTGGTTGTTGAGCGACGAGATGGGGACGCTAGAGCCATCCGCAAAAGTGATGGTCGCTGTGAGGGTTCGGTCTTGTGGGTTCGGTCGGTCGTAAAGCACGATTTGGTTGAAGGTGACCGGGTCGGACCAGGTAAGCGAGAAGCACGCCCCCTGCCCTTGGCCGAACGTGACCCACTCCGTTGACGCGGCACTGCTCAAGATCGAAAAGATGTCCATCGTACCCGTTCAGGTAGCTGCGCCGTTGGTGTTGCCGTAGATGGCCTTGTCCGGACTGAAAAAAGTCAATCCGTCGAAAGAGCTTGCGTCGGCCGAAGCAGAACGGGCGAGGTTGACCACGGGACCCGTCGGCAAGGGGACAGAGCTGGTGGTGGTGGTGGTCATCGTCGTCGTCGTCGTCGTCGTCGTCATAGCTTCGGCAGTGGCGGTGCTCAATGAGAATGAAGTGGGTGTGACACTTGCGGTGGTGGGAGAGGCCGAAGAGCTCGAAGAGGTCGGCGTCGAGGAAGACGAAGAACTTTAGTTGTCATTCGTGGAAGAGGATCCGTACACTTAGAAGATATCGTCCTGAGCACCCTCAACGAGAACCCCCAGTTCGCTTGGTATCCCGGTCTGTCATCGTTCCCCACGAAGACGACGTTGGAAGGGGTATTGTATGCGTACCGTGGACGCTTGGCTCCAGAGGGGAGATTCTGGGTGCATGTTGTGTTGAGCTTGGGGCAGAACTTGAGTCCGAAATCGGCGCGATCGTCTTTGCATTGTTCGACACGTTCGTGATTGCGCAGTCGAACGCGGTCATGTAAAAGTTGGCTGTCCCGTTGTTGGCAAGCCGGTGAGGGGTAAAGCTGTCAGACGGAGTCGGCTATAAAAGTCCCAAGAGATTATTGCACTCACCAGAACCATACACAGATGCACTTGGCACCTGTGCAAGCCGGCATAAGCGCTGGGATCTCGAAATCGTTGTAGCTGCGCGTGCCAGATGCACAGGAACCCCACGATGAGTATGCATGATAGAGAGAGTATAATAGGATGAGTGAGAACAGACCCACGGAGAGGCGCCACATTTTTGGAGTGTGGAGAAGATAACCAAGTTATCCATAGTGACCTTATTGATATCGTCGACGTCCGCGATGCCCAAGGCGCATCCGGAGCGCATGCTGAACCGCTGGTGGCCTAGACTTTTCCCTAATTCTTCTTCAAGCCAGAAGTGTGCAATGCCGACGTCGTCACCGACACGTGCTAGACCTCCGGTGGGGTGTCTACAGATGGAATTGGCACCGCAAAGTCGTTTTAAACAACGCGAGCTGAGCTGACTGGCCATGATCGGCTAGTAGCCTGGTCGCTCCGGCGTGGCGGGATCTCTGCAGAGAAGGCAGACGCGATTGATCCTCTGTATGGGAAGTTTGAAACGTATTTTGACGTGGGCTCAGTAGACAAAGATACGACACCACCATCTGCTTTTCAAGGTCTACGTACTTGCTACCCATTCGTCGTGTACTGCAGCACAGTCACCTCAAGTCATTAGATCGTCCGACCATGACCTCGCCCGACGCTAATAAACTACTGAGCTCGTCAAGCTAACCCGGATCAAATTCACAATACACAAACACAATGAAGAGAGCTCAAACAGGGACTACGCGTTTCCCTTCCATCCTAGCAGCTGGGGCTCGGTGGCAGGGTCCAGGATGGCCCGGTCACGTGCGCAATCATGCAAGAAGACAGGCAGGGGCAGGCGTTGGAGGTGTTTTTTTTTTTGTAGAAACTGTTCATCATATTGCCCCCTTTCGGAGGTGCTGGTGGACCGTAGTTAGTAGTGAAGGTGTTAGTAGACCTTGCACTGATATCAGGGGCCGGATAGCTTAGAGGTCAAAGCTTTTCCACTTAATGGAAGCGACCCAGGTTCGACTCCTGGTCCAGCCGTTTCTCTTCTTTTGTCGATCATTTTCGGAATCATCGTTGTTTCCAACAGTTAGGGAAGAATTATCAGTTGGGTGGGCGGACAGGTGATAGTCCGAGTCTCGTGAGTTGTGTGACTTAAGGCAAGGAGCGCGTTGAGCCGTTGGTGCGACTGGTCAAGCGTGGAGCGGCAAGCGCAGTGGCAGAGGTACACCGAGGTAGGTCCCACCTCTCGAAGCGATCAAGTCGGCTAGTTTGTGCTGCTGGTCCTTCAAGGTTGCCGCCGAGGCTCTTGAGACGTCGAGTCCACTCGGAGTCGATGTGCGAGCGGAAGAGGCGCCGAACGAGAATTTGCCGGCAAGGAAGGAGCGTTTCTTCTTGATCACGGATCGGTTGAGGGGCAAGCTAGGCAGTCATGAGGTACCGGGTTGGGTACAGGTCGAATCAGCCACTCATCGAGGTGCTGGACTACCATCGTCAATTTAGTCGAAGGGTGACGGCTGGAGCATAGTGCGTAGAGGAAGATAAGGAGGCAGACGAGGTCGTGGCGGACGGTGAGACTGCGGATGAGGAGACTATTGGCGGCTGGGCTGAGCCATCGACGGGGGTCGGCTGCTCGGGGACGAGGATGATGATGAAGTTACTACGGTGTCCGATCATGTTGTTTCCAGACCGAAAGTGCGTCACTCAATGTAGCTTTTGTTGACGAGTCAGTGACGGGGCTGAGTCTTCTGCTAAAAGTACGAAGTAGAAACTACCAGGCGCCTACCCTAAGAATCTGGGCCTAGCATGCCCGAGAAGCCTGACATGCAAAGACGTCTTCGGCTCGAATCGCTGACGGACGTCGGGAGAGTTGGAAGCTTCGAACTTTTCGTTTCCCTTTCAAGCGTCCCAATTGGAACTACTGTACTGTCGGCATTCAGGTAGGTAGGCGCCTCGTCCACAACGTCTGGAACCCGAGGGATTTGATCAAATTCGGCTCTTTGGCCCCCGCCGCCGCGTGGAGGTCTTTGCGTAGATGATCGAATATGTGAAATCTAATCAGACTTGATACAAAAAAAAAACCTCGTTCTATCATGCATACCATCAGTGGCAGCAGCTCTTGGGGCCTGCCTCGCACGAGACTGAGTGTGCTCACAAAAAGTCTGGTATCTGGCCCTCGTAGATCCGAGAACCGAGTACCATGCACGGGTTATCTTTTTCAGTATTCTAGTTGCATTCACGTTCGACCTTACTACGGTATAGCCTCACTGAACCGTCATCGATGACGTCATTGATACCTACTGGGAAGGCAAGTTCGGCACGGCGAAATCGCGCATGTGCTCATCCTGTGGAGTTAGAAGGGTTGCGTGGCATCCAGGTCAGTAAGATCCTGATCCATATTTGTATGAAGACAGATAAATGAGGCAAGGAGCAACTCACGTAGGCACGGAAGTGGAGCTTGCGGCCGGCGGTGTCGATCTCCTCCACCTCCTCGGGCTTGAGCTCGGGCAGGGTCTGAACCTCGGCGAGCTTTTTGATGCGGCCCTCGTTGCCGGACGCGGTCACGGCGACGACACCCTTGGCACGAGTCCACAACAACAAAGCTCCAGCGGTATCAACATCTTTGCCCGTCTCGGAAGAGATGCGCTTGGCGATGCGCTCGAGAATCGGCTTGATCGGTCCACCCGTTGGGTGACGGAGCAGGGGGGTAAGAGGACCGTAGGCTTCGGTGCGGATGCCATGCTTCTCCTGGATTTTGAGCAGAGGCTCGAGCTGCTCGAGCAAGTAAGGGTGGTACTCGAGCTCTGTAGAGGGGAAGAGTGAGATGACTGTGAGCACGCGCCAAGGAAAACTTCCCAGGACATGCTAGGCAAGGTCAGAACGCACGATTGACGACAGGCTTGTACTTGACCTGGTCCAAAAAGCCTTCAAAGTCCTGAGGTCGGAAGTTGGAGACCCCAATCGAAGACTCGAGCTCGCCATTGTCCTTCATCTCTTCAAGCACACGCCAGAACGCGAGCATCTCCCCCTTGGGTGCGAGGAAGGGGTTGTGAATGAGCAGCAGGTTCGGGTGGAAGCCGAGACGCTGGATGGTGGATTGCACGGCCTTCTTGGCATCGGCGACGGGAATCGGTTCATTGTCGGGGTTGCCTTCTTTCTGTGAGACTGTGGAAAGGAAGTAGCCTCGTCCAATCAGTACGCGCCGGAGGACAGGAGCATCTCCGCGGGGCGGGGAGCGGACTCACGCTTGGAGGTGACGTAGATCTCGGCACGGGGAACGGCCGTGTTGCTGATGCTTTGGCCCGTCTCCTTCTCGTTGTCGTAACCTAAGAACGGTCGGAAAGGCAATATCAGCAAGTGGTTCTCAAAAAAAAAAAAAACCCGGTTTACTCCTTGCCTTGCGCAGTGTCGATGTGGCGGATGCCAGCGCCGAGGACAATCTTGCCCGATTCGACGGCGGTCTTCTTCGCATCACCTGTCCCATTGCCCCATGCGAGGGTCGGGATCTTGGTGCCATCGTGCAAATCGAAGGTGGGGACAGAGAAGCTCATCGTGGATCGGGTCTGTTGAGGATTCAAGCGAGGTTTGAGTGACCGAGCTGCTGCTGCACCAAGCCGGTACAGCCTGGAAAATCAATCGATCTAGCTTAAGGAGGGCTTCGACGGTGCAATAGAGCATCGAAGCAAGCTCACAATGTGACAAGATTGACTCACATGAAGAATTGGGTTGTTTTGGGTGGGGCGAGGTGGAGAGGCACGAGTGAAGAAGCGATACGCTGAAGGTGATCTTCTTTGGAGGGGAGCGGCGAGATCGAAGCGAGCTAGTTCGGCAGAGCGGTGACGTCGTCGTGGCGGACGGCTGGCTTTGTCAGACACTGCTCCGTCCACGGATAAAAGGGTCCTCGATCTTTCGCGCCGCGCATTTGGGCAAAAAACCGATGAAATCGGCACCTACATATATATAGTAGCCACGTTGCGACCGACGATGCCGCGGAAGCCGACACGTCCTGTTCAAGTTTCATTCGACTACTACAATGGCTGATTCGCCCGCTGTAGAAGGCAGTATGTAGTTTCCGGAGGTAGGATATGCTTATGACTTAATGTTAAGAGAAACGAATGGTGTATTTCAACGTTGATCATTCTGGGACGACCGGAGTTGCTGTACGAACAGGCCTCACTAGCTCGACCTCCGAGTCAAGCCTGAGCTCGAGCTCGAGCACGTGATCCTTTGCTGAAGGTGCGTCGCACGTTGAACCGGGAAATTAAAGGCGCTTGCAGCCTCAGGCTTGCAGCTACATCCGAGCTACACGATTCAACTATGTCCGATGACAAGAGATGACTAGAATTTCTTGGCCGAACCCACTCATCGAATTCGGAGAGGTACATGATTCGGACACTCGAGAGCAGTTGTATGCGCGTTGTGTGCAAAAAGCCACTCGGTGACAGCAACGTCGGCCTGGGGGAACCGCCCAAGGTCGGCCGTGCTTCTAGGGAGTCAGACACGGGCTGCGTCGTCACGTACCAGCGTACTGCCGATCGCGAGTTATCGAACAGTGCCCCAGACCGAGCTCCTTTTTTCATAGAGTCCGAATGGATACTATTGCGAGAAAGAGGGCAAGAATCGATTTGTTCATGTCAGCCTGGTGCAATCATATTTTCCCCCATACTACTAATACAGTGGCCCGCGGCGGTCGGGTGGAATCGATCGCCATTCAATATTCACCGCGCGGTTTGGGGCATTTGAGGCGCGTCGCGTCAGGCTGGTGCCAGTACTGCTGAGCGCGAACTGTTCGCTTCCACTCTCCTGTCCTGTGCCTCAGTCCTGTGCCTCACGGTTTGCGACCGATCCTATTGGATGGCCAGAAAATTGACGGCGGCGAGTTCGTGAGTTGAACATGCCCGCCAGTTCCGATTCTGCGTTGGGCCAATACTGATTCTGTCCCTCTCCTCTTCCCATTCTCGACGATTCGGGCCACTTATCCCCCCCCCCCCCCCCCCACCCCCCCTTTCGACCACCGGTCTTGCTGCACTAGCGCCTCCTCGAGCAGTCAATCCACTGTTCCTCGTCAGACGTTGCTCTCGGCCTACTTCGCCAAGAGCTCTCCGACGCCGACGCCTACGTCCGCCCCTTTATCGGCAGAGACGCGCAACCGCGAGGTTCCAGTTACGAACGGATCACGACGCCCAGCAGCGGTAGCAATAGCTGGACCTCCAGCTTCCAGCAGCTCCGCACCTTCGTCACCCTCTCACACGACATTGAACATCCAATCCAAGGCCAAGCTGCAGAACGGTGCTTCACAGTCATCGACAAGCATCAGAACCGACGATCAGAGCCAGTCGGTGACCGCCAGTCCTCTCAGCAGCTCTGCGAATGACGGTCCGGTCGCCTCGTTGAGCCGGTCCAGTTCCCACATCAAGCTACCGGATGCAAGTGGTTCCTCGCGATCCACGACGCCGCATACGCCGATTCGGTCCACGATGAACCAGCCGAACGGAATTCACGTAAGCCAGCCCTCCATACGGCGAGCTCGACACGCTGACCTGAATTCATGCTTGAGCGACCGCGACGTGAGGTTCTAATTGACTGTGTCGTGCATTGCCAGATCACCCCCAAGGCCTCGACGAGCCAGATCGCTACGCCACCATCGATCGGAATGCCCACGACCCCAGCTCACGTGACCAGATCGGGCAGCTCCACGGTTGAGAGTGGCGGCGCAAGCTGCTCTCCAGCCAAGCAAACGGGCGAGCCTTCACAGTCTGGTCCAGCCTCGAGCGCCAAGGGCAAAGGACGACAGGAGCCCATCGAAGACCACTTTCATGATCATCCTGATTCGGCGATGTCCGAGGACGATGCGAACCGAGACGACGTGGAGCCGGACAGCTGTCCCGACTCGCAAGAGACCGAAGTTCCGCTGTGTTCCCAACCCTCGCAAGCTCGATCTCAGCGGATCCAGAGCCCGCAGACTCGACAGACAACCCCTCTTCCCGATTTTCGATCCGTGCCAGCGTCGCATTTCTACTCACCTCCGATAGCTCGTTCGATGGAAGCCACACCCGTTCTCTCAGGCCACGGACTGTCGATTCCCGTGAATCTGCCTGCAATAGGTGCTCCCATTGTCACGCCGAGTGGTGCGAACGGCGCAAACAGAACCCGTCGGTCCTGGTCGTTAGCATCCCAGTCCAACACCAAAGCTCCCACGACACCAGATCGTTCGTCAGCTTCTCGCTTCCTACGCTCGCCGAGCAATTCTTCGCTCTCGTCTCTCGACCCGTCCCCTGTCAAGCCATCGCCCGTCAAAATCGGCTCACCGCCGACTCGCAAACCCCACTCGTTCGTGCTCGAAGTGCCATTGACACGTGTCCGCGATCGAACGACCTCGCTCACACCGCGGAGGAAGCGTAGAGCACGCTCCGACTCCTCCGACTCTGACGAGAGCTCTGGCTCGGCGAGCGCAAGTGATTCAGACGACGAGGCGCTGAAAGCAGCGTTATGTCGAGCCGCGGCCCGCCGAGCGGAAGGCAAGGCGCTCAACTCAGAACCATCCAATTCTGTTTCCACATCGCACGATGGCGACGACAGACGACGATCATTTCGGCCGCGAGCGGCGCTGGGGGCATTGACAACGAACGTCGCCAAGCCCAAGCACGACTTTGGCTTCGGAGGCTCCTCGTCAGCGACGCGAGGTGGCTTTTCGATCGCGGCCCTCAAACGCGAACGCGATGCCAAAGCCGCCCGTGGGGTCTCTGAAGCTTGGATTGAGGGCAAACGTCTCATGATGAACGCGAGCGACTCGGACTCGTCGGATGAGGACGCTCTGGCCGACCCGTTCGCGTCGACGCTGACCGCGGATCAAGTTGACGAGATGGCCAAGGTCGCTGCGGACGTGGTCGTTGATCCTGACTTGGATCCGGAACTGATTGGATCTCCGGAGAAGCGGGATGCGAGCGACCGTTCCCGAGCAATGGCGCGTGTCCTCAAGGACGACTTAGGAAAGTCACCCGAGGCAAAATCGATTGACGAAGTTGTGCAACAACGCGTCTGCTGGCGCAAGGAGATCAGGGCCACCACCTGGACGAGGATGACTGATAGTGACGATGAAGAGATGACCGGACCTCTCACAGAAGCCATTTTAAGAGCCATCGAAGGTCAGTATAGTTGTGCAAGTCTGTTTGCGACTCTATACTAAATGCCGACTCTCATTCGCAGACGGGCGCCGCGATGCCTCGCGCTTTCCTGCACCGATCGTCCTGTTGCCTGGCCGCGCTCGTCACTCGCTCGACGACTACAAAATAGGGGCGCAGCACCTCCTATCGCTGATCTGCCATCCGCACACCAACTCCGAGCTCGCCGAACGAGGGCATGCCCTACTGGACCGAATCATTGTCCGCGAGGCTTCGAGCGCCCCACCACGAGATGCGCTTTTCACAGCGCTCGAACTCGAAGAGCAGCTGAGAGTACTGGGCCTCAAGACCGATGCGCTCTCCCACGCAGACCCCGAGAGACTGCCCCCAAGCTCTCCTCTCACGGATCTTGACGATGAGGACTCGACCCCTCAGCCCCAGCAACCTATCGTGACCGACGAACAACGAGTCGCGGCGGTGACGAGGTTGGTTCGAGTCGTCCAGGCACTCGCATCCTCACGGTAAGTCGACTTTACCCCAGCGAGCCCCGCAAATCAGCCAACTGAAATCATGTCAGCATGCCACAGACCGAATTGCGTTCTAAAACTTTGCGATATTGCCCCTTTGGTCACCGTCTTTGTCCGGCTCGCGCTCGATCCGTCGGCAGCGCCGATGCGGGGATCCCTTGAAGCCGTTCTGAGGAGTCTGCTCGATGCCGTCACTTTCCAGGACACAGCCACTGTAAGTGTGCATCGATTTCGATCTGGTCTTTTGATCGACGCCAGACTAAACAACTCGTCTTTGCAAGCAGAGAAGGTCCATCTTTTCGAGACTGCTGGGCCTGTACCCCATCCGCGATGCCCATCTCCACGTTGAAGTGCTGCGCGCCTTGCCTCGACAGAGCGAGGTCGCCTTGAGCCTCAGAGCTGCGCTGGCCTGGGGCTGGCTGTTCAACGTCGAGGCAACCCCTTCCTCGAAGGCGCACGGTGTGAGTCCCTAGCGAAACATATTGTGATACTGCTCGCCCCAGTGCTGACCATGGGTAATCTCTCACGTTGGCCACAGCATCTCGACGACCCGCATCACCGGCAAGCGCACCTCAAGGCTATGCTGCGCATGCTCACCTCGCCAAAGTCGGACGGACCGTTCATGGTCACCCGAGACGTCGACGATACGGTCTTGTACTACAACGCCCAGCTGCTGTCGATCGCTCTGTCGGATGTCGTGGAGGGTCTATACGACCCGGATCCCGAGCAGCGTCGAGCAATCCGAGAGCTCGTCGAACAGATCTTCACAACGCTCAATGGCATCGAGAACAGGATTCGTGAGTATGGCATCGTATCTCAGAGAGTACCAATTACTTCAATGCTCATGCTGGTTTTTCTCTTGCTGTCTCCAGGAACGGACGTACGCCATGGGAATCCGATGAGGAACCGAGCCAAAAACGCGTTGACCCGCGTCGCGCACGCTCTGACATATGCCTGGCGGGCAGCCAAAGGTCAGAACGCCGGTCTCGACTTCTCGAGCATCACCAATGCTGTTATCGAGAATGAAGAGCAGCAGGGTGGCGGTCTTGGCGCGTCGACGGGCCCGAGGTTCCAGACGACGCTCGACTCGATATTCGCCAAGAGGCCCAGGTTGATCGAGGCCGGGGGTGGGGAATGAGCGCCGTCTCCGTGGAAGAAGAAAAAGGGGTCTGTACTAGACTTTCATGCTTGTGCTTCTTTGCTTCATTTGTTTTTGTGTTGAATTGTTCCCGTGATCGTAATCCGAGAAGTGCCGGGTTGTGCTACGCAAAGAAAGTGCCGCTTGTCAGCACCGTGGTGACCCGATTAGTCAGCCGAAAGAGTCGGCGGCGCCAGACGCCAGACCCTCGGCCGCCCGAGCAGAAATTCAGCTTGGTTCCATTCCAATCACTCTCCCTGGACAACCTTCAGCGCAGCATGTCGGACGAAGCACCCATCACGTTCATCAAGAAGCGGAAAGGTGCCCCTACAGGCTTGCGGCAAAAGGAAGCCGTTGCATCGACTTCGACCGCTGCTGCACCGTCAACTTCGACAGCGAACGGCGACGGTGATGCGCCGGTCGAGAGCGAAGTCATCTACGCGACCAAGCGCCACCTCACCAGCCACCTCGTCCAAGGCACAGCAGGCGCGATTCGGAAACGAAAGGAGAAGGACGCGTTCGCGGATCTTTCGGAGGAGAATGAGGAAGCTGCCGAGGCTGAGAGGACCAAGCAGACCGTCGGAGTTCGGTACTCGGCGACGACCAAACGGGAACGACGGAGGAGCAGTTCACCCCCTGCCGAAGTATCGGCCGAGTTGATCAAGTTGCAGCAACAGAGCAAGGGCAAGGACGGCGATAGATCGGCGAGGGACGTACCGGATGATGGGTTGTACAGAGGCGCCAAGGCGACGCAGCATCAGGTGACCAAGTCGTTTGGACCCATCAAGGGCGGACCGGACAATGTGCGCCAAATCACCCTCGTCGATTACCAACCCGATGTGTGCAAAGACTATAAAGGTGAGTCTACCTCTCGCAGGATCGGTGGAGGAAGGCTTGCCGTTTCCGCGGCCTGCCTTTTGTCCACCGCGGGCACTCTTACTCAGCACGACTGCAGACACTAACAAATCCTCGGATTCCTTCCTTAGAAACGGGCTTCTGCGGGTTTGGCGACTCGTGCAAGTTCTTACATGATCGAGGCGACTACCTCCACGGCTGGCAACTCGACAACTCGTTCCTCTCCTCCTCGGCCGCGGCCGGCTCCTTCCTCTCGAAGCAACACGCGCGAGACAACCCCGACGAGAACGACGAGCAAGAACCCGTCGACGACCTCCCCTTCGCCTGCCTCATCTGTCGACAACCATTCGGCAAGGACCCAGTCGTCACACTGTGCGGGCACTACTTCGATGCGGCGTGCGCGATCAAACGATTCGCCAAGACGGGCAAATGCTTTGCGTGTGGAACGAGCACGAACGGCGTCTTCAATCGCGCGACCAAGTTGATCGACAAGATCAAGGAGAGGGAGAAGCTGTTGGAGGAGGCCAAGGAACAGGAGAAGAAGTTTGAGGATGATGAAGGAGGGATCGAGATCGAGGGATTGGAAGAAGAGGCTGGAGGTGCGAGTCGAGCACGGCAGGAGGAGGAGGAAGTGGTGTACGAGGATGAGGAGCCGAGACCGGCCAAGAAACGTAGACCTATCATTCAGATCATGTAAATTGAGATCCAGTTGAGGTTTCCTCACAAATAATTGCGAGCAATGAGAGATCAAGAGCCCTGAGAGTCACTTAACCGCGCCGAACACGAGTACTCAGCGTAGGCGCCCAGATGCGAGGCCAATTCAAATCCATCAATCCAAAGTCCCGGCAAACTGATCCAATTCAGTCTCTCGCGTGCCTCTCTTCACACGTCGTTTTTGGGGGGCAAGGGGGGGAGCTGTTTATTGCACGAAGCGCTCGACTACTTTTGCCGTACTCGACACCAACCTAAAAGAGCACTTCCTTCATGATCCCAGCCAACACACGACCACACCTGCGCTTAGAAGTTCTTCTTGGACGAGAGGGCCAAGTGCGACGAGAACTCATCGAAGGGGGTCTGGGAGAAGGGAATCTTCTCCCACAGGTCGGGGGTGAGGAAACCGTAGGTCTGCGAGATTGCGGCGAAGGTGGCCTTGATGAAGTTACCGAGGGTCGAGGTGTTACCACGCGACGCGGTGTAGCAATCTTCGACACCGGCGAGCTGGAGCATTCGCTTCGAGGCGGGGGCGGCGACGATACCGGTTCCTCGGGGTGCGGGGACGAGGTCGACGTAGACGGATCCCATCTTGCCGTTGACCTTGCAGGGGACGGTGTGGGGCTCACCGAGCTTGTTGCCCCAGTAACCACGTCGGACGGGGACGACCGAGAGCTTGGCGAGGATGATGGCGCCTCGGATGGCGGTGGCGACTTCCTTGGCGCACTTGACACCGAGTCCGACGTGGCCGTCAAAGTCACCGATGGCGACGAACGCCTTGAAGCGGGTGCGTTGACCGGCACGGGTCTGCTTTTGGACGGGCATGATTTGCATGACCTCGTCTGGAGTACACGGAGGGCGGGGTGTCAGTCAGTACTAGACGCGATTTGTTGCGGGTCCGTGAATCGCACGGGCGTGAAACTGACCCTTGAGCTTGGGGAGGAGGATGTCAATGATTTGGTATTCCTTGACGGGGAGAGAGAAGAGGTAGATTTCCTCGATCGACTTGATCTTGCCGTCCTTGACGAGGCGACCGAGCTTGGTGACGGGAATCCTGCGGGGGACACCAGTTGCAGAGATTATGAGTGGCTGCTTTAACGCGTCTACCACACGTCCCCGCTCTCGTGGCCCACTCACCATTCGTTGTCCTCTTCCTTTCGGGCTCCACGACGGGGACCTCGACGAGATCCTCGACGGTCACCGCGGCCTCGACCGAAACCGCCACGAGATTCACCAGCAGGTGCAGACATGCTGTTGGTGGGTGCAGAGCATTAGGGGGGTCAGCAAGAGTTGCCAGTGATGGGGCGTTGTGGTCGTGGGTGTGCAAGTCGTAGTGTTCGTAGTCCTTCGCTGCTGCTGGTAGTGGAGTCTGCGATGGCCGTGGTCGTGGAGGTCGGATGGGACTCGCTGCTGCTGCTCGCTCTGTGCGCCGTGGCCCAGCGACGGTCGTTCGAGTGTGCAACAAACCCTGCAGCGACGCTCCCCACCTCCTCCCAGCGCATCCGCTATTCCCAGACCAGTTCCATCTCCGTCCTGTATACCCAGCCGTTCCAATCGTGTCCTACAAGACCGCGCATCCCGGCCTGTGCGAGTCGTGCGCCGCCGCTCATTTTTGCTCGCGGCCCGCCTCAGCGCTCGAGGCCGACACGCCCCAGCCGGCTCACACGCCCGCGACTGCACACCGCACACCGCACCGCAGACGGTCTCGCTGCCCCTCCCATCGTTGTCGCATGTCGCACCACCGCAGGTCGAGTCGTGTCCTCGTCGAACGCACTTGCTGCTCGTCCAATCCGTCACCAGAGGAAGGGGTGGGAATACGTACATGTAAGGGAGATGAGTGGACGACGGCTTGTGCTAGCAACTACGGCAACTGGCCAGACACCAGAAAAGAAGCCCGCTTCCGACTGCCTTGCCCCCAGGCGCGCCCCGCCCTTTCGCATCCTTTCGCTCTGCTCGTAAAATCAGCGGCGGCGCGTCGGTTGCGGAGCGGCATCGAGCAGAGCGCAATAAATCTGCGGGTTTTGGCCGGACGAAATCACTCCCCCTCATGACAGCGGAGAAATTGGCGATCAAACCGTTAGCAGTGCAAAGATCGCACATTCCGTGCTGTCTTCGATTTACATAGTGTTCTAGTACTCTGGAAAGAAACAAAGTCCGGTTCATTCAAGTACAGTTGGTGCACAATTTGGCCGGGCTCGAAAATAAGAAGACCCCTAACTCAAGTCGATCGGCCGCCTTTCAAACACCCCACCCCTTCGAGCTAGGATTGAAACCCCTCGTTCAAAGCCTCGGCCTCCCTCCGAATCAAATCCTTCGCACTATCCATCACATCCTCAAGATTCATCACCGAATGCGTCGCCCCCTCCACGACCCAAGTCTCTACCTCGACGCCCAAATGTAAGGCGCCGCTCCGCTTACGCCTCACGACGACCTCGAGCCAACCTCTGCGGCCTCACGCTTGCCCTCGCGCGCGGCGCCGCCGCGTCTCTTGACCTTAGTCCTTTTAGTAGTCTTTCTTCGCCTGCGAATTACACCGTTTGATCCTTTCTGTTTGGACTCGGAATCAGTGAGGCTCGAGAGCAATCTCGTGCCTTTCACCAAACTCTTCAACTTCTCCGCATACTTCAACGCCTCCGGCGCGAGGATGTCCTGACCTGCTACAGCGATGAATGTTTTAGGCACTAGAGCGATTTCTGAGTCGGGTGCATAGTAGGGCGAAGCCTCGGGGTGGGACCAGTCCGCTTCGTTGGGGAGGTACAAGCGACGGTACCACATCATTCGGTCGGGGGATAACCACGGCGCGTTGGTGTTGATGGTGTACTCTTTGATGGAAGAGTCGACGACGGGCGTGTTGAGCAATTGGAAGGAGATCTTGATTGGCGGGGAGAGTTTGGGAGCCCTGTTGCATAGTATCGCGGAGAGGTTCCCTCCTCTGTCCGGTCCGGGGGAGAAATTATCTCAGCCTCCCTTCTAGAAACAGGACTATTTCGGTAACTCACGCAGAAAAGCCACCGGTGGCAATTCGAGAGCTGTTCAAGTTGAGCTTGGTACAACCTTCGCCAACGACCCACTGCAGTGCATTAACCGCATCATGAACCGCTGCGGGCCAGGGGTGTTCAGGGGCGAGGCGGTAGTCGACCGTGATGGTAACGCATTTGGCATCTGAAAGAGTCACGATGACGAGAATCGAGGAGGGATGCAGAGACATGAGAACTTTCATGGAAACTTGTTTACAATTGTGCTGATTCCTCACCTTGCGTCATGGCTGTGCAGATGTGGTTTTCACTGTCGAGGCCGCCGAGAACCCATCCTCCTGTGACGAGTCAAGATTTTTGGGTACATCGATCAGGAGCCGAGCAAAGTCGGGGATACCGTGGGTAGCACAACGAGTCATACCAAGTTGGTGTTATACGCACCTCCATGGAACCTATTTCACACGACAAGATATGTCAAGATATGATATGTCGTCCGCTTTCCGAAAGTGGATGCGTTGAATCTGAGTTTGACTCACCAAAGCAGAACCGGCCATCCTTCCGCAGGGACTTCACCCAGTGGTGTCCAAGCCCTGACCTTGATATTCTCGAGACCAATGACGAACTCTTCCGTCTTGGCCACTTTCCTAATGTGAGACGATCCGGGCATCAAGCCTTTGCTCGCAGCGGCGCGGATCGAGGGCGAGTACGGCGTGTCCTCCGTTTTGGGCATGTATATCACGTGTTCGTTGTGGAACTTTACATATTGCGGGTCCATCAAGGGGAGGACCGAGGGGTCAATCGGTTGGTGCTTCGTTCGATCTGAGGAGGACATAGTGGCGGGAGGAGGGGTCTAATCGACCTCTATGGTTGCTGCAGTACGGGAGAGCTCTAGTTGGACGGAGAAGATGGAGAGGACAGGACGATGAGCGAGCCAAGGCTGGATCGGAAGGTGCGAGTGGGGCCAGCGCTTGTGGGGGTTTGTTTGGACTGAATTCCGATCTGTACATATGCGGAGCCTCTCGAACCGATGTTTTTAGGTTTGCATCAGAAGTAATGTTGAATTTGCTCAATGATGACCAAGATCAGCCTTCAGCACTCAATCCGGTACCAAGGAAAATAAATATTTCCAGCACTTGTGTAGGTCAGTATAAGTCAAATCCAATTCGGTCCGCTGAGAGGTCCCTCATTTTCACCCCGGAAATGTCACTCACGCGCTCACTAGGAGGTGACCTCCTTAGCCCGACTTGGCGGAGCAGAGCGAGTTGCAATTCTTCGCCGCCGAAGCGACGGTGCAGGTTGATTGAAGCTCAATGCAGAGCTAACCGGCAAGAATCAAGAAGTTGACTGCACTAAAAAAAGGCGCTAAACCACAAAATGCGCCATTGGCATGAGGCCCCGCTTGGGCCAGGACCCCCGAAAGCCCAGCCTGAGGTGCGTAGGTAAAATCCGCTAAAATCCCGGATTTTGGACCTCTTTTGTCCACCAATTTTTGGATTTTTCGCCCAAAAAAGTCCCCAAAATGTCCAGTCCATCTACGCGCATCCAAAAATAGCTCTAAAATTGCTTCAAATGCTCCAAAACATCTTCAAAAATCGCGAAAACGCCGTCCGGACATTTTTCGCCCGGACCGAATCGGCGGAGCCCGCGCGCGCGTCAGCCGTTTTGGATCTGCTTCGCCGAGGGGCAGGGCTCCTCACCTGCACTTGCTGCCTGCCTTTTTGACTAGCTTTGACGTGGCCTTGGTATACATGTAACGTACTACGAGAGGTAAGATCGATTGCAGTCACTCTGGGAAGCAGTAAGCTAGCTACCGTGAGATCCACGAACCCCGAGGATCATTGAGGGGGTAATTGCTCCTCAACGAGCAGTGAAGGCATCACCTCCGGAGCTCTAATGATCAGACGTTGATCTTCGATGTCGACACGCAGATAACTTCACCAGCTCTTGGCTACTGATAACAACCGAACGCATGCGCTCGGCGTGATCCATATGCCGCCAAATTTGACACCGAAAGGCAGCCGATAGTGATAGATTGGTGGCCTTGCCTACGTGTCGCAACGATTGCTCCACGGACCACGATCCTTCAACTTGTCCCTCCAAGCATCGAGCGGCCTAGCAAGAGTATCACTTGTCTGTCGAGACTCGACCATGAAAGCTGTATCCGGGTGTCTGGTTTGTCAAGCTGGAGGTGAGAGGCTCAGACACCCTCACGTCCATGAGGGGTGCCATTTGCTCAAGAATATCGTCAAGGAGATCGATATCCGGATCTCAAGATACGTTTCATCGAAGCAAGTCGTGCCGAGAATGTAGGATATTGGCGATGATGGCACAGACGACGTCGACGCGACGCGGCGGGGAAGGCAAGAGACGCGCGCACTCAAACGCTTCGTTCAACCAGCCAAGAGGTTATAAGTGCAAGAAATACATCAATCCCTGAAGCTCTCTAGAGCTGAAGGTTTGTTCAAGGAAAATTGGGGGGCGCGAGCTGGCGAAATTGACGAGATTCTCAACATTAGTAATTCTCGTTGGCGGGGGGCGGCTCTTGGGGGCGCGCGAGCTGGCGAAATCCCTGAAGCTCTCTAGAGCTGAAGGTTTGTTGAACGAAAATTGGGGGGGGGGGGGGGGGGGGGGGGGGCGAGCTGGGGAAATTGATGACAATCTCAACATTAGTAATTCTCGTTGGCGGGGGCGGCTCTGGTGGGGCGGGGTGGGGGGGGGGGGGGCGCGCGCGCTTGGAAATCGGCGACGGTCTCAACATTAGTAATCCTCGTTGGCGGGGCGCGGCTCTCGCACAGGCCCGCGCGCAAGGCCAGTCTAGGCAAGTAGCCGGCAGCCAGAAACGGCGCGGAACGGCGCGGAAGCTGAGCATGCCTTCGGCTTCGTCTGATAGCTGTGTACGAACATCAACATCTCAGTAGCTCATGGTACAACCTTCCTCGGGGATTAGTTAATCAGTCACGAACGGTGCTCAGTCGGTCCGATAAATCAGTCACTGGTAACAAGTGGCAATTGTGTTCCCCACCCCTGCGGCGATGTCGATCTCTCCCAGTTCACGTTTCTTAGTCGTGCCTCCCGACGCCGAGTCATTGCGACTCATTGGACAGCATCTGGGAGCTTGGCTTGACAAGAGGCAGTCGCTCTTGCCATCATGGCGAACGAGTTCAGTACACTTATCATGGACTGAACAGATCTGGTTCCTCGCAGTCGCTTGACGAGGATCTACTAACTCTAGTGATCAGGTGCTCGTTGCGACAGCTCGTCTTGTCCAACGTCAACCTTCGTGCACTGCCAGTGTGGAACAACTGCAGATTCTCTGTCAGGCTCACAACTTGCAGGGCTACTCTCTTCGGCGATCAAAGGTTACATAATTGATTTTGCGTGTTCTATTGTCTTCATGCGCTGGGCGTTGTCCAGCATACGAGATTGGCTACATCTTCAAGCGAAGCACAGCCAATGACATTCTGGTCCCCAGCCTGCAGGCCTACAACGTTTGATTTCGAGGAATGGCGTGCTGCCATCACTGATTCGCGTGGTCCATCGGCGGAGCGACCTAAAGGCCACCCCACCTACTACTAGATTTTATTATAGAGGCTGACTCGGGGTACACTTTGTGTCCTCAGTCTCGAGCACAAGCTTGCCTCCGGAAAGGCAGCGGCAGGAGCACTTGCTCGTGGCGTCCGAGTCCGAGGCAAAGTTGCGACTCAGGGCATGTCCAAGTTGCGATCCTTCCTTTTCTGAACATGGGGAAACGGCATAGAAATTGGGAAATACTTAATGTAAGTTGAATCTGTTGCAAAGAAAGACAGAGATCTGACTCCTTCCCATTTCTCACCCTCACCGGCCCGGCCAGCGATCGAATTCAACACGCCAAACCTACTAACGGCGAAGCGGCAGGTGGTCTTCATCCACCACCAGTTGATCACACCCAGGATGTAAGTAGTGATGTATATGCTTGCCTTTGTGTGCTCCAGCGTCTGATGATTGGGCGGACAGACACGGGTGTGTGCAGTCATTGGAAAGATGGAGTCACAGGGGGCGACCCGGTGCTGGACGCCGGCGTGATTCCGCCTGTTCCCAATTGGACCCGGAGAATATTCTCGACCTGCCCGACTACAGTCTTTTTTGTGCGGGGGTCCGGGAGGGGCTTGTTACCGGTCGCAAGCACGCCAAAGGATATCCCACGCAACTCCCCGTGACTGTCGATGAGCATCCTGGGCCACTTGCACAAGGATATCCCACGCTAGGGAGTGGGCACCCTGGGTGAAGGTGATCTGTGTGCGGTTGTCTGCACCGTCGAGGCTCGCGCTTGGAGGGACAGGTCCTCCGGCAAACCTTTTGTGCATATTGTATGGGCCTGATGTATTTTCCTTGTCTGATGTGCGGCAGATGACACGCCAGACCACGCCCCCGCCGACAGTCCGACTCAGTCCTAGGCGGGTCATTGCCTCTCCTGTCAAGCGTTCGGCAATGGACGCCGAGCTGAATATTGACTTGTCGAGCACCGATGGTCATGAGGATGAGTTCAAGCCCGCAATTCCCACTGAACTTTTTATACCGGCTGATGGGTTTGGTTACTTGGCGTTCAACAGTCACTGACAACAACAAGAATTCGGCTCACGCGCAAGCGAAAGAGGCCGCCGACAAGGATCATGAAGTCTCTTCGGAACGCGCAGCTGGCTCCTACCGCAGGACCGGGAAGGCCGGCTCATGCTTGATTGGTCTCAAGCGAATGGTGATGGAAGAAAGGGTTCCTGGACCTTGTTTGAACAACGAAAACGAAAATAGATATGTTTGAATGAGGATAGGCAGAGAAGAAAATTTAAAATGAAATGCAGTCGAAATTGAATGAAATGTGGATGTCGTTAGAGTCTCTAGCCTTGCCATCTTGCGGTGGTTATTCGCTCGCGGCTAAGCAGGAGGTAGTGCCTGTCCTCGGGCCATAGTTGTGTGAGTGTGACTTCATAGAGGGCACTGGAGGTTCAGGGACTTGTCGCCGCCCCGCGGTGCGTTAATTAGAGCCGTTGTTGTGAATTCGGTACAGCCCAGAATGATTCGCGCGCGCTCCCGCACGTTCTTGAGGGTCGGCAAACTTTGGCCTTCCATGCCGAATGGGGCCGAAATGGGTCACGATTTGTCCACTGACACCTACGGGCCTAGCACCCCACCCACACCGGCGCACCCTGATTTGTCCACCCCTGACTACGCGCCTTGGCGATTTTGGCCCATCTGAGGCCCAAAATTTGTCCAGTCGGGCCCTACGCGCCTCAGGCCGGGCTTTCGGGGGTCCTCTTGGGCCCGGCCTTCGCCTTTGAGGCAACCGCAAGGCGCGCATCCACAGGTGCAGGTCACGTGAGTTTGCTCTGACCCAAGCGCGACCGACCTCCTGACGCGAGGCTGCTCTTCCGCTTTGGCCCATCACCTGCGTGTCCTGCGCAAGCACACGTAGCTGGTCGAGCACCCTCATCGAACAAAGGCTTCGTCACCGAAATTCAAGCTCCACCTCAGCACGATGCCCCCTTCCACACCCATCAGTTCCTCCTCATCCAACGTCCCCTCCACGACCACGCGCCCCTCCAAATCCGACTACATCGAAACCGACACCGGCAACAAAGTGTCCCGTAAATGCGTCATTTCAGGATCCCAAAACATCATCCTCGGTGGCAAGACGTTGATCCAGCCTGGGGTCATTATACGGGGTGATTTGAGACGGGCCGGTGCAACGGGCGCGGCGGTGGTGGTTAGTATTGGGAAGTACTGCGTTCTGGGAGAAGGGTGTATCTTGAGGCCACCTGCAAAGACTTATAAAGGGTAGGTCGCCTCGAGGTTTGGTCATGCGTCAATACCGTCCTCGTTGCGTGATCCTGACTCTCCTCACCCCCTGACCATTCTGACATGACTCTCTTCGCGCCGGACGCGCCCCTCACAGCATCTTCTCGTACTACCCGATGAAGATCGGCGATTTCGTCCATATCGGAGCAGGCAGCATCGTCGAAGCAGCGACCATCGGTTCGGGCGTCGAGATTGGCAAGAACTGCATCATCGTCAGCGTTTTCAAACCCTTTTCGGAGGATCCTTTAGAAGTACTGAGACGGCGCGTATTTCGGACACAGGGCTCCATGTCTATCATTAAAGACAATGCCAAAATCCTCGACAACAGCGTCGTCGGACCTGGGACCGTGATACCAAGTTTGACCGAATGGGGAGGCAGCCCAGGTACGAACGTCACCACCTTCCTCGAGAGTTTCGGTCCTTGCGAGGGCGAGCGTTCACTTCCCCAGCCACTCATTCCTGACTTCTCATTTGGCCCTTCTTTCCAATCACCGCAGCGCTTATTCTAGACCAACTTCCCGAATCGACTCCCGAGTTGACCGAAGCAAAGTCGAAATCCTTCTACGCCAAGTTCCAACTTGAGTGAAGCGCAATTGAGACCCCTTTCGGCAGTCCTCACCGAGTGTTGTTGTATTTGTTTTTGAAGCGAACCATAGATTTGGCATAGGCACAAGAGAGCACGAAGGCATGTTACATGTTTGTAGAAGCAAGAGAGAAGACCCCAGATAAAGCTCGGAGAAGACCTAAGAGAACAAGAAGTGTGGGAGACAAGTACAGAGATAAGTCCACATGGACCACGGACTCGGCCCAATCACTGTTCGCAATAGAAGGCAGGTTAAGGTCAGCAACCTGTGGCAACCTGCTTGTAGCGAGAGTACAAACAAACTCACGACACCGATACGATGGACCGTCTTCTTTCCTCCCGAGAAGCGAATCACTTCTCTTCGCTCAAGGATGTACAGCGTCCTCTCGAGCGCATGTTGCGTATACCTGAACAAGCAAAGCGCACACTCATCAGCCTAGGTCCAAATGTTCCGAATGCTTCGTGATCTGCTTGACTCACCCTTGCTGCGTGACGAACTCGCGCACCAAACTGGCGTAACTCGTGCTCCACCCGATCGGCAACCGCCTCCTGATATCACTCTCGACCTTGTTGATCTCCTCCATCAAATCACCCCTGTTCATACCTTCGACGTTACCCGCCTGAACGGCATCCATAGTCGAGAACTTGAACAACCGGATCGCCTCGTCGACATGGTGTTCTTGCACTTGAGTTGCCAAAGTCATCTTGGCCAATGATTCGGAGATACGAATGATGGCCTCCAATTGACGGACGGTGATGGGGATCGAAGAGCGTTCGTTGTTGTCCCTCTCGACTTGTTGAACTTGTTTCCTCAACGCGACGAAGTGCGACGACAACTTTTCCGCGGCCGTACGAGAAAGTCGAGGCGCGCAACGCGACTTGCAATACCCGACGAAACGCTTCATCTTGTCAATGTCGATCTCACCAACGACGGCGGACTCGGTCGCGACGTTCATGTGGAGGTTCATGACGTGGCGCGCGATCGTGCGATCGCGATTTTCGTCGTGCTCGTCCTTGACGATGAAGATCATGTCGAAACGGGACAAGATGGTCGTTTGGAAATCAATGTTCTCGCCCGGGGTCTTCATGTCGTCGTAACGACCAAAGACGGGGTTCGCCGCGGCCAGCACCGACGTTCGCGAATTAAGAATGGTCGTGATACCGGCTTTGGCGATCGAGATGGTCTGTTGTTCCATGGCTTCGTGAATCGCGACGCGATCCTCGTCGCGCATCTTGTCAAACTCGTCGATGCAGACCACACCACCGTCGGCCAAGACCATGGCACCACCTTCGAGATAAAACTCACGCTATGAGACCAGAGGGAATCCAAATCGATAACATGAGCACTACGGCCTGTACCATCTCGAGACTTGTTTCTATCCGAACTCACCGATTGGGGATCGCGCTGAACGGAAGCCGTCAAACCAGCAGCCGAAGAACCCTTGCCCGAAGTGTACACCGCGATCGGGGAGACCTTCTCGACGAACTTGAGCAACTGCGACTTGGCTGTACCAGGGTCACCGAGTAAGAGGACGTTGATATCACCACGCAGGCGCATCCCGTCAGGCAAGACCTTCTTCGATCCACCGAATAAGAGGCACGCGACGGCCTTTTTGATGTCTGACAAGAGGGAGGGAGGCTAGATTGATCAGTGGCCGATCCAAGAAGCCGATGGGACATCAGCGCAGCACTGACCTCCGTTGCCAAAGATACTGGGCGCGACGCTGCTCGCGAAGCGTTCGTAAAAGTTGTCGGAACGAGCCAACTCGCCAAACTCTTCCTCCTCCTCGGCCGTAAAGTTGCGCGATCCGCTCTTACCGTCGGTGTCGATCTCGAGACCGATGACGCGGAGATAGGGCGTTCGAAGGGCGACGGGATTGTTGCGCTGTAGGTATGGAACACGACAGGTCAGCGACGAGCTCATAGTACTCTCATGCGGCTGGAATGGCAGCTTACGCCGGAGGATTTGCCGGATTGGAAAGTCGAGTAAATACCCGTTGCAATGACGCGAGTACCCGGAACGACTTTACCCGTCAAATATCTGCACGTTCGTGGTACTCAAGTCAGTCGTCGATGACCTCACTCGCACGTGATTTGTTTTTGACTCACCGATCGGCACTGAGAAGGACGTGTCGGGGCAGTTCACCGACGGGGACCATGTCGGGAGCCTCTTGCAACTTGATTGTCTGTTGATCAACGAAAGTGCACTTGTCGTGCACAATCACGTACGGGTCCATGGGGCACTCTTTGGGTCCATCGGGACCGGGATTTCTGTTGCGATGAAGATGAAGTGCCGAGGTCAGTGACTGGCATACTTATTGTCGGCGGCATCGAGAGAGGAAGGTAAGAAATAAACTGACGATCCACACACTCGGGGCAACTGGAACCCCGTAAAGCCACCCTGGACCTCCATGTGCGCGACATGGCGGCAAGATTTGCAGGTTAGGTGAAGGCGGATCGCACGAGACGAGAGCACACTGGCCGATATGACGATACCGGGTAATCGTACGAGTCGAGAGATGGAAGAAGCCTGAGAACAACAAGCATGGATGAGTGATCTGCCAAGCTCCAGCGACTGCGCGGTGGCGACTCACGCCGAGTTCTCGGAACTGCATCAGCCTCGAGCCACTTCGGAGTTGCAGTTGGATCTCGGGTGTCTCCTTAGCACGACGGTCCCTTTCTTCTGGGTTTAACATCGCCAAGGTTGGCTGAAGGATGGCGCGTGCGAGGTTGCGCAAAGCGACTTCGAACTGAGCAGTGCAGAGTGGCGCGTGGTTAGCCTCGGCCGCTCGACGCGTTTATGAGACGCGTCCCGGCCTGGGGAAGTACGAATGCGACGAAGCGGTCGCTCGCGTATGACCCATGCCGTATCGAAAGCTCGTGATGAACATGTTCGAAAGTGACCCAGTCACACTCACCAGGGGTACGACTTCGCCTGGTTCGGTCCTACACCTCGCGGCGAGGTCCTCGTTCCATCCGATCAGGTGCGACACCTCGACCTCGAGCGTGTACTCCTTGCGCAACAGGTTCGCCCTCAGCCGATCGCGGTAGATGAACGACTCGTTCTCTCGGTAGCCGGTCAGAAAGTCCTGTAGGGCTTTGATGGTCGCTGTGTTGGTCTGTTGCTGCGTGTTGCTTCCCGTCGAGCGGAACGAACCGCCGGTTGTCGAGGCGGGGGGCAGCACGGGCACCGCGTAAACGCTGCCTTGGTCGAAGCCGCTCATATTGTGATGGGGCAAGGTGGTGTGGAAGATGGGCGAGGGATGGAAAAGGTAAAGAAGCAAGGATGACCGCTCAGGGAATCGAGAGAAGTCGGGATGGAGGTGGTGCAGGGGGGAGAGCAGGTGAGAAGGTGACGAGCAGATACGGAGGAGACGCGTCTCAAAATTGCACTCGCGTCAAAACGCGTCGAGCAAGCCGGAACGCGACCCCCGACAAGAAGAGGTCCGAGCGCAAAGTGCCGTACCACTGACGCTGCTGTCTCCACTCGACGCGACTCGGCTCGCTTTCAGCCTTCAGCTCTCCACGCAAAACAGTCGTCTCTGCACCGATCGACCTCTCCTCACTCGTTCCAGATGCAGCAACCGGCTATGCTGTACGGCACCGCCTGGAAGGGGGCTCGTACGACCGCGCTCGTTGTCCAAGCCGTGCTCGCTGGCTTCCGAGGCATCGATACCGCCTGTCAACCCAAGGTGAGGTGCACCGTCCACATTATAACTCTACAAATCGGGTTGGTCTAATGGCGAAAGTGCGCTGTCACAGCACTACCGCCAAGAGCTCGTCGGTCAAGCGATCGAGCAACTCAAGACTCGGCACGGCATCAACCGAGACCAGCTGTGGATCCAGACCAAGTTCACTTCATTGGACGGCCAGGACCTTTCCCAGCCACTCCCTTACGACAAGGGTGCTCCTCTTGCGCAGCAGGTGTGTTAATGTACGACGAGACCACGCGTCCTCGCGCTGAACAACTTCCGAGCTGATGCGCACGAAAACGTCGTACCGAGCACAGGTCCGACAATCGTTTGAGACCTCGCTCAAGCAGCTTGGAACGGACTACGTCGATTCGCTCATCATGCACGCGCCCATGCGAACGCGTGAGGAGACGAGGTCGGTGTGGACCGAGTTCGAGTCATTGGTTAAATCGGGCAAGGTGGGTCCTACGTTAGGCTCGCAGTCCTTCGGGTGTGTTTGAACGCGCTGGATCCGCGTTGGGTTCATCGATTTTTCTGCAGGTTCGAGAGATCGGCATTTCCAACATTTACGATGTCGACTTGTTCGACTGGTGCTTTGGAACTTTTGAAATCAAGCCGAGCTCCATGTCAGTAGATCTCGTATTGCTCTTAGCGCCCAGTGCGCGAACGTGACCGACCCCTCTGTTCTTTCCTCGCCAGTCAAAACCGCTTCGTCGAAGAGCACCTCAACTTTTGCACACCTATCCTCGAGCGTCTCACCCAACGCGTCAAGGAAGGTCACCCCATGGTCCGATTACAGACCTTTTGGACGCTGACGGGCAGTTGAGCTCAATCCCCTTCCTCCATTTGGCCCGAAATTCATTTCAAGTCTGACCCAAGCCCTCCCCCTCCTATCCTAGACCCTCAAATCCTCCGCCAACTCAGCCTTCCTCAAGCCCTCACCTTCTCCGAATCCAGGACAAGACTCAGAACCGCAGCTCAGATATTGTACTACCTGCTCATGACGACTCGTCGATGGCCCAAAGGGATGATCATTCCTTTGACGGGCACGACCAGTGAGCAACACGTGCAAGATGACATCGAGGTGATGCGAGCGGTCGAAGAGAGCTCGGTTGGGGATGGATGGAAGGGGGAGAAGAGGGAGATGGAGGATGCGAGGAAGTTGGTGGAGAAGTACATTTGGTCCGATTATTTTACTGCTGCCGTGTAGAGTCTCGGGCGGAGGGGTCTGTTCCTCGCCGTTTTGTTGTTTTAGCATCTTTCGCTTGCTCTCCCTTTTATTGTTGTACATTGACGCACACCGCGGGGCGGCGACGAGTCCCTTAAGCTCTAGCTGGAATATAGTCAGGGCATGTTTAAGCACGGCTTCACCCATCAGATCGTGTTCCGAAGTCAATGACTGAGGAAAAAGGAGGTGAGAAAAAAAAAAAACCACGTCGCGGCAAAGACTTTAGGCGACGCAACGTGGGGTACCTCAGCTGGAAGATTTTTGTCCCCTTCCCGAGCATCAGGCTGTGGCGACTCCAATATCTTCAGGATTGATAATCTAGAACCGTGTTCGAGAGGGCCGGAGCCGAAGCGCAGTGAATAACAGCTGAACGTGACTTTGAAGGTGACAGCCACGAAGGTGACAGTTACGAAGGTGACAGTTACGAAGGTGACGCTGAAGCCGGACTCGGGAGCTGAGCAGGCCGGCATCGAAGTCGAAGCTCCCGGCGGCGGAAGAGAGATCAACTCCGTTTCGTTGGTTTACCTACCGTGCAAGTCTTTCATCCCCAATTTAACCCTCTAGGTACACTGAATTATTGCTCTCCCCAGCCAACCCTTTGAGCACATGGATGAACTCAGTCCGTCGTAACACCGTGCCAACTCGACCATGATGGTGATCTCTTGTCGAAGCCTTCCGGCGAAATTTGTCGGCGTTCCCCTCAAGATTCGACACAGACGCAGTCATCAAGTTCATCGGGTGAAGTGGGTACGATGTCTATCAAAGATATATCACTTCGAATGAAGATCAAAGCGTTGCAGCGGGTGAGCTTCTGTTGCGCCTTGGGGTCCCCGAAACGTGCTGACCACCAGTGGCTGTCTGTGAATCGCCGAAGACTACAGATTGCCCGCACGCGGTACGAATCACGTCGGTCGAGCCGGTGCCAGCGGGTGATCGCTGCGACTCTGCAATAATCAGGGCTGAACACTGAACAGGGAGCACTGAACAGCACTCAGATCACCGGACATGCCTCCTAGCTGCTTGCTCCGTGCAACGTGTCCATGGCAGAACTGCGCTAGCTATGACTGCGACAGGGAAGGAGCCCGTGGCTACATGACAGCGGCGCCATCTCCTCCTAATGAGGGCCTTGAGAAACGGAAAGAATATGAGGGCTCGGATGAGGTGCCTTCCCATTGTCGGAATGAAAGCCTCAGCTCTAAAGAGCTTCAGGGATCGAAAGGAACCTTCAGCTTGCTCTCCCTCCAATCATATATAGCGTGGAATGCGCCAGCCGTAGAGCCTCAATGTAATTTCATCCCGTCAATACCCTCCAACGTACCCTGCTCCCCCCGCAGTCGTCGTTGCGGAAAAAGCGGAACAAGACGGAGCTACCCAGAGGAGAATTGGGGCGAAGAACGCATCGGCGAAGCTGAAAACTCCATGGATGACAAACGACTGGGTTTTGGGGTTTATGCTTGGAGTGAGGCGAGTCGTTCAGAACCTGAGGGGGGTGAAGAACCACCTGTGCATTCGTGGATGCGCAAGATGGGGTCAGCCCAACGGGTCAAGTGACGAGAGGTGGCGACGCCAAGGGAGAGAGAGCACACACCTGTTCTTGCCAGCGAGGTACCTCTCCTCGAACAACTTCTTGATCTGCTTCTTGGAATCCTCTCGGCCGGACACCTCCTTGAACGTCTCGGGCGCGACGACGCCCTTCAGCCCCTCGAGCTCGAGCGCGTAACGGGTCGGGAGCAAGTGCGAGTAGTTGATCGACTTGATGAAGGGCTTGACCTTGGATCGCTTCTCGATCGACTTCTTGCCCATCCTCTTTGTGACCTTGCGAGGGTAACGGTCGACACCGGCGACGATGGCGTGGGGGTAAGGTCGCTCCTTGGTGCCTTCGTCCGACTGGCGGATGACGACGACCTTGCGGCCGGCGTAGCGCCCCGACAAGACCAATGCAACTTTTCCGGGCTTGTAGATCTTGGGCCTGTTGAGGGTGTGGTTCGTTGCAGTAGGAGTAGCGAGTGAGTGAGTGAGTGCGGGTGCGGTGGGTGGGTCGCGCGTGGGATGGGCGGGCGGGCGGTGCGGAGGTGCGGAGTGGGCGTGGTCGGTCGGTTGCGGCGGAGCGAGTCGTGTGGTGCGCGAACGCGAGAGGCAGCCGGGGCGAGTGTGCGAATTGGCGGGCGAGTCGATCGGTCAGACGAGCGGCAGCGCAGGTAGAGACATAGCCGCCGATCGTACGGTGGTGTATTTCACACAAGATGATCGCAGCGGATGGTCGTGGGTGATGCATGGTGGTTTCGTAGGGTTTGTGGGTCGTACAGCGCGCGCAAGGACGATCATACCAGGCGTGAGGCAAATTTGAGAGGACGCAATCGACGCGGCACAGCAAGCACAGCACAAGGTGAACGAGGTGGGAGGGGGTTCGGAAGGGTCAGCAAAGGTTCAGGACGACGAATGCGGGTGGTGGTATGCTGCTTACATCTTGCTGTTGAGGTACAGGGAAGGGACGAAGGATAGGCAGAGGACAGCTCAGGACAGCTCACCGCGCCCAGCCCGGTCAGGCAAAGTCAGGCAACTGCAGGCGAAATCACTCGAAATCAGGCGCGGCCCAGCCTGGCCCAGCGCCAGCTCCGTGCGGAAGCAAAAGGCCCAAATTGGTCAAAACGGTCAAAACTCGACTCGGACCGACCAGTTACTAATACATAGTTGGACGTGCACGATCTCGACTCGGAACTCTTTTCGACATCGATTCTGTAAGGTGACGCCACCTTCTACACTCTCTTCTTCGTGATTTCGATATCTGCGATGGCTCGTGCATAAACATTCGACTTGCAAAGCTGCACACGGGTTCCTACACCCTCCTAAACTCAGTCGTCAACCTCGCGTGGGCCGACCTCGCCCAAGCTAGCGCACGCTCGCGCACTCTCGCGCAAGCTCGCGCACAGCGTGCAGGAGCCAAGGAGCGCCGCGCTCTGCAGCTGGCAAGGGTCGCTTCCAAGATGACGACTCGGGCTGGTGCGACCACCACCACGACGTACCAAACGTACGCGTTGCCACCCCGACCGGCAACACCCATCATCCTCTCGGCCATGGCCAGTCCGTTCCAGCCGTCCTCACCGATGGGGATCGCTCCGACCTCCGCGACGATGGATCAACCGACCGCGCAAGACTGGTATATCCTGCGCTCGCTGCATCAACAGATCTACGCCTACCAGCACGCCCTCTTTCGTCCCCACGATGGCGCACCTGCCATAGCCCCGGTCCCGATGCACGTTGCGATCCCACCTCCCCCCTTTGCGCTGCCCAGTGGGTCGCCGCCGCCTCTGCCATCCGGGCCACTGCCCACCAACCTCGATTCGCCCCCCTTTGCCCCAGGACTCACACCGGGCATGGAGATGGGGATGCAAGCCCCGCCCGAACAGCAGCAACCACAGATCTCGCAACTGCAGCCCACTAGAACGCGCAAGATCAGCAAGAGCAAGAAGAGGCTCGAGAAGCAGCTCAAGCAAGGCCTTCTGCGGCGCAAGCAGTTGCAGCAGGAGAACCTCTTGCTCAACTACGACAGCAACTCTACCCCGACAGCCAATAAATTACTACCTGTATCATCGACTACCATCGTCCCGCCGGCTATTTCCGAGACTGCCACTCGTGCTTCGGGTTCGACACCCGCCCCGGCTCTCGGTTTACCCTCGACGGATTCGACCCCTGTGGTCCCACTAGCAGAGGAGGCACTGCCAGTAGGAGGTTCACCTCTGAGCACTGCCTCTGATGACCAAGTCCGCTCGGAAGAAGTACTCAGGGCTATGCTCAAAGGCGGTCTGGCACGTTCCAAGGTACCTTCGACGAAGCTGCCTGCGACCACATCGAATTCTGCGACATCATCCCTGCCCCCCAATTTGTCGACGACCCAAGCGGGCAACGAGAACGCTGCAATCGCCAACGGCGCCAAGGACAAAGGCAAAGGTAAGGCCTCACCGCAGGAGATTGAGGTCATCACTCTGGACGATGACGATGATGAGATCGAAGAGGGCGAGATCCCCGTCGATCCGGTTGAAAGGCGCAAGAGCCTGACCACGCAATCATCTACGGCGAAGAAGACGACGGCGGTCCCCATTCCGATTCCGTTCCCTCCGCCTCGACCCAAAAAGAGGCGAAAGTCGTTTGAGGTTGAGATTGAAGACATGGGTGAGTCGCCCCCGCGCGGCGATTTCGAATACGATCAGGTCCCGAGAGGTCCGAGGGTGAGATTCGTTCTTTCTTTCCTGGTCCCCCTGCTTTCCACGTCCCCTCGACTGACGTATTCGCTCAGCACCGAATCAACTCTTCTCATCAGGGTTATGACCCAGCTACCTCCCCTTCCTCTCATGTGATCATGGCCTCTCCTCCCCCTCTCCTCGCTCCTTCTTGGCCCTCGAGGATGTACGATCGATGGGCTGACCAGGAACCGGGTGAAGTGGTGCGCCCAAGCTACGAGTCCTCACAGCCGCTGTCGAAGTCGCTACCATGGTATCCGCCCCAGCTGCCGGCGCCGCCATCGCCACCACCGCAACAGCACAACCGCATCGAGCGGCCTCCTCAGTTCCAGCAATCTTCGCAGCAGCAGCTCCCTCCTCAGCGGCCATCTCCGTCGCATCCGCCGCCGCCACCGCACGACGACCTGGCGCACAGTGAATTCGAGCGTAAGTCGAGTTCTTCGATCAAGACTTCTTGTGCCACCGTGCGGTCATTAGGGATGACAAGCGCATGGAGTCTGACTTTGTGGGGTAATCGTATTGTTTCTTCCTTCTTTTCCCCATGCCATGTTTGGTTGTACAGGCGAGTCGTACCCTCGATACCGAACTCCTTCGGGTGAACGGAAGCGAACGCGGTCACCTCCGACTGTGCCACCTACCGCATTTGCTTACGATCCTCGTCTTTCGAAAATGGGCTCGGTCCTTCCCGAGCACACTCCGCCGCCGTCGATGCCGCCCCCACCACCGCCACAGTTTTCGTACCCACCCCCACCACTTCCTTCCTTCTCGCATCCGCCTCCCTACCTGCAACAGTATCAGCAACAGTATCATCAGCAACCGCAGTCGCAACAGTTTCCGCACCCGCACGCGCTTCTGCATCTATACCCCCCACCTTTCCCATCTCCCTCTCCCTCCCCAGCTCCGTATCAGTACCCTTATCAACCCTCGCCTGCTCCCGCTGCCCCCCATCCTAGCCACCCCTACCATGGCTACGAACCTCCCCCTCCCCAAGGGTCTTCTCATCTTCATCCCCAACAGTTTCACCCGGGCCAGGCTGGCCTTCCTCCTCCTTCCTCTTACTTGCTCGATCCACGACCTCCTCCCGGCTTCTACGGAACGAATTCTCGACCTCCCTTCTGAAAACTTTTGACAGCCCACCTGTCCACGTTGGATACCTTCGGTCTCTTCTTTCGGCAATGCCTAGGGTGAGTAGACTCGTTTCCACCCGTCGAACGGACGCAGAGAGCTTTTTCGCATTTCTTCTCGATTCCCCCCGTTTTCCTTCTCTTCGAACCAAAACTTTCGTCGGAGCTCGTTCGCGTCGGCTTGCCAATGTTTCGTGTACGGCCAGGTCGTTTTCCTGTCTTTCCTTTGTCTGTCTCAAAAAAATGATGAAACCGCACGATCAAAAATCGCTTTTCACGTCGGTTGTGTTGATTCAGCGCGCGCGAGAGAGAAACGACGGAACAGAGCTTCCCCTCGTTTACGAGGAGCGTGAGAAGTCATCAAAGAAGAACGACCATTGCAAAGAACGTAAGAACGATGAACAAAAGAAGTGGGAAAAAGTGAGCAATGGTCGTAAGTAAGTGAAGCAACAAAACATTGGGAGAACCCTGCACATAAAAACGAGGTGGTGCAAGTGGAGGAATAAATGCGAAGAAAACGAAAGCGGAAACAGAGGGGAGGCGGTACCCTGAAATGTGCCAAGTGAAGACAAGGTGTATACAGGATAGATAGCGGATGCAAATAATATGTACAATAAAGAGCGGACACAATCATGGTTCGCTGCGGGTCGCATCGGACGCGCCACCGAGCAGCGAGGATGTTTCGCTGTCGACGTGGATCTCATCCGCCGAGACTGTTTTTTGAAATGGGCGGAAAGGGTTGCAAGGAAGATCAGCAACGCATCATCGTCAAAAACCTTGCCCGCCCAACACTTGAACTCACCCAGAAAACTCGCCCTCCCCAAAACGACCACACCCTCCCCTTGTCCTCGATCATCCTTCTCGAGATTGACGTTCTTCATACTCAACACCGCGACAAGCGCAGGGATGAGCGTCACCAACGCCAACCAATTCAACACCTTCTGCGTCTCGGTGTAGGACCGTTGGATCGCGATCCTTTCTTGACTACCGACGGGGAAGGACATGGCGAAAGGGAGGGAGCCCATAATTTTGGAAATGAGGTCGGATGTAGGGGAGGGAAGGGTTTGGTGAAGGTGGCGGGGGAGAAGGGTGGACCATATCGCTCCGGCTCCGGCTCCACCGACAGCACCGCCGATTTGGGTGATGGTCAAGAAAATGGCGGTGGCCATGCCCACATCTGAACCGGTGAAGGGGGGGTCTAAGAGTCAGTCGAAAGGCAAATAACGCTGCACGCTGCGGTGCACAACTAACCTTGGTGGCCCACGACGGACTGAACACCAATCTGAGCGGCAATCGTGGTCCAGCCGCCGCCAGCTCCTCCGATAACCTGATAACGCAGCGCACTCACCCAAAGTTAGTGCCATTGAACGACCAAGAATGACGGATCATTGTCATGATCTTACCTGACTCATGATCAACTCAAACGTTGAGGAATCAAGGTCCCTCGCACGCATCATCAACCAAACACCAGCGGCATGCGCAATGACCCCAATGACGCCGATGAACTTGTACCGGTTCGAAATCTTGGCCAACCAGCCCGCCAAGAGGGCGCTGACGCAAGCAGAGAAGATGTACGATTGGGCGATGTAGGATGCGGTCTTGGCGGAATGACCTCTTGCGACTCTGAGGGAGGATAGAGGGCTTAGCGGCCAGCTATAGGATAACATACAGCGTCAAGGTAAGGGACGCACTGGAGGTAGGACGTGAAGAAGCTCTCGTATAAGAATTGACTGCACCGATCAGAGCAACTTCGTCAGCCCCGCCGCCCTGTGCATCCGATCAGTCTTCGATAATTAAGCTCACCTCGTGAAGTGAAAGAAGCCCAAGACCGAACCCGCAACAATGGTCGTATTTCTAAGCAGTCGTGGCGGTAAGAGAGGGATCGAGGCAATGCGGAATTCGTAGAAGCAGAAGAAGCCGAGGGTGACGAGACCAGCCGCAACGAGTAACCAGATCTTGGCTGAAGGTGAACAAGTGGAAAAGAGATGTCAGTCGAGCTCTGCTGAAAGAAGAATCAGGCAAGATGTTTCCGTGGCACTCACGATCGTTCCAGCTTTCCGGTCGCTGCGCCGCAAGCGTCAAGGGCAACAAAAAGAGCGTGCATCCGAGCGTCAAGGCCGTCAAGCCGACGACGTCCAAATTCTTCCACACCTCTGCGATCTTGCCCCACGCGCTCGTATCTCGCCGCTTCCGCCTGCTGTTGTTGAAGTGGTCGAGAACACCCCGACTCAGCCGTCTCTTCGAGCTAGGGTTGATCATCCTCCCCGCTTCGACTTCTCGCATCTTGTCCTTCCTCGTCCCAATACCCACACCGAGTGACATGGTCGAAGGGGACCGTCCAACGAGAGCCGCTTCCTTCTTGATCCGCCGCCATTCAAGCATCAGAGTGCAAAAGAGCATGGCCGAGACCAGGGGCAACAAAAGGCCGAAAGAAGCGTATGCGGCGCGGTAGCCCTTTTCGCCGAAGCTGAGGAAAACTTGGGCCAATGCGGGACCAATCCAGGTTGTGACGAGCCAAGGTAGTGAGATGGTCGAGGTGATCAGACCTCGATTCGAGAGTGTGGTCGTGTCTGCAGTGCGAGTGAGAGGGCGTCGAGGTCAGCATCCGGAAGGTAGTCAGCGCGAGAGACGCCCTTCACTAGCCGCGGATCGCACTCACCCGCAACGATGATCTGCTGCGCAAGCTGTAGCCCTTGGCCACCCAGCGCGGAGAACGCTCGAGCGACGATGTACACCGTCGGTGAAGTCGCGGCGGCAGTCAAAAAGTAGCCGAGCGAGTAGATCGTGGCCGCGAGAGCAACGCCCTCTGCTCGGCCGAAAACGTCGAGAATTTTGGTCATAGGGGTGAGGCCGACAGCGAATGCGATCTGCACGAACGGTACCACAAATCGAGATTAGTATCGAGTGACTAAGAGTCAACACCCACAAGTACTGACACTGGTGATGATGACGACTGAGGAGAGCAGCGAATGCGAGCCGAGGAGCGACAAGAAGTAAGGCTCGATGGTCGGCGTAGTTTGACCCTCGAGACTTGTGAGGGTCGAAATGAGGTAGACACTGCGACATGCGACATCGACGTCAGAAGATTCGAGTCAATCCACGCCGGTGTAGTACGCACTCACCCCGCATAGATCGTGAACAAGCCGCCGGTTCCGCGTGTGCGGCCCATGAGCTCCATCTTGAGCGTGCCCCACTGTTTCGGCGGATCGTCACTCTCGCCTCGAAGCTTGGACCGCCGTAAGCGCTCCGGTGTCCCATTCTCGCCCGCCGTCCAGATCAAGTCGTCGTCATCGTCATCATCGCCATGATTATTGTAACATTCGTCGTCTTCGCTGTCGGTGTGGTCGGCGGAGCGTCTCAACGCACTCGGCTTGCGCGGGATCGAGTCCGACCTCGTCCTCGGATGGGAGTTCGAGCCGGCATCGTCGTCGTCCGAAGCGGTCGAATCGCCGTCCGAGGCGTGCATTCCATCGGTCCGATCATCAGGATGCAAGTAGGCCCCCGGGTGCGAATCGTACCGTCTTCTTTCCCTGCCCTTGCCCTTACTGCGCCAGGAAGGGGAAGCGTTCGGAGGACTGTTGGGAGCGTCGGCTCCTCCGTGGCCGTGGCCGAGGTGCCGTTGGAGTGATGCCGCGGATTGATGATGTGACAACTTGCGGGTGAGGATCTCGTGCAACGCTTCCCGGGCTTCCTCGCCGTAAGAGCTCGATCTGTGAGCGTTGTTGCCACTGCCCGGTGGGAAGGAGCCGTAGCGTGTTGAAGGGGAGGCGGAGCCCGATGTCGACCCCGTCATGGACGACGGCGCACCTCCCAGCGGCGGCAACGGCGGCATCAGAGGCGACGAGGTGGACGCTGTGACGGGGTAAGGGGCGATGGAGCGTACACCGGGTCTGTACTCGCTTCGTAAGGTGGGAGTCGATTCTCGAGACGGTCCATGACCTCGTCGTTCCTCTTCGACATGGGCAGCGATCGGACCCATCGCGGGGGACAAGCAGCGACGCTTTGGCCGGCGGCGATCGAACAGAGCAGGGGCCGAGTCGCAGGAACGTCGCAATCTTGGTGATTGAAGATGCGATTGGGATCGATTCCTAACGTACACACGAGCCTCAAGGGCTACGATGGTGCGCCAAGGCCACGCTGTACGCCAGCTAAATGCCGGCGTCGACGATCCCCTCGATCTCCGTACCTGAGGCCTGAGGCCCTGAGGCGTGCTCAAGCAATTGCCGTCGTGCTCGAACAATTGCTGAGCTGAGCCGAGCTGGGCGGCGCTGAGAGATCCCGAATGACAGAGCGCTGAACCACGGCACTTGTCCTCCCGTTGAAAGGGAAGATGGCTCACGTCGTAGAAGGCCGAAGGCCGAAGGGTGAGTCGCGTTGTAAGGAGGATACGAAACGGTCACGTCGGTCAGGATCCGAACCCGGCCCGGCCGCGTATTTGGCTCAACATGTCGGTGCCGCCTCGGCCTGCCTCGGCCCACTCTCGGCAGTCTCTCGGCCCACCGACCCCCGGATTCCACCTCCTTTCGATATTGTAATTTCCCCGTCAGCGATCGATCGGAAATGGATCCGAGACCATACAGCTTTTCATCATCCCAGGTTTTTCTGACAAGCTCGACTGGTCGCATAGCTCTACACGGCGGCTAGGTATTACGTGAGAGATTTTCTTCTTTTTTTCGCCGGGAGCTCCGAGTCGGCGCTTGCCTGCGCTTGCCTGCGCTTGCAATTCGGTGGCGCCGCGGCTTTTGTACGCTGTCGTTTCCGATCTCCCGCGCGACGTCACTTCCGAAACGATGGACACCTTCTGGAGAAAGGTGAGCCCCTCACTCCACAACAGCCACTGTGCCTACCTCGTCGAGTCCACATGATCCACATGACTGACCCTTTTGTATCTCTGTCGCCCTACCGTCCCTGGCAGCCCGAGCTCAAGTTCGCAAGTCGACCGACACACGTGCCCTTCATGAAGCCTTCTGGCGACGATGACAGCTAATGAAACCGGTCAACTACCAACACAGGATGCAGCCCTCATCCCACCTCTACTGTTCTTCGCCATCCCTGTGTTCATGATCTCGATCCGAGTCAGGAATTACCTCAAGGGATCGTCCGGCGCCAACACGTACGACCCCAAGACCGGATTGGGTAAAGGCGCCCCTGGATTCACTACAGCTGGGACAAGAAAGGTCGGTTCACATCAATGCACTGGAGTTTCACCATCTTGTCTTACTGACCCAAGTCTGACACTCCCCAACTCGTTGTGGGCACCGGCCCTCTCCTCGTCGTCATCACTGCGACCGCTTCGATCCTTGCCGCCTCCGCACCATGGTGAACCTACTACGCGATCCACCGCCACGTTCAATATACCAGGTCGCCCTTCCCGCCCATCTCGTAGCCCGCATCAAATCAGGCGAAGACGTCTCGGCCGAAGAGGTGACCGAAGCCCTCGAACTCGAAGAAGAGCGTCTCCGTCGGGAGGCGCAGGACGCGCTCGAGGCTGAGCAGAGGGCCAAGAAGGGGATCAAGACGATGAAGGTGCCTGAGAATGTTGATTCGAGTTGGTTGCCCGCGGGATCAACGATTGTGGGGGGGTCCGGGGGTGCGAGGAGGAGGAAGAAGTAGATGTTGTCCAGCGGGCGTCATGGAGAGTGCTTTTCGCTGGAAAGGGCTGTAGAGGCCCACATCAAGGTCAAAATAAGATGCATTTATTCCATTGCGTCCAGTTCAAATACAGGAGATCGCATATCAACAGAGAGATATAGGGGCGTCAGGTTCTCTAAAAACCCAGCACTGATTAGCGTTGGACCACACCGACTCCGAGCAAGCAGAACAACAAGCCGCTCAAGACACGGGGAGGGACCTGGGTCAATCCGGCCAAAGTGAAGAGGTGCATGCTCGCTTGGACGGCAAGGATGAGCTTGTCCAATTGTGTGAGCGGGCCGACGACCGAGGCGATTCGGAGGTAGTTGAGGCCTGTTCAAGTTCATTACGACCACTGAAGTCAGGGCTGAGTTTACAGGGGTGATGTATTTCATGCACTTTCAACAGACTTGCCGAATACGGTGTACATGAAGGACCCTGCCCAAAGGTCACGCAGGAACGGGTTAGCGTGGTGACAAATGTCGGCCATTCAACATTTGTGGGTCGCGACGACCGGCGGGCTCCGAGTGGACCCACTACGACACTCACCTTGGTACCATCCCTTGAGCGCCGTTCTCGCTTCCACGCTCGAGTGCTTAAGCTTGGGACCGAGTTCGTTCTGGCCCATGCTGTTCGTGCGTAAGATAGGCCCTCAGCATTCATTCATCCATGACTCTCAACGTCACCTCCGTCCGTGCATAAGTGGGGCGCATCGGATCGGCAAGTAGAAATGTGGGGACCGGTGGACCTACACCGTGTGGCCGACTGCAGTGAGTAGCGAGATGATACCCGCGATTTGGAGAGGGCGTGAAACGAGAGGATTGTTGGTTGCCATGGTGATAGTTGTCTTGACTCGAGTCTTGTGGTGCAGGGGAGGAAGCGAACAGCAGCAACTTGTCACAGCTGCTCCTCCGGGCAACTCGTGAGCCGGACGGCCGGTTTGTCAGTCTCAGCCGCGATCTGTTCCCAAGCCGAGTCGAACAAATCTTGAAATGTAAAGGGACCAGTTTCTCACGCCACATTACATGAAAATGGTACAAGAAGCTACTAGAGAAATAAAAACTCCGAGATACCCACTTCATCCCAATAGATTCAGCAAATTGGCCCCCTCGACCCCCATTCCATCGATCCCCTTGCCCAGATTGCTCGTCAAATTCTCCCATGTCGCCTTCTTTGCCCTCGCCAAGATTATATCAAGCATTTCCTTGGAGGTTGGATCGTCTTCACCGCCTTTCTCGACGGGTCGTGGTCCAAGCACCTCGGTCTTTTTGGTCGTGTACTTGGCCTTCCTCTCAGCTAGGAGATCTGCCACCGTGCTCGCCGTTTGCTCGATGCTCTCCTCCTCACGAGAGGCGGCAACTCTCAACTCATCTCGAATAGCCATTGTGATCGTCGCGTCATCCTTTCGCTTTTGTTCTTGCTTTTGAGCCTGCTTGTTGTGCGGGACCAAGTGGACCGTGGGCAGTTGACGAGGATGCAGGAATGTCTCCGAGGGGACGATGAAGAAGGCCTGCGCCTCGAGGAGCGACAACAGCACTTGATGAAGATCCAACGAAGGTTGCACGATTAATGAGGATGAAGGACTGTCCGAGGTAGCATGCGAATCCAGAGCGGAAGCTAATTTGTGGGGAAGGTTTAAAAGGTGCTCCAGAGTTGCTGTGGGGGCGGGGAAGAAAATGTGGTTGGGGGGTCAGGTTCGGGCTTTCCTCCTATGGCTACCGGAACCACGAGTGTGTAGAAACTGACGTGGATCAATCTTGATGTACACCTGTTCCTGCGTATCGGCCTGGGCCGAGAAGAAGGTGTAGATTGCGAAGAATGCTGCGACCTGTATCAAGGGCTCCGAGGTCGAGTCGGGCACCAGGCGTTCTGCAGAGGTTTCGCACCGATACAAGTCAGTGCCTTATTTGCGTTACCAACAATGGACATTTCAAGCTCTGATTGTGAACGGCACTGACCCAAGAAACCCCTGAGGATGCTCTCCCCCCAGCTCTGTCTCGCTCTCCCCTCCATTATGCCGAACAAATGGATCCTCGACCACCCTGTAGCGATCCAACACGACTTGAACACCTGGAAAGGACTTTGTTCGTCTCCTGTAGTCAGACCTCGATACGCCTCGACGAACGAGTCGAGCAGCTCGTCGACGTCCAATCGCAACGACGAGATCCAGCCCGCCGAGAGGAAGTACAGGTGATGCTGCAACACAAACGTTGTCGCAGGCGTGCTTTGGAGTGGTATCGTCGGAGTCGCAGCGACGACAGATGGAACGTCGTCTAAGGTCGAGGCGGCTCGCTGGGCACGTGACCTTGCCTCGTGTCCTGTGGGTGCTGCTGCTGCTGCTGCTGCTTGCTTTCGCCGAGATGTGCCTTCGACCGGTAGTTCAGCCTGCTCCTCGGAAGACTCTGAGACTTCCCTTGTACTTGGCCCAAGACCACGTCCTCGACCGCAAATTCGCCCTCGGGGTCTGCCTCGTGCCCCACCCCGTTTTGGAGGCATGCTGCCTTGAGGGGTGCGGGGCGAAGGAAGGAGAGCACCGAGCACCGAGCACCGAGAGCAGTCCGAGCTCCTCAGCGCAAGGCTTCTCCGAATTCTCGGGCGGGAAGATAGGGACATACGTGCTATAGAAGAACCCGTGGCGGATGGCCCTTAAGTAATTCAGTCAAAATCTCAGACAAAGTTGCACAAAGTTGCACTCAGAATGTAACCGGTTCTGCAGCTTCCCGTGCCCAGTCCAGGCGCTCTGCTGTCGAGAAGAAGTCACTCCAAGACCCGCTCAAGCCACAAAAGACCTGCTGCCGAGCTGAAGACGACTTTCCTGGTTCCTCTTAATGCTATTCCGGACTGAAAATTCTTTGCGCTCTGTCCTGCCCTCGATTCGCGGCAACTTATGATAAGCTTGCAATGATTGAAAACAGCCGTGACAATCCGATCGATGTCATGTGGGGGCCCTCACGTCCTCAGCTTGCACGAAGTCAGGGTGGTCTGTCGCGATCACTCTCCGCGCGTTCGCGCTGCTGTAGCTCTACGAATACGATGTATCTCCTCTCTTACTTTGTAAAATCAGCATGAATATGTTTAGGAACGGGATCTTGGACTGAATAGATGCCACGAACCAGCACACTATGCTCGTCTTTGGCCCAGGGGACTCCGAGAGGAGCGACTCGGCCGGAGATAGGTAGTAGCGATCGAGATCGTCATTTCGCTAGATATATCTGAACAGAAGTATAGGAGGAAATAGTGAGGAATGCCATATCGTTGGTGATATTATTACTAGGGTTTCATTGACTTTTTGAATATTCAACACTAATCTACAAGCCCCTAGAAGTTTCTTGAAGTCGGAGGGGCACTGAGGGGCATCGAGCCAAGTTAGGGGCTCGCCCCGATCTTCACGCGACTGCTCAACTCTACTCAATATTCAACTTCCTGCACTTCCATGGGTGAACGTGCTACCCGGCATTTGGGCGCCGACAACGCTGCGAACGTTCGAGTCCGAATCGACCGCTCGCACGTGATCTCTGTGAGCGATAACCATACATTAGTGACTTGGCCCGACTGCAGCCTGTCAACTTATGGTTCTTTTCGGCCTTGCTGCAAGGATTTGACGCGCCGATTCAGGCTCGCGCGCACGGACCCTTTCTCCCCCGTGGATGCTATAGCTGTGCTTCCCACACGCGGGCTCACGGGCGGCACTCGCAACGCACGTTCCCTTTCGGGCCCTTCACTGCGTTGTCGACGTTTCCTCACCAGCTTCTGCGGCTGCGTTCACCACCTGTAGGGAGGGGTGCGTTCCTCACTCCCAAGACTACCTCCCAGCTGACAAGGTCGCTGATCGAGAGTTCCATCTTGCCGGACGTTCACAGCTGCTAGCAGCTCGTTATGAAACCCTCGACGTGGCTCGCTTAGAGTAGCTCGGGGTAAGTGCTTCGATACACCCAAGCTTGTTGCACGGTGTACTTTGCACTTGGATCCCTGCAAATTCTTTGTGGGGGCATTTTGCTCCGGGCCCTTGTTGGGCAACGAGCTAAATCGCATATCTCTCAGCAGACCCTTTGCCGTCCTTTGCACCAGCCGCACCCCAACTGTCTTTATACAGTGTCTTGCCTTTGTCGCAAAGGTATGCTGAGACGATCAGTGGACTTGCTCCATCATCAGTTGCAGCCGACTGACATCCAGAAGCTTGCGTCGCAAAGCTCCCATTTGTCATCCCGCCCACCATCCCTGTGTATCACCAAGAAGTTCGGACTCTCTTCCGTTTAGATCAATCTCTTGCGGTTTTCCCCAGAAGGCTGGGTTTTCACCGCTTGAGGTATTTGTTTAACAACTCCTACATCACCAATGTTGTCCTTCGTCTTGCTGCAACTCGAACCACTATTCCGCTACGACTCGCGCGAGTGGTCAGGAGAGTCGATATCACCGAGTTGCATCCCCCGCCCCAAGGACCAGGCGCTTGGTCGCTCGTCGAGCGTCTCGTGTCGGCCAAGTAATACGACGAGCAGTCTCCGACTGAACGTCATTTGTGCCGAACTCTGTTGATTAATATAAACCAGTGGGAACCCGTTAAATTAACGGGAGGATGAAATTCAAAAAATAGCAGGATAATCGAACAGTCTACATGATATCAGCGCAGAGGTTAAGAAAACACAATACGAAGTACAGCAAAGAAACAAAATCTATCATCTTACATTCATCGCCGAAACAGCCTGCATGTCGCTTGTTGCCGGGCTTGGCTTCAAACACTCGTGCAATGAGATCCGGACGGTTGCATGCTTTATCGGCCCCAGTGCAACCTTGATTTTCGGTGAGTCGGGGTCGTACGTCATCGTGATGAGAAGCGGAGGCTTTCCATGTTTGACAACGCACGCCATCGCATCCTGGTATCGCTGCGTGATGTCGCGATTTGGTTCGGGGTCAAGCCGTTGATGCCTTGGGTCGTGGTGAGGTGTAGGTTAGTTGGGAAATGGGAATTCCCGGAACTGAGTGTTACGAAGAACAAAAGAAAGTTTGGCTGAACTGAGAGTCGAACTCAGGTCCCTTCCATTAATCAGAGTTGCTCTGACCTCTGAGCTACTCAACCAGCGGGAATAGGTCAAAGCAGCGGCGCACCCGAGTCAAGCCGGCGGCAGTTCTCCCTCCCATTGGGAGGTTGCTCGGTTGTTGACTACGCTTCAGCCACTTTTCCTTTTATTCCTAAGCCGTGTGTTGGATTCCGTCGAATAGATCGTTCGTTCGCGTTGGTCAAGATCTACGGCATGGATCGGGAAGAAAGGTCGCTCGTTTTTTTGGTCAATATCCTCGCGTCAAGGCGAGGCTTGTTTCGTTGTATTGGATCGTTTTCGCTCGGCCCCGACGGCTCAACAGCCAGCACTCGAGACTCAGCCAAGGGAGGACATCAGGCGCTGTCGGGGTGACGAGTAGCTGGGGCTTGGCTGCGGGCCTGTCAGTCCCTGGGGACCTCTAGCTCTGGCTTCGACCCCCTCCCTTGGCCCCTCGGGTGTGTTCCCCTCCTCCTCCCCTCCTCTCTGTCTTAGTATTCCTGGTTCTCCGTGTTTCCAGTCGTGAATTTTTGTATATTCTCCCCTTTTCTTTCTCTAGGCGCTCTTGCCTGGTTTTCGAGTATCTTCGCTCCCGCTCTTGGGACGTGAAGCGGCAGCAGTACTCACCGCCCGTTGGAGTCCGCGTTAGGTGCTCGGCGAGTTTTGATCTGCGCAGCGCTCTTTGCGCGCAGGGGTTTGACTTTCACCCAATTGCTTGCCGTCGTTGCTTTATAACCTCTTTTAGCTCTTTTTCTAGCGGTCCCAGCCAACCCGAAGGATTGCAATTTATGAGCCCCCAAAAAAAAAAAAAAATGGGAGCCGCGGCGGGCGGACTGGTGCGCGGCCACATCCTTAATCCTTAAATAATAATAATATAATATAATATAATATAATATAATAATAATAATATAATATAATTATAATTATGATTATAATTTAATTTAATTAATTGATTTTAATTTTTAACTATCTAAAAAGAACTGTGTGGCTAAAGAACGTCAAAGAACGTCAGAGAACGGGAGACAAACCAGGGAGACAAAGAACGTCAAAGAACAGGAACCATGTGGCGTGACGTCATAGGCAGCTCTCGGTCCAGCGCGTCCCAGCTAGCTAGCGCTGTTTCAGCACGGGTCGGCCGGCGACAGTCCGTTTCGTCTACGTTCGCCGAGGTTCCATTGAAGAGCACGTGACTCTGCTTCCTGAAGCGGTCTGCGACGACCTGTTTTGCGTGTCTATCACATCGTAGCGTAGTTCCTTCAATCATCCAGCTCCTGCCCGAGCCGAGATGTCATCTGCAAACTCTCACGTCCCGTCTCCTGTACGACAATTCATCTCCGGGCTTGAGATTCGTTCGTCTACGCTTTGAAGCAGTTCCAGACCTCGGGTAGTGTCGGCCAGTGCGCCAATTCCGCCGTTAGGGGCCCCGCCAGCGTGTCACGGCTTGCCGACACTGGGCTTCACTCCACGTCGTTCCGCGGCCTTCCGCGACATTCTATGAGCCCGGTTTGAACTGAGGCGCAGCCTTCTCCATCTTTCTCCCTCCTGCTCTTCACACCTTACCCGTCGCATCTCATCCCATCGCCACTCATCCCATCGCCCATCATGAAAGAAGCCCCAACACCACTCGCGGATGGCGAACGAACAGCTCTGTCAGTCGATGACGTCGATCGACTTGCCGCAATACGGTCCTGGCCCAGGACACGGCTCAGGTAGTTGTCACAATGCTTGGGAAGTGTCGATTGATCGATCTCTCAACAGGGATGCCTCCGTGTAGTAAGTAACGCGAACAGCAAAACGTGTAGGGGAGCAGCCCGTTGACATGATGTCAACCAACCATCCATCCAGCCTCAGCCGCAGATACCGAACGGGGGGTCGAAGGGAGAGCTCGCCCCCCAGCACAAACCAAGCGAGTTTCTGGGCGATCCTCAGATCCCATGTTTCACATTACCGGAGACGCGTCCGCGATTGACCGGGTGCGCGTCGTTCCTGATCACCGACAGCGAATTCGAGCGGAGAGGGCCGACTTGAAGGCGAAAGCAGTCGTAGTCAAAAAGCTCCGCGATGCGACCCTTGCATGGAGAAACGGGAAATTTCGCTAGCCGCTACCTCACGAAATGCGTCATCATTGTCCGAAACGTGCTTGCTCGGAGCAAAAGGTTCCCTGGGAAGGTGACGGAGGCCGAAGTCGAAACCCGCGCGGATCTGGGTCGGGATCAAAGCGACTTGCTCGAAAGAAGTGTTGCCACAGTATACGCGAAGGCGATTCATGGCCGATTGCCATCGATTAACGTTGAGGGGCGTAGCGACATCGGTCAACGCCGCACGTAAACTGTGATGGAACGGAGAGCGGAGAGCTTATCCAACCCCGACCTAGGGGCTCTCGCTGACTCGGAAGAGGCATGAACAGGAAACTAGTGTCCCGTTGAGAAGGGTCTGTAGTAGATAGGTCGAAAAATAAGTGTCTGTGTGGAATGCCCAGCTAAGACCTGGGCGGGTGACACTGGATGCGTGGAAAACGTAGGCACCGAAAAATAAGGGGCCAAAGAGGGGCTTTGAGAAAGCGACCACATTCGAGGACGGATCCGGCCGTATGATAGAAGTAAAGCCAACATGGCCGGACGATAGAAGTCAACCCAATATGGCCAAATGATAGAGGTACAGCCACTATGGCTGTACGATAGAAGTAGAGCCGAACATGGCTGTGTGACGGAAGTAAAGCCGAACATGGCCATACGGAGTAAAGCCGAACGTGGCCATACGAAGTAAAGCCGAACATGGCCATACGAAATAAAGCCGAACGTGGCCAAAGTAAAGCCGAACATGGCCATAAGGAGTACAGCCGAACATGGCCATACGAAATAAAGCCGAATGTGGCCATATGAAATAGAGCCTAACGTGGCCGTACAATAGAAGTAGAGTCGAACATGGCTGTGTGATGGAAGTAAAGCCGAACATGGCCGTATCAAAGGTGCGCGGATTGCGAATAAACTCACTGGCGATTGGAAAATTTGTGAAACAAGGCTCCCGACGAGGAACGAGTGCAGGCATCCGAGTTGAATTCGTGGCTGGGACGAATGGGTGGGTGGTCTAAGAACGTCGATCCGCAAACGATGCCGAGACTTGATGCTGGCTCCAGGTGTGAACAGACTCAATGGTATCGCTTCTGGTCGCCGCGTTGGACGCGATGTCAAACAGCTCTGACGAGACTGTGACCGGCGAGTCCGCGTAGGCCGCAACCAAACTGGGACGAGAGTGAGACGTTGTGACCTTGTATGAACTGAACGACTTCTTTTGGGAATCCGATACCCCCGCCTGGAAACTCCTGTAGAGTTCGCGGCCGAAAGAGGCTAGTACTAGGTCCTGCGGGTTCGCCCCACCACCAGACGCGTTCGCACCCGCATCAGCGGCACCAAGACAGCTAGAACCAGCACCAGCACCGCCAGTACCGGCACTAACAGGACCGCCAGCACCCACAGCTCCGCCAGCACCACCAGCACCGCGGGGGGGTGGGGCGACGGTCTCGCCGCCTCCGAGATTGATGTCCGACATGGGAATGGCGATCGCCGCAAGTGGGACACTTGTTCGTGTTGGAACGAGACAGTGGGGAGAAAGAGGTTTGTTAGCGTGGGAAGGCGTGGAAAGCAAAAATTTCTGAAGTTTCGAGCGAGCAACAGGCGATGTTGCGAGCGAGAACAGATGGTTCTAGTGAGAGGAAGTGACTCACACCGCACTCGCCTTTCGACTCGCTCGGCGCGCCCGTTGGTCGCCTTTGGCAACCGGCCAGCCTCCCCGGCCCGGCGTGCACGCACAGCGGCGGGGTCCGAAGGATGTACTCTCATCCTTCGGCATTCCCAGTTTGCCCAGCTTTCAATCGCTCCCTGCCTGTCTTCATCAATACGTCATGCCATCACGTTACCATTACCGCACCATGATGGCTGGCTCAAAGGCAGCCCTGAGCGCTCATCGATGGTCCCACCTGCGATACCCCTGGTCAACGAAGGTCATCATCAAGTATGCCGCGACTGGTCACACCACCTCGCTAAGGGTACCTGATTTGAACCTCCCCAAGGCAGTTGCTAATTTGTCTTCAAACCCGCTCCAATGCGCGGTTTACGATCCGACATTGCTTTCACGTATCTTCGCAAGCCGCCTAAAAGGCATACGCACGCAAGCGTTTGATGACCTGCTCCAGGGGCGTCTACTCGACGCTTACCTTCGCGACATCTCAGATCTAACCTCAACTGTTGTGCAGAAGGAAGCTCAGGGGGAGACCTTCTATGACGGTTTCATCATGACGTACGTCGTGCAGGCTGTACGAGCTCTCGGCAACCTCAACGACACTACCAGTATCACGAAAAGTGCCCCTGTTCATTATCTTTCTCAAAAAGGTGACGGAGATTATGTTTTGTGTTAGGACAACAAGACGATCGTCACGGTCTCGACGGAATTCAAGACGGGTTACAACTTGCGACGTTTCATGACCCAAGATCGTCAAATCAAGGGACGTATCTGGCCTGCACCACTGCGCTCGAAAATCATCGACATCCGCCTCGTAGGCCAGTCCCGTCACCTCGTCCAATTAGAAGGGGCTGCAGCCATCTTCGCCAAGGTGAGCTTCACTCACAAAAACCCTACTCTGCGGGTTCCGGACAAGCTACCCCTACTATGTATACGTGACCGACTCGTAACCACCTGAATTTGTGTTATGGTGTTTTAACAGTTAGCCCTACAGGTGCTCCGTGCCAAAGGACGTTTCGGAATCATCTTTGCTGCACCTTGGATGGTGGTCGTAGAGCTGGGTGAGTCAAAAGTAGCAGATTCTACGAGGAGCCATCACGCGACTATGGTACTGCTTATGTCCTCACACTTTCAAGGTGTAGTGGCTGATCTCGTGCTGTATCGCTCTGCGGTCAGTCGTGGAAGATGGTCCACATTATCTCCTTATCAGCAAGCTCATCAAGGTACTGCCTGGGCTGAACGATGGTAAACCCGAGGGCGGCATCAACAAGGCCGACGTCTACCCATCGGATGATAACAACGACATGCTGCAACTACTGGTCGCCTTGTTCCTCTCAAATTCGAAGGGCTTCAAGGTCGAGAACCCTTCCAAAGCGACTCGACGCTCGCTACGAGCCGCCCGAATCGAGATGGCAACGAATGGCACGGGTGGCCCTAAGACATGTCCCACAACCTCCGCCGAAAAACAAAAAGGTCGCGGCAAATCAGCACCGGCCAAGTCCGGACTGAGCGCAAGCTCGGAGGCCATCTGGTCTTCGCAAGACGTTCTTCACGTTCTTCAGACCGCCAAAGCCGCTATCTCGAATGACACGATCGAATGCGAAAGCAGGCGCTCAAACGAGACCTCCTGGTCTGAGCAAGACCTCCATGACGAAATCGCACACGCCTTCAACGTCATCAAGGTCCTCGGGCGCGACAGTCAAGGCAATAGAGGCCGAAAACCCATGGCACCTCTCGATTCGTCTTCCGCCACCGAATCGTCAGGCGAAGGAAACAGTGACACCATCGAGTCGTCGAGCGAAGAGGATCATGACCTCACCGACTCGTCCAGCCCAGCACGCAGCGAGTCACAGGAAGACCCTGGCCACAGCAAGAAGAAGGTTTGATTTCTTTCTATTCTCAACTCACATCGATCTTTACGTGTTGTTGTTCAATCGATTTGTTTTACCGCTTTCCGCGCTCGCAAAGATCCGTCTCGCAAACAAACCACGCACCTCGCATAACCAATAAAAAGCATTCGAGTCCTGAGACTCCCTGGTGATAAGCCTCTTACAGATGCATTTGTCAATATATATGCCCTTTCTATATGCCCTTGTACACTTCCCAGCGAGAACTTTTTGAAGATGGTCCGAAGAGATCGAGAGCTTCCAGTCCCAACACCAGATGAATCATTATGGGAAGTCATTCGCAAACTAGACTCTCATTTTTTTTCCTGGTTCGTGATAGTCTTGTGACCACAGTTGATCTTGTCGTGTCTTGGGAGGTTTTAAGCCGTAGTTTTCTTCACTCCGATTCTGATTTATAATCGTTTATTGATAGAACAGCGTTAATCTAATAGGTACTACTATGGACTAACGCCAAACTCACGGCTGCGTCGGCGCAAACGAGCCCCTCCGACCCTGCCCCTGCCCAGCATTCGGTTGGCCCTCAACTTGCGTAACCATTTCCAAAGGGAAGATCCCCGACAGTTGCGTCGAATCACCTTCGTCTTCTAGCGGCGTCAAAGGCTCGAATGTCGCAGTGGGCATTTGACCCGGCCTTGGCATCTGCGACGATCGGAACGCCGATGCTGAAAGGTCGCTGATCGCCGGGTTCACTCGGACGCCGAGGATACCGGCCACCTTCTCTCCCTGGGGTCCCTCCATCCGGGCAGCCAAGTCGCCTCCCCAACCAGCCCTCACCCCAACCATCGATCGGCCTCCTGTGTGATATGCCTCTCGGAAGCACCCGAGTGCCTGGCCCACCTCGCGGTCGGCTGCCCATTTGCCCGGCGTCTCTGGTCTGCTCTGTCCCCGACCCCCCACCCAGTCTTTGTGGACTTTGTATGTCCGGTCGTGTCTCGCTCGGAACGTCGCCTTGTCGAACTACGAATCCTCTTCTTTCACTCGATCTGGAAGCTCTGTCGCCGTCGCCGATTCTCGTCGGATCTTTTGGAACCGATCACCGAAACGGACTTCGAGGGGCTTCGAGCCTCTATTCAGGAGTCCAAGGGTTGCCTAGTGTCTCTGTAAGCCACCAAAGGGGGTTTTAGTGGGTATGGTTGATCCTGGTTCAGGGTCAATGAGTCCTACACTACTGGCTTCTGCCAGTGTGCGTAACAGCATTCCCTCCGACTTTTCCGAAGATTTCTAGGTATTATTATAATCATGCTGTTAATGAAGTCTATCAAATAAATTTAAAAAGAGGTGCACCGTGCCAGGGTGGGCGAGGAGGGGGCACCAATGGTATACCATCCCTCTACCAAGCTTTCCCCAGGCCAAAAGAAAAGCTGCCTTATGGCGCGTGCGCGCACGAGTTCTTTTGGCTGGCTTACTGGACCTGCCGATCTGCGCTCGGCGCGCTCGGCGCGCCCGTTGGTCGCCTTTGGCAACCGGCCAAGGGCTAACACTGGGCGGGGCTACACCGAGTCCCGACTGCCGTTTCACAGACCGCTGCCACCAGTCACGAATCGCTTGGACCGTGACGACTCTACTGCAGTGGGGCAGAACAACATGAACCGTTTGCGCACTCGCGTGACCTTTGGCGACTTGCTATCTTTCAAGTTTTCGCAACGATGCTGCTGCGAGCACACACCAATGAGGTCGAATTCACGCTCCCCAAGCCCCGTCGATCTCGTCTCGCCGCCCCCTTCGAACCCCGTCCTACGGCGCTTGCCTGGCGAGTTCTTAACCCGTTATCCATTAACGTCTGCTTTCCGCGATTCCTCGCTCCTTGACCGAGTAGAGCGGGGTCTCAAGCGGGGCATGGTGCGAACTCACACCAAACGTCAACAGCGACTACCCTATTACCCAGCGTCGGGCTGGGCGCCAGAATCAACCACGACACGTTCGACCGCAGCGAACTTAAGAGCATGATGAAGAATTGCATTGAAGACACCGTCTCTGCATTGGCGGGGCAGGAAATGCGGTTCGATTTCGAGCAAGCACCCGCGTACCTCGGTCACCCTCCGGGGAGCACGATCATCGACTTGCTGCGGACGTCCGATCAGAAGAGGATGAACAGATTCGTTTTCGAGACACACATGGAGGCAAGCAACTACAACCCTTTGCGTCCTAAATGGCTTCCGCCGCCGCCCCTTTGGATCGACTTTGGCCCGTCAGAATACCTTGACATGCGCATGCTCACAAACGACGGGAGGCTGGCGGTCAGATTGAAAGACGACGCAGGCATAGCGAAAGCAAGTCATCATATCGTCCCGGGCGATCACTGCTTCTGTGCTGTCTCCATATTTCGGCGTGCCCGCTGACCACTCTGTTGCACCGTTGTCAGCTTGCTTTTCGAATCTTGCAGAACGGCTGCCGTTTCGGAATCTTCTATTCGGCGCCATATTTTGTGCTCGCCGAGCTTGGTGAGTCGAGGCGCGACCGGCTGGGCTCATTGCAAGTTTCAAGCGAGGTCTGACAACTCTCGGGGTTCACTCTGCCCTCAGTGATTGAGGATGGGCGATCACATCTGTTGATCAGTCCGCCGTATTCCTCGGCGTTGCCCTCGGCTGACAACGGCCTGATGCCCTTCGAGCCTCAGGGCTTCCTCGCTGTTCTGCTTTCCCTCTCCATGACCTGTCACCCTTACTACACGATCGAAGGGCCTTCTATGGCTACGAGGCGCTCGTTGCGTGCCGCGGCAGCTGAGCTCGAAGAGGGCTCGGAGGAAACTCCTGCTTCGCCTCAGCCGCGTCTGGCAGTCACTGAGCTTGCTACGCCAACCCTCTTTGTCGAAGATGACTACGACGAGGGGACCACAGTGTCGGTGCGGCATCTGACCGATCAGAAAGTGAGCCGGGTCGCAGCGCAAATTCTTTTCCCGCATGCTAATACCCTCTTGTGACTATGCTTGCCTAAGATCATCTGCGATGCTGAATCAAGGCAAGATTCAGATATGCTCGCGATCGGCGTTGAGCTCGACTGCTCAGAGGTGAATCACATCGCTCATCGTGCGGTGGACGTTTGGCGAGGATCTTGCTGAGCACGCCTCATGTGCTCCGTTGTCGCAGTACTTTCCCAGCGGCCTCAGAAACGAACCCTCTCGGCAGTTGGTGCCATGGGCCGATCCCGCTTCATTGGCCACTTCCGTCACAAGCGGTCTTCCCCGCCTCGACCTCATCACCCGGATCGGCGGTGGACGAACTGCAACTGTTTGGTCTGCGCGCTGGAGCAAAACTGGCAAACGGACAACTTTGGCTCGCTCGTCGTCCGGAATCCCTATTACTCGAAGAGGGCCAAAGACTCGAATCGTTGCCAAAGTCGTCTCGGCAATGTATGCGGCGTCGATTGCTCGCGAGTACTTTATTCACACGTGCATCGTCCCTCACCTTTCGCCGGCTGCGCGTGCGTTCATCCCCAAGTTCTACGGCCTCTAACGTAGTGGATCCGATGGTTATGCGTATGTGTTTGTACTCGAGGACGTGGGGAAGGAGATCTCGGAGACAGAATGGGCATTGGATGCTGAGCTTCGTGACAGGGCGGAGTACGTGTGAATCAGGCTGGAAGGCCGAGCCTGTGAGGGAATGGCTGAACATGATCACTGACATTATGCCACTGTTGCTGTGCAGAGCGGCTTCCCAGCTGATTGCCGACGAGGGCCTTATTCATGACGACGTGTACTCGCGCAACGTCGTTCGTCGGGGCGACGGCCAGGTCTTTCTCGTGGATTGGGGTGAATCCCAGTATGAGAACTTCGCCCCCCGACGAAGCAGATTGCGGCAATGATGAGTGAATAGGAGTCTATATCCGCCTCGATGGACCCTTGGACATGCAATACGTTTGTTTCGCGTTCCCTATACAGTATTTTACTGTCCCATTCAGATAGCATTCTAGATCAACCCGCACTTGCTAGCCAAGCAGAGGGCCGGCACTCAGTCGGACAATGTGTCGTTCCATTGATAGCCTTGAGGGTGGAACATACGTACTTCTCGATTGCTTTCCTTGCCATGCACTAGATTCCAGCCTTCCAGTATCCGAAGATCGCCCGTCTCGCTCTAGAACGAGCCCGTGCCGTCCAGCGATAAATCCCCAACCCGCCATGCTGCTGTTCTCGACATCGAGCTCCTCAGAAAAACCTAAGGTATAAACCCTTGTTGGGAATATCACTATTGCAAAAGCCCTTTTGGAACGATGATAAACAAACCGCTCTTTTCCTACCCGCAAGAGATCAACAACTTCCAAGCAATCACATCGCAAACGAAAGAAATCGAACACTACTGGCTGCCGTCCTTCGTCGTCTTCTCAGTGGACGGGATTTCCGAAGAGCGAGTCGATTACCATCCTGAACTGGCACCAGCGCCGTTGGCGGCCGGTGCGGGCTCAGCAGCCCAGTCGGTCGTGGTCTCGGCACCCCAGTTGTCGGCATCCGTAGCGGCAGGGAGCGTCGAGGCGGCGGCAACGGTCGCGTTGGCGCCCTCGACCTCCCAGTCGGCCGTAGGTTGCTCCTGAGCGGGAGCGGCCTCGGTCTCGGCAGCGGCCTTGATCGCCTCTTGGTCGCGCTCGACTTCATCGGGGTCGCGGTACTGAGAGGGTGAGGGGTGGAGGAAACGGTACCGTAAGTCTTCGAGCGCCAACTTGGGAGCACAGCGAGGACAAAACCCACCAAGAAGAGATCGACCATGACGGGCCACGCGCCAGGGGCACGCGAGATGGTGCCTCGGAGGCGGAGAACCTCACGGGCGAGCATCCACCAGATGAGACCAATCGAGTTTTTGGACTTGTTGTTGGTCGGGATCGCGACGTCAACGAACGAGAGGGGCGAGTCGGTGTCGCAGAGGGCGATGACGGGAATGTTGACGTAAGAAGCCTCACGGATGGCCTGGTGGTCGACGCGAGGATCGGTGACGATGATCAAACGGGGTTCCTTGAACGAGCGAGTGATGTAGTTGGTGCTGTCGACAGTGATCCAAAGGTCAGCGCGGTTGGCACGTCGCTGTCTTCCAGCTCTCTTCCGCGCCCAACTCACAAGTTACCGGGGGTGAAGCGACCGGCGATGGCCTGGGCACCGGTGTTGGCGGCGAACTTGAGGACAGCGCGGTGACCGTAAGGGCGAGCCGAGATGACGCAGATATCGTTGGGGTTCTCGATGGCGGCGATGACTGGCGAGGATGCAAAGGAATCAGTGACCTGAAGACGTTACCGGCAGGGCTCGCTTTCTCCCTGGGACTTACTTCGGGCAGCGAAGACGAGCTTCTCCCAGGTCTTGCCGACGTTGATGACGTTGATGCCCTGCGAGACAAATAACATAGCACGGATGAGTCGCTTAGATCGCCATGCAGCTCCTGTCTCGGGGCGTCCCACAAGAAAGTCTTCGCCGGCTCCGAGATTCTTCTCCGGTACTTACATCAGCACGACGCTTCCAGACGTAGGGAGCCATCTTCTTCTCGACGCTCTTGGCACTGATGAATAGAGCGAGGGATGGACGTCAGTCTCATGAAGAACACGCTCCGGGTCCGTCGCTCGCGAGGCCGTGAAAGGGCTCGCGGCGCACTCCAGCCTGAAGTAGGGCAAGCGGGATGATCTTGGAAAACCTTACCCGATGTGGGTCTGAGCGGTCAGGAGGAGAGAGATGTCCTCCTCGGTGGCTTGCAAAGCAGCGGGCAATCGGGATGCGGGAGCCATCTGTACGATTTGTGGAGACCGAGACGGGACAGGCGCGCGAAGGCGACGACGCAGGCGTAGGGAAGGGGTAGCGGAGGTTGGTCAGTTCGGTCCAAGCTGTGCAATGCTTGTTGTATTTCGTCGAATATCTCCCTTGAACGGCCCTTTGTCGCCTCTGCACAATGGCGTACACCGGCTGTCGGGTCATACACCACCGCTCTCGTCGTCGCATCCCACTCCATTCCTTGCCTGCCTGCGATCATGCGCCGCCCTTCGCGCAGTTCGGCCCCGTTACCATTCACCCGCCAGCCTTCGCGCATGCATCCGTAGCTATTCTCGTCCACGTCCACGTCCACGTCCACGTTCTCCTCCAACTGAAATGCGTCGCACTGCAGAAGGATATGTCTGGGACTCACATTTACGGATGAGGAGCGGATGCAAGTCGACAACACCCCGGGGCCGTGCCCTTTCGCCCCCAGCGCCCGCGCCGCGCCGACTTTCGTTTTCAAAATTTACCGATGGCCCAAAAACCACGCGCGGCGCACGGACCCCCTGCACCAGAGCGTGCGCCGAGTCCCTCCAGAGTGGGCACCATGTCAGATTGCGCAATAGCTTTACGCACATTTGCTCCTAGTACAATCACCGCAGGACAAGCGCGAGAAATTCAACAAATAAAATCTCGTTCCAAGACGTCAAGCTTCTGCGAACAGGTAGTCTACTACTGCGCTTGCGGCGTCACCATCGGACCCGCATAACTCGGACCCGCATGTACAACTGCGTTCACACCCGTCGAGGTCAATCTCGTCGAAGAAGTGGATGCCGCCAACGTATGATGGTGATCGTACTGCTGTTGGGCTTTCATGGCGGCCTTCTCCTCCCTCGCGGCTTTCCTCGCCAACTTGTCCGCCTTTTGTTGTTCGCGCTCGGCTTTCTTCGCTGCGAGCTGCAACTTGCCCGTCCCGCGCGGTCGACCCCGACCTCTCTTCTCCGAATGCTTGCTCTTATTTCCTCCTCCTCCTCCTGGTCGACTGCCTCCACCTTTACGCGTCACGCAAGGCGAATGTCCGGCGTTCGAGGTCGTCGAAGGGGCTTGCACCGGTGGAGGGGTACCCCCGACGGAAGGGCCCATCGAGCCGCTGTGAGAACGTGAACGAAAGTTGGATGGGTTCGTCCAGTCGGATTCCTGGCCCGAAAAATACGATTCGGCAACGGACGACAGCCTCATCTCATTATTCGCTCCATTCCGCTGTGGCGGTGGGGTCGGACACGTGGGGTGGAGCGGTGGCAACGACTCGGGTCGAGGAGTCGTTATAGGGGTCGTGCTGATCGGCTCAGGAACGGCGTCTGCCTCCTCGACATTCCGCATTTCGACATCCTCTGCCTGCCGTGTAACCTCCTCTCCGTCCTCTGTCGGTTCTGGGTGGTTGATGTTGACGCGCGATAGCAGTATCGATGACACGTTCTCCGAGTCCCTGGCGCTCGCTTTGAGCTCGCGATCGAGGCGCATCTGCTCGCGCTCCTGCTTGCGCTGCAATCGTCGCTCGCGTTCGGCGAGCTCGGCCGCACTGAAGATGAGCTCGAAGCTGCCTTTGGTCGGCGCTTCGATGACCTTCTCGATGAGGAAACTATTGTATGCCGCTGAATAGGCTTGCGCCGCCGAAAGGGCGGGGTTACCAGCGGGTGATGCACGGTCCTCGGCGGCGATCGCCGTCGCGGCCGAGTCCTTCTTGCCCTTCGATCGACTCTTATCGCCGGCCTTGCCGTTCGATTTCGAGTTGGGTGCAGAAGAGGAGGATCCGCTCAACAGAATGCTGACAAGCGACTTTTTCTTGCCTCCGAGGATTCCGGAGCATTGGAGTGCGCCGCAGAAGCAAGGTTGTCGAGCTGGCGCGCTAGTGGCAGTGACGACGGCGGGTGTCACGCCCTCAGACGGGGTCGTGGCAGCGATCGATTCCCCGTTGGGCTGCACGATCGACTCCCCATTCGGCAGCACAGCCTTGGATGTCGAAGCCGAAGAATGAGACGAGGTTGAAGCCACGGGACCAAGGAGCGAACTAGCCAGATCAGAGCCGGATTCGTCGGCACTTTCGGCAGCAGGGGTCGCAGCCGGGGTGGTTGACGTCGTCTCGGCAGTTGCGGCAGCAGGCGCGGCCAAAGCCGTTTCAGCTGCAGCCGCTGCCGTAGCAAGGGCAACAACATTGGGATTGGACTTGATATCGCTGAAGTCTTGCCATCCGTAATTGTCTGTGATAGCGCAAGGAGCTCCGGCGCGTGAGCTGAGCAGCACGCGTGACGGAGGGAGGCGAGTGCCAGGCTTACATGTGAGCTCGGTCCCAGCGGGAATATCTTGCATCGCATACATGCCGATCTGTGAGAGTTAAAAAATCGTTAAGCGTTTGTCCAGAATGGTCGCGTAAGGCATGGCCCCCTGACCTCGTATTCCTCATAACCGGCCATCTTCCATCGGACGACTTTGACATTGGGTCCACATCTGAGAATATCCCACAACAGGGGCTCGGTCAGCTTTCGGAGATACTAACATAAATGAGGGAAGATGGGAATATTCCAGAGACGTACGAATGGTTGATGAAGCGCGACGCGTTCCCTCGCATACCCTGCAAGCGGCAATGAACCGGCATCGTCAGCCACGGCTCAGACGGAAGCGGCGCACCAATGCAGTGCGACGTGACATACCGCATCAATGACATCATAGCCGTCATAGTCCAGGAAGTAGTAGCTCTTTGCGTCCTTGTACGTCGTGAGCACACGTTTATAAGATTCATCGCGCGAGATGATCTGTCGGCAAGTGCATCTTTCGTGTCAGCACGTTGCGAGTCCCGCGACCGCCGCCCTGCACGATCTACCCCACGCGCACACGCGCGAACCTTACCTCTCCTCGATACTCCATGATGAACTGCCCTCGCGCAATGTCGACGAGAGTCTTGAGTCCAAAGCCCCGGTCACCAGTCTGTGTCAAAAGTCAGGTTAGGACCTCCTCCACGAAATTAAGACCCAAACGAGCAAATGCGCGCACCCAGACCACTAGCAGGCCGTCTTTGCCCTCGGGAATGCCTTGCCGGCGCTTGAGCGGCACATTGCTGCACCGGTCACCGCAAGGGCATGTTTTCGTGTCGCAGATGTACTGCATCATTCTGAGGTTCAAAGAAAAATCAAGTTGGCCCTAAGTGCCATCACACAGGATGTTGGCTGCTCTGTAGTGCTCACCGGTTGATACACTCGGTCCCGCAGCCGTACTCCTCGGGGTCCTCCGGCGGCTCGCACTCGCAGATCATGACCGAGTCGGCTTTCCACGGCCTTCGATTGACGTAGACATCTGAGGATCGATTCAAAACGACGAGATCAGACGCATCCGCAGACAATAGCAACCGGCCCATAACTAACTTTTGTACAGGTAACGGAAACGCTCAGGCTTGCGGCTCGCTTCAAATCTCGCTTGAATGACCTCGGGGTCCTCTGGCTCCGGCGTCGGCTCCGGCTCAGGTTCGGGTTCTTCCTCAATCTCCTCCTCCTCTTCCTCCTCGTCCTCCTCCTCTTCTTCTTCTTCTTCCTCCTCCTCCTCAGGTTCCTCCTCAACCGGTTCAGGGGTCGGTGTTGGAGGAGGTGTCGGCGTCAGCTCGCGAATGCGGATCGAGTTGAGCTCGGGGTGCGCCTTGCGCTCGGCACCGTAATGGTCGCGCATGATGTTAAACGGCAAGCGGAAGTCCCTCTCCTCTTCGAGCAGGAACCAGCCATAGTTTCTCGGCGCCCAGTTGAGTTCCGTCTCCGCATCGATCGACAAATAGTCCAAGTCCTCGGCGGTGTACTTGATCCGCGCCTTGCGCACCCGGCGCGCCCTATGTTCTTCGCGGTTTTGGATCGCGGGTTCGTAGTAGAGGCCGCAATCGAGGTAGTCCTTGTCGTCCTCACGTTCGATGATGTAGGCCCAGCCAATCGAGGATCCCCCTGTTCGTCTCGATTTGGCTGCGCGCTCGCTCTTGACCGTCGTCATGGCCGTTGTCGTGTCGTCGGGCGCTGCAACTGACGCCCCACCGCCGTCCTCGGCCGCGCCGGGCTCGAGCTTGACCCGCGAGGTCGATGACGATGCTGCACTGGATGCACGCTTTCGCTTGTTGTTGGTCGAATGCATTGACGTTGACGACTTGCGCAGCGACGACTGGCGGCGCTGTTGTCGCACCGGGGGCAACGCGACGGGCTCCCCTTGCAACAGGCGATCCATAAGGTCGGGGGTGTAGTACTTGGCCGTCGAAACGAATCGATCAGCGAGGCGTTTTGAAGCAGATGAAGAGGTCGAGGTCGAAGTCGCAGGTCGTGCAGGTGAAGGTGCTACGTCCTGCATGAACGCACTCGCCTCCGCATTCGCACTCGCACTCGTCGCCTCACCGCAATGATCCGCACGCGACGACGACGCGCCAACGGTGCCGGCGGCGGCTCCAGCTTGGGCCTGAGCTGGCTGCTGCTGAGGTTCGGCTGTGGCGGCAACGAGCACGACAGCCGCTGGGACATCCTGATGAAGAGGTGCAGGCAAGTCAAAGTCGAAGCGGACGGCGTCGGGGAACTGGGGCCATTCGAACGGTTTGCGAGTCATGGTGCCGGTCGCGGGTTTCCAGTAGGGCGAGCACATTGCGTCGACAGGGCAAGGGTCGTCGTCGAGCGAGAGAGACCAAGAGGAGCGAGCGCGGCGCTTGGGCTCGGCGAGTTCCCTCTGCTTGCGCTTGCCTGAGTCTGCCTGAGTTCGCTTCGATCTAATTCCACCCTCGAACGCCCAAATCTGCGGTGATTGTGGTCGCGTTTCGTGGGAGCAGAAAAAATCAGTCTCGGTTTGTGGAGCTCTCCCCTGGCCACCAAGTCATAGCTCCCCCCCTCTGATGATCACTCTTTTCACAATCGGCGGCTGATGAGCGATCCGAAAGGAGTCGTCGGTCCGAACCGGCCATGAGCTTTGAGAAGTCACAAGTGGTGCAGCGCATATCTTCTGATCTGGGTTTAGCCAAGGCACCGATCCGAATTCGTTGGTCCCTTTCGATTGGGCATTGTCTTTCAGTGCACCGCTGGATTCAATTCACCAGTGGACTCGTCAGCTCGGCGGACCCATGACGAGCACCGCGATTCGATGAGCTCGATGAGTGGGCCGTCGACAGTCGCCTCGCGTCGGTCCAGCGCCGCTGACTGCGCCGGCGATTGCGCTCCCTTGCCACCGAACCCATCGCGCCAAGTAAGTCATGACCCCGACCCTGCCACTCTGTATGAGCACTCGGTCTCTGGACTCTCGACGCCTCCTCGATACGCCTAGGCTACATCTCTCTGCACCACAACCACACGCCGGGAACATCGACGGGGCGCTCAAACTCGAGCCGAGAGCGGCGCCTTCGCACCCGGCGTGACTCGATGCATGCACCCTCTCCAGCCAAGCCGGTGTTGTACCAGGGGGTGCACTCTTGTTGGAGCTGTATCTACTCGACGTTTATGCTCAAATGGCCAAGAGGTCCTTCGTAGCTGTTAGCTGACACCTCATCCCTTGCCTCGCCTTGCCTCCTTCGGCCCTGGGTCTTGCCTCTGCCTCGGCTCGATTACGCTGCCTTTGTCGCCGTCGATCGTCCTCGTCGCGTGTGCTGCCGCTGCCACAGTTGCCTTCCCTGCACATCCTTGGTTTTCGGTCCAGCCATGTCGGACAAGCTTACACGGTGGGTGTGCCTCATGTGTTCTCCGCGCTTCGGGTGCCCTTCGCTAATACACCCCTCCGTGTTCCGTCTCTCGTGCCGTGCTCAGTATCGCGCTGGTCAACCCGGATCGCTGCAAGTGAGTCGACACGCATCGATCGTAGCTTGCGTTCCACTCGCCAGGAGCTGACGACTGAATTCATTATACAGGCCCAAGAAGTGCAAGCAGGAATGCCGTCGGTCATGCCCCGTCGTCCGCATGGGTTCGTCGCTTCCGTCCTTCGCATTCACCACCAGGCGCTCCGAAGAGCTGACCTCGTATTCCTCTCCTTCGTCACCTACCAGGCAAGCTCTGTATCGAGGTCGATGCGACCAAAAAGATCGCTTTCATCTCGGAAGAGCTCTGTATCGGTTGTGGTATCTGTCCCAAGAAGTAGGTGACACTTCGTGCCCATGCTCTTTCGCATTCTGCCTTCGTGGCTAACCGATTCGGCTTGCTCGACCTTCGTCCGACGCTCCTTTCTCTCCGGACAGATGTCCCTTTGAGGCCATCAACATCATGAACTTGCCGACAAACCTCGAGTCGATGGTCACGCATCGTTACTCGGCCAACTCGTTCAAGCTGCATCGACTGCCGACACCGCGCCCCGGCCAGGTCCTGGGATTGGTCGGCACCAATGGTATCGGCAAGAGTACGGCGCTCAAGATCTTGTCGGGCAACCTGAAACCCAATCTCGGTCGCTTCGATGCGCCACCAGATTGGCAGGACATCCTCAAGTACTTCCGAGGCTCCGAACTGCAAAATTACTTCACCAAAGTGCTCGAGGACAACCTCAAGCCGTTGATCAAGCCCCAATACGTCGACCACATCCCTCGCGCCATCAAGGGCAAGCAGACCGTTACGCAGATGCTCACGAACAAGCTCCAGGTCCCCGACATGCAGCCCATCATTGACGCGCTCGACCTCGACGTCATCCTCGAGCGTGAGGTGACGCAGCTTTCGGGAGGAGAGCTGCAGCGATTCGCCATCGGCATGTCGTGCGTCCAAAAAGCCGATGTGTACATGTTCGACGAGCCCTCGTCGTACCTCGATGTCAAGCAGCGTCTCAACGCAGCCCGCATCATCCGAGGCCTGCTCGGCCCCGAGGTCTACGTCATCGCCGTTGAGCATGATCTGTCGGTGCTTGATTACCTATCCGACTTTGTGTGCTGCTTGTACGGTGTGCCAAGTATGTACGGTGTCGTCACACTGCCCTTCTCGGTGCGCGAAGGCATCAACATCTTCCTCGACGGCCGGATCCCAACCGAGAACCTGCGCTTCCGAGAGGAATCGCTGACGTTCAAGATTTCGGACACGGTCGAGGAATTCTTGACCGAGAAGAATCGACGATACGTCTACCCAACCATGACCAAGACGCTCGGCAACTTCAAGCTCAACATGGAAGGTGGCTCATTCACCGACTCGGAGATTATCGTTATGCTGGGAGAGAACGGAACGGGCAAAACGACGTTCGTCAAACTCCTTGCCGGCAAGCTCGAGCCCGACGACAAGGACGACATCCAGTCACTCAACGTCTCGCTCAAGCCGCAGACAATCGCACCCAAATTCCCGGGTACGGTGCGAGAGCTGTTGATCAAGCAGATGCGAGCGGCGTACATGCACCCGCAGTTCAACACGGACGTCATAAAGCCGATGCAGCTCGAGAACATCATGGACCAATACGTCACAACGCTTTCCGGCGGAGAGTTGCAACGTGTGGCCATCGTGCTCTGCCTCGGCAAACCTGCCGATATTTACCTCATCGACGAGCCATCGGCCTACCTCGATTCCGAACAACGTATCATCGCGTCGCGCGTCATCAAGCGGTACATCCTCCACGCCAAAAAGACGGCATTCGTTGTCGAGCACGACATCGTCATGGCGACGTACCTCTCTGATCGCGTGATCGTCTACTCCGGTACCCCTTCCGTCGAATCGTTCGCCACGGCGCCTGAATCGCTGTTGACGGGTATGAACAAGTTCCTGAAGTCGCTCGAGATCACCTTCCGTCGGGACCCGACCAACTTCCGACCGAGGATCAACAAGTTTGGTTCTCAGTTGGACCACGAACAAAAAGCCGCGGGCACCTACTTCTTCACGGATGCTACTTTGGGCTAAAGTGACTAGACAGGGCGAAGGAGGAGAAGATGGGGGACTTGCTCGTCGTGGGGGGAGTTCGTCCTCTTTTGTGTGTCTTTTTGTGTGTCGCTATCTCTCCGTGTAATACACTCATGGCGTTAATGAAAAATGGATTTGACGTGGTGCGACTGATCTTCACGCGGGGGGGGGGGGGGGGGCTAGCGATGAGGCAGCTTCGTCGCGCTGCCAACTCAACGTGCCGGGGGGCTTTTCGGATTTCCTCGAGGCGAACTGTGGCAAGAACACACTCTACACATATAAGAAGACGCAGGACGGTGTTTTACTTGATCATTGCGCACATTTGTCGTCGCAAATCATTCTCGATCCCGAAGTTTTATGTAATTCATTTCGCGCTCGATCGGTTCCCGAGTGCCACGGGCGCGGGCGGGCGATCAACACCTTCGCGCTCCGATGGCCCACGGCGTCGACCACTCTCGACTTGGTCGATCCATCAGTCGCCATCGCATTCCCATCCTCGACCAAGGCAGCGATGTCCGCCGCCCCGACCGAACCGAGACGGCGGCCCGTGACACGATCCACGTCGAAGCAGAGACTCGCGTCACCCCCTCGTCGAAGGTCAGGACGTGTGGACCAAGATGAGGCGGACCAGTTCGCAATGAAGGCGCCTCGACGGTATGGTGCCTCGACCGAGCGCGAGGTCACAACACCACCGCCGGGCTCAAGGTAAGCGCTCAGCCCGGGCCTCGGGAGCCTGACAGAGGAGCTGATTTTGGGGTGGGATCTTTCCTCGCAGTAGCACAACATCGGGTGCACCGTCATTGAATCGGAAAACGGTCGTACTGGCGCTGTTGGTGCTACAGAACGCGTCCGTGTCGCTCCTGACGAGGATGTCTCGCACCCCGTCGCGACCAGGCGCGATCGTCTATGTCCCCGCCGTCGCCGTCTTCACCGCCGAACTCTTCAAACTGTCCGTGTCGCTGACGATGCTCGTACGTGATCGGAGACACAAAGCAAAAGTCCAGGGGAACGTCAAGGTCGCCAAAGCGGCAGCGCATACACTCATCCTCGCCGCCCTGTCCGATCTCTTTCGCCGTCAGCGACCCGAGATCCTAAAGCTGTCCGTACCCGCAGCATTGTACGCGTTACAAAATACGCTCCTCTATACCGCGCTATCGAATCTCGACGCAGCGACTTACCAAACGACGTACCAACTCAAATTGCTCACGACCGCGCTCTTCTCGCTCATGTTCTTCCGGCGTTCCTTGTCCTGGCGCAAATGGGCTGCGTTGATCCTCTTGACGATCGGCGTCGCGACCGTTCAACTCGAAACTACAACGGCGAACGCGACACCCAAGGCGTACGGCGGTCCGGAACAGAACCCTCGCGTCGGGTTATTGGCGATTCTCGCGGCATGCGTGTCCTCGGGTTTGGCAGGAGGATGGTTCGAATACGTGCTCAAATCGTCCGTACCGGCTTCACCACCATCCGTTCCTTCCTCACCGACCAAACCTGGGAGTCCGCACGAGAACAACCCTGCGGATCCACCACGGATGTTACAACTTCGTGCCGGATCGCCGTCGTTGTGGGTCAGGAATCTGCAACTCTCGATGCCGAGCTTGGTCTTTTCCTTTGCTGGGGTGTTGTTGTCCCCTCAGGTGGGAAACTTGAACAATATTTGGGTTGGGTTCACGCCACTTGTTTGGGGGGTCGTGTTGAATCAGGCCTTGGGGGGTTGTTGGTGGCGATGGTCAGTTTCTCCAGGTCCCTCACGTGACTTGTCGCCTGCACCGAGCTGACGATTCGTTCTTCGGTCGTAGGTTGTAAGAGAAGCAGATTCAGTCGCCAAGGGGTTCGCGACATCCTTGGCAATAGTTCGTAAGTCCCTACATCCTAAAACACCTTCCCCGTACCCCCTTCTCTCTGACTGACAACCAACCTCGCAACGCAGTCTCGACCTTGGCAGGAGCCGTTTTTTTCGGCTTCATCCCCGGTGTGCAATTCTTGGTCGGCGCGATGATGGTCATTTCTTCGACCATCTTGTATGCGATGGACAAGTCGGGGTGAGGGAGATCGTGTGGGATCTTTTGTTTTGTTTTTAATCGTTTATCGTTGCGCTGTTGTGTTACAACGAAAAGGAAGAAACGGTGTGGAATGTATGCTTCCAAACAACTGAGGGGCCAGGCTAGCGATCAGACTTTGTCCCGATCGAGGAACCTACGACACACCTCTCGACACCCCACTGATCCACGATGACCTCCACCTTCATCCCCAAATCTTCCAACATCTCGCGCACGATGGGAGCCTGCCCCTTACCCACTTCCAAAGCGACCATCCCCCCATCCTGGTGCAACAATTGGGGCAAGAGTTCCACGATCCTGCTGTAAAACACCAAACCGTCCTCTCCAGCGACGAGGGCTTTCTCGTCCTCCCAATCTTTGACGGTCGGGGCCAAGTTGGCCCATTCTTTAAGGGGGATGTAAGGGGGGTTCGAGACGATCAGATGGAAAGGTGGGGAGAGTTTTTCGAGCGTGGAGGGGTCGAAGAGGTCCAGGAGGGTGAAATGACAATGTGCGGAAAGGTCGTTGATCTTGGCGTTATGGGTCGCGCATGAGATGGAGAGTGGGGATCGATCGACGCCGAGGGCTTGGAGGGGTGGAGAAAGGACAGGGCTTGAGCCGGAGGTTTGGGGTCGATCGAGGAGGGCTTGCACGAGTGCGAGGGGTATGCAGCCTGTACCTGTTCCGATGTCGAGGAGGCGGTAGGGGGTATCGCCGAAAGGCAAATTGCTGGGGAGTAAGGTTGCGAGTTGGTTGACCCAGTACTCGGTCTCGGGTCGAGGGATGAGCAAGGGCGGTTGGACCTTGAGTGGGACTCGGAGGGGGTGAAAAGGTTGATCGCCTGCTTAGGAAGGAGGAAAGTAGTCAGCATGAGCATGAGCCGAAACAAGTGGTGGCGACCACCATTGACTCGCCTAGTATATAAGCCAGCGGTTTGTGCTCTCGTACGAGCTGGTCGACCATGTGTTGAAAATTGGAGTGCCCTCGTCGCTGCTCCTGATCCGGGTCTTTGGACGGGTCCGAGGAGGCCTGAGCCAGAGCGTATGCGCGTTTCCGTAGCCAGTGTATTTCCTCGGACGCCACTTCGGCAGCGCTTTGAGCGGGATCGCCTTGAGATATGTAGAAGGCAGTGAGACGATCATGGAGGATCTTGTTCTCGTTGGAGCAGCATGAGGGTGCGAAGCTTCCCTGTCGAGCGAGAGCAGCTGTGAGTGTCCATCGAAAGGCTGGGACGGGGACCGCTACTCGACGACGAGCAAGCCGAGGGAAGAGAGTTGCCATATAGTCCAAGCTGCTGTAGGAGGGCGAAAAATGGTAGACAGAAGCCAAGCTACGGCCCGATGCGCGACCGTCGGTCTCATTCTCGTTCCCACTGCCCCCTCCCACCCCCTCCCACCCCCACACGAGCCCACACGAGCCCACACGGCGATCGGCGAGCTGCGAGACTGCTGCGAGCTGCAGAGAAAGGTCTCGGCTCGCACCTTCCCTCCACACTCCACGCTCAGCGCTCAGCGCTCAACCTCGAACCACCCACCCACCATCCAAGCTGGCTTCCGCGGTCCTCACCGCTTCGTCGGTGCTCTCAGCGCTGCTACCCTCCTTCCTGCACCCCACTCGACTCGGAGGTAGAAAGTCACTCGTCCTCGGGCTCACTCTGGGGTTCTCCCTCTCGCTGTCGTTGACGGGTTTGGCCATCTATGCTCAGGATGCTTGGAAGAGGTCGATGGTCAGGAGAGGGGAGGCGCACGGGAAGGCAAGCAGGGCGAACGGGGTACGAGGGGGAGGTGAGGAGCAAGGAGATCACGAGGACGAGGACGAGGACGAAGGGATGAGTAAGAATCTGGTAGAGATCAGAGGCGAGGACGTCGTACATGGAGTGGAAGGGCTTATTGGTGAGTACCTATCCAGGTCCTTAGGTGCTTCTGATCTATGCGATCACTGATCGAGCTCCTCGCTTGCAGGCAACACCCCTTTGGTCCGGATCAACTCGCTCAGCGATGCGCTCGGCGTCGAGATACTCGTTCAGTCCTCTCCATCCAAGCCTACTCTCCCTAGAATTCCATTCTTACCCCACTTCTCGTCATAGGGCAAATGCGAATTCCTCAACCCTTTTGGATCCGTCAAAGACAGAGTCTCTTTACGCAGTCAGTCTTTTCCACCGACTTGGAGAATCCCCCTCGGTGAAAGATACGCGACTCACCAACGATTTGATGATGCTACAACCAGTCATCCAACAGGCTGAAAACCAGGGGCTCATCGTACCCAATACCGGATCATGCATCTTTGAAGGAACATCAGGAAGCACCGGCATTTCGATTGCTGGCATTGCGAGGGCGAGAGGATATCGAGCTCGTTGGTCCCTTCCCAAACGCTCCGATTCATGACCCACCCATATGGCTGATGCTCTTGTTGTCTCTCCGCACTTTTCTACCGGCCCCACACTCAGATATTGTCCTTCCTGATGATGTCGCCGCCGAGAAAGTGCAGTTGTTGGAAGCGCTGGGCGCCGAGGTGGAAAAAGGTGCGTGCAAAACTTGGTAGCCTTCCCCACTCGGGAGCTCTTAGACTGATTTGGTCCTTCGTCGCATCGTCGACCCAGTTCGCCCCGTCTCGATCGTCGATAAACGACACTACGTGAACCTCGCTCGATTGAGGGCCCAGCAGTTCGGTCAACGGGTCTTGCACGCTTCTACTTCGTCGTCCAAAGCGAATTCCATCGTCCCTTCCAACAACAACAGTAGCGAAGATCTTTCCCTACCCAGCGCTACAACCTCTTTCCGACCACTTCCCTCCGAGCCCTCGCTATTGATCACTTCCCAACCCAACCCAACGGCGTACAACTCCTCCTCTGTACCATCGAAAACCTACATCCCCCCAGCACGTGGTCTCTTCGCCGACCAATTCGAGAACCTGTCGAACCTCCAAGCGCATTCCCAAGGGACAGCAGCGGAGATCTGGAAGCAGACGAAAGGGGAAGTTGATGCTTTCGTTTCGGGTGCTGGGACGGGGGGCACTATTGCGGGTGTGGGGAGGACGCTGAAAGGGCATAAGAAGGGGGTTAAGATAGTGCTCGCCGATCCGCAGGGCAGTGGGTTGTTCCATAAGGTTCGTTCGGGCCCTGGCTCTATGGCTTTACTGTTGCTCATTCTATTGGCTTGTGGTGGGCATAGGTCCACGACGGCGTCATGTACTCCACTACGGAAGCGGAAGGTACGCGAAGGAGGTACCAAGTCGATACCGTCGTCGAAGGGATCGGGTTGAATCGCCTTACGAAAAACTTTGAAAAGGCGTTGCCTTTTATTGATGATGCTTTCAGGTCGGTCGATTCAGGACCGAGACAACGCGAGAGAGTGATGACTGACTGGTTCGCCCGAGACTGATTGGTGGGTGTGGGATGCGATTGATTGGACAGAGTAACGGACGAAGAAGCCATCACCATGTCCCGACACTTGGCCAAACAGGATGGTCTGTTCCTTGGATCTTCATCGGCCGTCAATCTGGTCGCTTGTGTGCGGTTGGCGCAGAAGTGGAAGAAAGAGGGTGAGCATACGAAGGGAAAGAGGAGAGGGGTGATTGAGGAAGGGGGTAAGAAGATGATTGTGACAATCTTGTGGTGAGTTGAAGATAATAGTGCTCCGGGCTTGCATGACCAACGATGGCTGACGAGCACACGAGCTTGTAGTGATTCGGGAACGCGACACTACTCGAGGTTCTGGAACGACAAAGTCCTGCAGGGCCTGGGGTATCGTACGGATCTTTCGATCGATGCCATACTCAAATTGAGCACGGCCGCGTGAGGATCTGTTCTGCGAAGACACCGAGCGTGATGATTTACAACATACACGTGTAGCAACAAGTGGACTACGATCTGAATATAATGCCAAATAAAACATTCACAGCGCCTTGGGTGAAATACGCTTCTTTCCCGAAGATCACATCGATGCCCTCCCCAACAAGATCTTGAGATCGAGTAGGACCTGTGAATACACCGAAATCAGCACCCTCCTCGAAAGGATCCGAAGTTGATGATCTGGGAGAATACGACCCACATGCCTCAACGCCCTCGTCCACGTCTCATCATTCCCGAATTGTAACTTGATGGATACGTCACCGATCTTATCCCTCACGACTCTAAAACGCTCGTGTTGGGTCGAATAGTTCAGCTTCGGATGAAGTCGACTGCTTTACCCTGACGAACAGACTCACCGATGAGGGACGTTGAACTGGGGGTCGATACTGTTGACGTATTCGTACATCTGCCTCAGGCAATCCAAGAAGGCGACCATGGCGAGGTCGAAGCGACGGTTTTGTAGTAATCTTGTTACGGCGAAAAAGTCACCACTGCCGTGTAGTTCGAGCGAGGTCGACGTCGAGGTGGACGAGGTGGAGCTCGCGGAAGAAGTGCCGCTCGTGGAAGCGGGGTGGTGCGAGTCGGTTTCGTTGAGTTTCTCTATCCTCGAAAAGGATCCGATGGGTACGAGTTTGTAGGTATGGAACGTGTAGGAGAACTTGCGGGCGATCGTTTGGAGCAGGAGGAGGGTGTGGCCCCATGCGGCGTTGATCTCGGGCCAATCGACGGGATGGTTCGGTAATCGCCCTAGACGGAGACCGTTGATGGTGCCGAAGCCGGCTTCTTGGCCTATGCAGAAAGCGTCGTCTGCGGAAAGGGGGGCGGGGGTCAGACTGGTCTGAGAGCGAGAGCAGGACGTTCGGGAGACTGACTGAATACGTTGGTCTTTTCCAATTTGATCAGCTCGCGCAAGTCATGCTCGTAACGCGTCTGGACCGAGTCGATCTTGTCCTGCATCGCCTGTGTTTGTAGTGTTTGGTTTGAGTGATCCCTCCAAAATCTGTTGGGAGAGCGAAGCACGTCTGAGTGAGCGAGATCTCGGAGCCGAGCCTTCGCAAAATGTGCTCACTCTTGTTCTTCGAGGGCGAGTTGTTCCTCTTCTGCATCGAGTAGTGCCTTTTCCTGATCGAGAGCGGCTCGTTCGGCCTCGACCTGTTTGAGCGACTGCAACGCCTCTTGTGCGGCGCGTTTCCTGCGTGCGATCTCCTTGGTCAACGCCTCCTTGGTTCCGGTGGGGCCGAGCACATCCTCGTTACGCCTGCGCTGCACGTCCTTTTCAAACGCTTCCAAGCGGTCCTTTTCCTTTTTGAGTTCGGACAGTTCCTTGTTGATGAGCGACAAGAGTTGGTCCATGCATTCGACGCAGAGCGGGTGGTCGATCTTGGACTCGGCCGAGAGCAACGAGTACAGTCGCGATAGCTGTGAGATGCGAGGGGTCAAGGGTGGCGGATCGGAGGAGGGGGATGCGTGGGCGTTCGAAGTGGTTTGGATGATCTCGGTGCGAGGTTTGGAGGGGGGCAGTACGGCGAGGGAGGATTCGACGGTCGGGACGTGGTGTGGAGCGGCGTGGGCTGGCTCGAGGACGATGTAGCTCTCGCCTGGTCCGAAATCGAGGGGAGGATCTGCGCCAGGAGGTACGGACGACGAGCCCGACGGCGGCTGGTAAGGACTGGGGATGCGCAGGGTGTGATGTGCGTCGGTGGAGCGCCAGCGAGTCGCGGCGGAGGTCGGGGTGGTCGACGTCGACGGGTTCGTGCGAGGTGGTCTCGCGGCGACGGCGGCATCGTACAACGGTCTCAGCCCCGGTCGTAGTCGAGTCAGGCTCGGTCCCGGGTCGGGGAGGTGCGCTGGATGGGGATGGCGCTCGGATTGGGATAGGAGGTCATACGTCGAGGGGGACAGCGCCGCGAGCGAGTCGTCGAGCGAGGACGGCGTCAACGGTTGACGACATCGTTGACAGTTGCCGTGCATGGTGAGACCATCCAGGAAGGGGAACTGCTGCGCGGTCCAACGTTGTGCGGTCGTACAAAAAGACAAGCTCGCGGCTCGTTCAGCGCGTCGTGTCGGCCAGCGTCACTTATTAGAGTTCACTTGATATTAGTAAACGGCAGAAGAGCGGTCAGCGCCTGCATGGCAGTCAGCCGCGCAGTTCAGCCGCGCGGTTCGGTTCAGCCGACGATCGAGCAAACCGACCTCCTTTCTCGCGCTCTTGCTCTCTCTTCTCGCTCGCTCCTTTGGCTCGGCGAGACGCGCACCGCCAACATCGACCAAGCTGATGGACCCCGTCGTATCGAGCAACGGCGGTGGTCCGTCCCATCAGGATCATGGCCACGGTCATCGTCCGAGCTCGAACCGTGCCGGCCACTCGTCATCGTCATTGTCCTCCTCCCAGTCGCTGTCCCTGTCGAGCTCTGCCCAGCCGCTGCCATCACCACCACAGCGCACCGCCTGCTCTCCTTCTCCTACAGCTACCACGATCCCCAGTCTGAAACTGAATCATGCGTCAAGCCAGTCCCAGCCGGTACCGGATCACGAGTTCCGCTCCCTCGACGACGAACTGCCGACGGTCACGCACGACTTGATCCCCCTGAGCCACATCGTACAACGTCTCGTCGCACAGGTCCACGCCGATCTGCTCAACCTCACAGAGACGTCAGTCGGACACGCGCTGGACCTTCTTGTCTCGTCCCGAGTGGGGCGGCATGCTGAGCCTCCCCCTTCTCCATCCAGTCTGCCCTCCTCATCGGACCCAGCTCGCAAGAGGGCCATCGTCGACTATGTCCTCCAAACGCGGCGCCAGCTACTCAAGCTACTCGTTCTCGTACGGTGGAGCTCACAGGCGGACGCCCTGCACAAATGCATGGTACGTGCCACCTCAGCTCGGGGCTTGCTCCGAGTCGCGCACTGATTCGGACTCACCGCCCCACGCCCCATATAGAACATTATTGGCTTTTTGGCAAGACAAAACTTCGAATTCGATCAGGCCGTACAGCGATTGCACGAGGTCAAGGACGTGTTGGCCGGCGCAAGGTCAGTCTACCGCGAGTTCAGCTCCCCGTCCGTTCAGTTGCTAACTGTCCCCTTGGCTGCGTCGTGCCAGGGTCCGCAACTATGACCTCACCTCCGCGCTTACCGTACTCTCGACCGGCCACTACCCCTTCCTCCCCTCCGTCATTCCCGAATCCTTTACCCAGCCTCTCCCACTGTCCGACTCGGCCGTGCTCGAAACCCTGGCCGAGGTCGATCAGATCCTCGCGTACCGATTGGCATGTCTCGAGAAGCTACCTCGCGCGATGAGGACCTATTGGATCAAGGATGGGAGGGTAGCTTTCCGGGTTGAGCGCATGTGGGAGGCCAGTTTCACCTATGGTGGCGAGCGCGGGAAAGAGGAGTGGTACTTGCTTGGCATCAAGTTTGTGTTCAACGTTCAGGATGCCAGAGGGGGTGAGTAGATTGAATTGTTGCCCTCTCGGCTAACTTGTCAAGCTCACACCTTCAACCCCTTCCAGTCTGGTCATCCGAACCTTCTGGACCAATCAAGGAAACAATAGTCCAACTCTGCAACCAGGAACTCGCTCGGCATCCCCCCACCGACCCATCCTCCTCCTCGACACCCAAATCCGCCCCTCTGGTCCGAGCCTACAACTTTCTACAACGGCTCGCTTTGAGCTACCAACTCGAGGCGATCGCGTCACAGGCCTCGGTATTCGCCCAAACGAAATGGATGGGGCATCTGAGATGCGTGAGAGAGTTTGACGGGCGTGGGTTAAGGGTTGATTATTGGTTACCCAAGGAAGGATCAGCTCCGACCTCGGCTAATTCGGGCTCGGGATCGTCGGCGGCGGGAGGAGGGGCTAAAACGATACCGACGGCGACGGCGCCGTGTTTGAGATTCGCGTATGGGCAACGGGATGAGGTCCGAGGGACGGAGAGGGTCGAGTTGATGCGGAGAAGGGCTTTGGACAAGTTGTTGATCGGAGGAGGCACGGGGGGGAAGCGGAAAGAGGCTACGACGACCGGTGCGCAGGGGCCAGGGTCAGAGCCGCGGCAGGACGAAACGACGGAAGAACAAGAGGATGTCGATGATGCTTTGTCGATCACGTGGACCGTGCCGAGCTCCTCGGATTCGGCTATGCCGGTTGATACGACTTCGGTCGACCTGACCTTGAACGAGAGTCTGGATCTGGAGATCTTGTTGAGACGGGTGACGACTCGACATGTCCGAAGCAACATGCTCGAGTTGTACGACCAGCTCGTCCACGAACTTGATCCGACCGATCTGGAACTCGTTTCGTCGACGAACAGCAATGCGCCTTCAATTGTGGATCGGGAGGAGGAACTTCAGAACGAGGGTGTCCCGCAGATCAAAGTCCACCTCTACTCGTCCCACTATATCCTCGTTTCTCTCTCGACGCTCTCGGGCAAACTCGAGTTCAAAGCTGTCGGCGAAGCGACCTCGTTGCGCGAAGCACGACTCCGAGGTGCGGCGGAAAAAGTCGACCATTCGCGTCGACTGCTCGGCGAAACACTGCTACGCATCCGCGCGACTACGATCCTGGACGAGGTCGACTCAAAGGCCGGCTATTTGGGCCTTGCGACGACCAAGAGGTTACCGTTGAAGAGCAACGACATGGCTCGCTTTGGATCGACGACGAGAGGGTTGCTCTTCATCCAGCTCAAAGGTGTGTCGAATGGATCCTCAACTGGAGCACAGGCCGCATCGTCCTTTGGGTGGATGTCATCGGGATCGAGCTACTACTTGGTCTTGGTGATGAACGAGTCGGGGTTTCGTTTCGCATTGATCGGGACGAGGGAAGAGGCGGATCAGATGTCGGCTTGGACGACGATCGATGAGATGGGTTGGATAGAACGTGGGTCAATGACAGGGGCGGGTCAGCAGGATCCGGGGACGGGCTTCGATGTGGGGATCGAGGATTTAAGAGACCTTTATGCTTATTGCATGTGAGTCGACTGTAAAGAGAAGGGGTCATGGATGACTGTAACTGGGAACTGATGGTGCTTTTGTGGGGTTCGATGATCCAGGAAACGCATCAGATTCTACATCATCGAATCGCAGCTTCACCTCCGACGGATCCCTTACCAACATGTGTCTCCGTCGGCTCCAGCTTCAGCATCGCGTACTGCATCTTTGACACCGACATCACCTTATCTCGTGATCCACTCCTCGGACCTCATCCCATCGCCAACGCCGATAGCCCACCGCAACATAGCGATCCATCTACTTCCGCCCAGATCTTACTCTGCCCACAATAATCTAGGCGATGCACAACAAGACCAAGTCGTCTTCCTGCTCAAGCTCAAAGCCACGCTTTCCCCACCACCCCAAAACCTCTCTCTCGCCACCCCACACGCCGATCCATCAACTCCAAACCTTTCGCCCTCCAACGTCCTCTACTCCCCCCCAACGAACGTCCTCGAATTCCGCTTCGACGATCTCGAGACCTGCGTGCAGGATTTCTTGGATGCGTATGCTTTGGTCGTCAAGAGTGTGGTGATGAAGAGGCATCGGTTGTTGGAGATCAAGAGGCAGGATCAAGCGGTGTCGTTGGTGAAGGCGGTGATGGAGGCCCAGTTGGGAGGAGCGGGGGAAGTAGCTTCGACGACAAGGACTGCATGATGTATAGTGCTCCTTTTCCTGAGGCGCAAGTTGCGCTTAATTTTTGCGTTCCCAGGTGTAGTAGATGTAGGAAAGAATGTCATAATAGTACGATAGAAGCAAGCGGACGGTGGCGGTCACATCGACGATGACAAAAGAGTAGAATAACAGCAAAGCACAAACAGCATGAAAGGAGGTAAGCCAGCCCAACGTCACAAAAGTGAGCTACGCGTATGCGTTGTTCTACGATATCGGTGGCGCGGCAACATGGGTCATTGAATCTGCTGATCCCGAGAAATTGGCGTACAACGTCGACAGCACCAGTAAATGCAGACCCAACGCATAGACGACGAATATGTTACGCGAGAACCGGTTCGACAACACCAATGTCGACAGGTGGAGGAGCACCTTCTCCAAAGGGTTGAGCATATGGATCGCCCGTCCTCGTTCCCTTCCTCTGAATGCCTCGAAAGGGTTCATCGATTCGTCGTACTTGTTTTGGAACTTGCCCAACTCTTCGTCCCCCTTTGATCCTCCAAAAGGTTTCATAGGGATGACCCTCGTATCGTCGCGATAAGATTGAAGGTAGCGCACTTTCTCGTAGAGTTTCAGGGAATCCGTTTGGAGGGATTTGATCTCGCCGCGGAGTTCGGAAATGGTTTCGAATTGGCGACGCAGTTCTTCTTCAAGTTCGGCGTTGCGTTGGCGGAAACGATCCCTTTGCGAGGTGATGATGGGGAGGATTGAAATGTCGGCTGAGCTGGTGAAACCTCCGCTTGTCCCACCCGGTACGTTCGATCCGCTCCCTCCAACACCATTAAGGTCCTTCTTGCCCACGTTGAGGGAAGCCAACGGATCCTCCCTTGCCGCCGCCGCCGCAGAAGCCAGTTGACCCCCCTGATTGATCCTCAACAAATCATTCTCCAACCGATCGTTCAAACTCCTCTGCTCATCGAACCTCGATTGTAAGCCATTCAGATCATTCGATAACGTACGATGTGTCGCGGACAATTCTTCATGTGCGACGCGAAGGGATGTTAATTCATCTTGGAGTTTACGGTTCTTGGTCATGAGGAGGTTTTCGAGTGGCTTGCCACGGTGTTGGTTCGCTTTGTCGGCGTTGGGGTCGGGGAGGCGCACGGTCTCGTCGAACGGGTGTGATTCTTCCGTTTCGAGTCCCGCGAACTCGACGTACTGTGGATGGAGCCATTTCGTGCGACCGTCAGCACAATATCAATCGTAGATCCCCACGGACCCGGACCACCTACCTTCATAATCTCCAACTCGCGCTTGATCTCATCATAATCATCAAACTGCCTCACACGCTCCTTCAAACTCTCAATCTCCTGCGCCTTGATCTCCCTGTCTTTGATCAGATCGTCGACCTTCTTCTGGCTCTCGGATCGGTCCGTCTCGTTCACTTCCTTTTGTTGTTCGAGGGAACGCATCAATCGACTGGCTTCCGTCTGGAGGTCCGAGACTTGGGCTTCCAATTGCGATACTCTGAGTTCACGAGTAATCAACATGATCAGCTCAGGATCACCTCGCTTGGGTGGTTTCAGCGCAACTCACCGCCCAGCACTTTCGCTCCCGCTTCGAACAGCCTCGATCTCGGCGCGCAGTTTCTCGTTCCTTCGTTCGACTTCGGTCACGCGGCTGTTGGCGCGTTCGAGATCCTCGGTGATGAGATCGGCTTCGGCGAGGCGAGCGAGCGTTTCTTGATCTGTCAGTAAAGGGAAGGATGAATTTCTGATCATTAGTTTCGCCGAGTCTTTGAGCGGTATAAAGTGCCTTTTTGCGAACCTTGTCGTTGACTGTGATCAAAGAGTTTGGCCTGACTCGAGTCGGCTGTGGTGCGCAATTCTCGCAGCTGTGATCGAGCGACCGAGACTTGGCGTTGCAAGTCCTTCTCCCTAAGTTCAAGACGGAGGCATGGATCATCAGTGACGCGATCGAGTGCAAGTATAGTTGAAAGGCTGCCCTGCTTACCGCTCGGCGTAATTCCTCAACCTCTCATCATACGTCGCGTGGAGCTCGGCTTCTTTCGCCCCTACATGCTCTACGACCATATCCTCCATCTGTCCAACCCCGCCCGAACCACGCATGTCAATCGAGAAAAAATTGCGACCTCATAAACGCAAGATCGCCCGACTCACCCTCGTCTCGAGCTTTTCAACCTTTTCAGCCAATCGCTTACGCTCCTTCTCTGCCGAAGCGGCCTCGCTCAATTGTAGTCTCAACGCAGCGTTCTCCTCCTTCTGTCGAGCGACCTCGCCTTCGAGGATCCTTGCCTCCGAAGCACGAGCAGTTTGGTCCTTGGTAAGAGGGCAAGCGGAAATTGCATCCCAGTGTGAGCCAAGTCATTGAATGAGCCTTGCGAGCACGACTCACGACGGCAGCATCCAACAAGGGGAAAGGATCAGGCGCTTCGGCGAGGAGTTTGTACACGCCCAGAAAGGCGTTCTCGGCCGTCTTGGAACGTTTTGTCAAGGCGTCGATTTCGCCCTGGTAGGCTGTGGGTTGGGGGGTCACAGGCGTAAGAGTCAGGTTTTCGGTTCGGTTCGCTCGGCGATTTCTGGCGGCGGAGAGCGCGACGTACCTTTGAGTAGCGTCTTGAATACCGGTGCTTTGTCCTGATCGGGCAATTTCTTGAAGTCTGTTCGCGCCCACGACGTGATCAGGGCTGTGAAGCGCAGACGGACTGCTCGAGTCGGGGCAACGAACCTCGTGTGGATTCGGCGAGCTTCTTGCGCCCCATCATGTTGTCCTTTTGGTTATCGACAATCTCCAAGCCTTGAATGTCGAGTGACTTTTGGAGTTGGGAGAGGTTAATGTCTGCACAGAAGAGTCGAGCCGATCGGTGAGCGGTGGACGTGGACGTGGCTAGGACGGACTGGATCGCGGTGGGGCAGCTGGTTGGGATCAGGGTGACTGACCTCCCCATACTTTGAGCGCGGCCGAGAAGTTGGCTGTAGAGTCGGCCATGATGACGAACGCGTTGGCTACTCGGTTGGTCGGGGTGCTGTAACCCGTGTTCCTCCCGTCTATCGTGCTCCCGCCGCCGGCCAGAGGAGCTTCTCGCGTCGGAGCGCACCAGACGTGGAACTCGACTTGGTCTTGAGGGTCAGCACGGCCGACTGGATGGAGAATTCCCTGCTGAGCAGCGATGCCTCGATGTAGAGCTGCAGCAGTATACGCGAGGCGATCGAATGACGTACGCTGCTCTCTCGACGTGGAGCGAACCACAGAGCGAACCCAAGCCCGAGTATTACGGAGTACGGAGACCACACGCGCGCGTTATTAGCCGCTTTGAGCAGCGTAGGCGAGATCCTAATCCCAGTTAGCGAGCCTCCGGGTCCGCTTTATCGCCTACTTGTGCCTCCACTTTTATTTTTATAAATTACAGGGTCATCTACTCTCTATTACGAGATGATCATCAGACCTCTGCGCGAGGTACAGCCAGAGGCAACAATAATCGCACCCGCGCCGGTCAGGATCGGAATTGGACGCGTCGGTCGGCGCAGGTCGGCGCAATTGACATTCACGGACCGTGCGACGCGTTGCTTTTGCCTTCTCGCCACTACAGCCACCGCAACTAACGGTCAAGCGGCGAGCATCGTACTCGGTCCACGGATGGCACCCGCGAGTGCTCCCTCGACCAAGATCAAACGATACCACTGTCTGTACTCGAGCCAGGTCAACAACAAGAGTGAGTCTGCCCCCGCTTCGTCTCCTCGACACGCCGACTGACCAGCTCGTACGCTGCCTCTTCAGCCAAGACTTACCAAGATGGCAAGTTAACCACCCTGCGATCTTACTTGATTCAAGCTGGCTACCATCTCCGCGCTCACCCGACCCTACTTGCTCAACGTGCAGGCTTCATCCGCCACCATCACCTCAACTCGCGCCTGTACCTGCTCTCAGCGGACAATCAACCCCTAGCCGAATCGTTCTACCGTCCACCCCGCAACCAACGTTGTGTCTTTGACGACCACTTCACACTGGACGACGATCAAGAGCTCGAATTCGACGAACAAGGCTTTGCGGTCCAAGTTGGCGAGCTTGAGTCCGAGCGGAATGTGGTCAGTCCCCGTCGGACGAGCTTGTCACGCACTTTCGAATTCTGAATCAATTTTTTTCTTCTTCTTGCAGGACCTCGGAGCAATCCAAGCTCAGACTCGCACGGCCAAGAGCGAACGGCTCGCCGCGGCCAGGCAATGGGCGCTCGAGACTCCGTCAGATTCGAATCGCTCGAAAGAAGAGCCAGACGCGAAGGCCGGGTTCAGGTTGCAGGATTTGATCGTGACGACGAGTACGAATGAGACGCACACAACTCCGAAGCGTCGACAAGAGTCCGCCAGCCATGGATCCCCAGCAGGTTGGTTCACACCTTCAACCGGAACAGCTCTTTCCTCGGTGACGCCTCAGGCCAGCAAATCGAGGCCGGCGCCGTACTCGAAGGACGTTACGCCTGCAAGATCATCTTCAAAGGCGAACACTGTGGATCATTCAGAAGCGCGCGTGATTGGTCGTACACCGCCAACGAGAGGTGCTCGAGCCGAGTTCAAACCGCCGAGGCCGAGTGCGGCTCCGACGCTCAAGAGCGCTTACTAATTCGATTAGGAGTTCCGCGTGGTATTTGCAATATATCTGGCTTGTTGTTGTACAGGTAGTTTATGCATTTTTTCAGCCGCACTTTGCCGACATTCGGTGACCGATTTGGCATAGACTCGGACTTGAGCTGCCCAAGACAAGGCCAGAGAGGTCGAGCTCGATCGACCGAGCTGGCTGGCCTCCCGATCCCACGCGGCCAACGTTAGACAAGGATTGGTGCTCTCAGTCTCTCTGCCCCGCTCTCACCCCACTTGGATCACGTTCGACCATGGCCGTACTCGATAAGCCCAACGCTCCTGCTCCTCGCGAGTTGCACAAGAGTCAAGATGTGAGCCTGGGATGACTTTTAACCGTCTGCTATCCGAACGATGCGGTCATTGGCCGCCTGGAATCGCGGATCCTCGCAGTGTGACACATCGCTGATCACAAATATCTTCCATCTCCAGAATGCGACTCAATCCAACTACCATCATATCGCGACCCAACACGTCGATCTGGAGTGGACCGTCGACTGGACCACGCGGCTCATCTCGGGTTCAGCAACGCACACCATGACCGTGCTCAAGGATGGCACCGCGTATGCCATCTTCGACGCCTCTTACCTCGACGTCACGTCCATACATCTCGTCGATGGAGATCACAAGCAGATCCGTCGACTCGAATACGACCTCCCTCCGCGTCACAAGGTCATGGGCTCGGCCCTCAAGGTCGAACTGCCCCACAAGATGGATAAGGGACAACAGGTCAGGATCAAGATTGACTATTCGACGACCAAGCATTGCACCGCTCTGGGATGGCTCAACCCTGAACAGACCCACAGCAAGAAGTAGTACGTTCGGGTCACTCAGGGGAAAATCTTGCCTCCTCCGCACCCCACTTTACCTGACTGAGATGCCCGCCCCCCCTCCCCGCAGTGGCTTCTTGTACTCGCAATGCCAAGCGATCCATTGTCGTTCGCTCGTGCCCATCCAAGACACCCCGGCACTCAAAATCACCTACACCGCAGCCGTCACCTCCCCTCTCCCCATCCTCATGTCCGCTCTTCGACTCTCTCCACCTTCGGAAGAGATCATCGAGATCGACGTCGCCAAGACCATCACCTATACTTTCAAACAACCCGTACCCATCCCGAGTTATTTGATCGCCATTGCAAGTGGGGAATTGCAGTTCGCGAGCTTGACCCAGAGATGTGGAGTTTGGGCCGCACCGGGCTTGATCCAACAGGCCGAATGGGAATTCAAGGCCGATGCCGAAAAGTTCGTCCGCGGACAACGACCATTTGATGACTTCCCCCTAACTTTTTCGTTTTTGCGTGTTCCCAGATTCATCCAAGTCGCCGAAAGCTTGACCTCGCCTTACCGCTGGGGCCGCTTCGACATGCTCGTCCTACCCGCCAGTTTCCCCTACGGCGGTATGGAGAATGCCAACATGACTTTCCTCACCCCCGCCCTCGTCGTCGGCGATCGTTCCCAAGTCGACGTCATCGCCCATGAACTCTCCCACTCGTGGTTCGGTAATGGCATCTCGTGCAATTCGTGGGATTCCTTTTGGCTCAACGAGGGTTTCACGACGTGTTGCGAGCGGATGATTGCGGGAGAGATGAGGGGTTCCGCGGCGAGGGATTTCGAGTTCATCGTCGGGATGCAAGGCTTGAAGGCAAGTTTGAAACAACAGGCCAAGACGCCCCGGTTCCAGAGGTTGCATATCCCTTACGCCGAAGGGGACGACCCCGATGATGGGTTCTCGAGCGTGCCTTATGATAGTGAGTTCACCGCATCGATTAGGATCTGAGCTTGAAAGGATTTGCTGATGCGGTGTATCTCATTAGAGGGTGCCAACTTCTTGTATCTTATCGAACGCACCGTCGGTGGGCTCGAAGTGTTCAAGCGTGAGTACCAGTGCTGCGGTCTTTTTACAACATCCCAAACTCACACACCAGTCCTCGGTCGCAGCCTATCTGATCGCCTACGTCAAGCGCTTCGACGGTCTCTCCATCTCCACCCGTGACTGGCTCGATCACTTCTGGGACTACTGGAACCAATACCCCAAGCTATCCGCCAAGCTGCGTTCCGAAATCGACTTCGACGCCTGGTTGAACGGCGAAGGTTTGGACCTCCCCAACAAGATTGAATACGACACCTCCATCGCCGATGGAGCGTATGCCCTGGCAGCGAAATGGAATACCGTGAGGGACAAATCCGAACAAGAAGTCGACAAGATGTTCAACAAGGATGATATCGAGGATTGGTCCTCCCCTGCGTTCGGGATGTTTTTGGATACCTTAACGACAAGATACGATGCCTTTGATCCCAAGATCGTCCAAGCGATCGATCGAGCGTATAGCGTCAATTCATCGACCAACCCCGAAGTATTGTTGAGGTGGTTTTTGTTCACCTTGGGATCGGGGTGTTTTGAGAAAGATGCCGCGAAATGGATTAGGGATCAAGGGAGGATGAAGTACGTCAGGCCTCTGTACGTTGCGCTGAACAAGGTCGATGACAAGTTGGCCAAGGAAACGTTCGATAAGTATGGCAAGGCGTTCTTGCATCCTATTGCTAGGGCGATGGTCGCAAAGGATTTGGGCGTTTCGGAGGAGTAGCACGAAAGGTGGTGCTGGAATTGGAGGTACGCCACATGATGTAGACGCGCGAACAAAAGTTGAAGTTGCAAACAAAGAATGAAAGAAAGAAACTTTGACTACCGTTACTCCAAGAGACTGAACGCTCCTTAAATTTGTGCCGCCTTGAGCTTGTCCGTCAGCACCTTCAACTCCTCCTTTAAACCCTTCAACGTCGCGACTTCCTGATCGACGTTACCCTCCTTGGTTTCTCCCGTCTTGAACTTCCTCACCACATCACCCTGGACCTTGATCTTGTCCTCCAACTCTAGCTGTTCAGGCGATTTAGGACCGGCCGATGCAGCCGCAGCTTCAGCAGCTTTCTTCGCTTCCTTCGCAGCCTTCTGCTGCGCTTTCTTCGATAGAGGAGCTTCGCCCGTTGCTGTTGCGGCATCAGCGGGCTTGGCCGCGCTTCCTCCACCGAACTGGGCCCTCCAAATAGGAACTTGCTTCGGATCGATCCTCGTGAACAGGTAATCCGCCTGCCCCAATCGATGTCCCGGTAACAGATCGATCTCGAACTTATCGGGGATCGAGCGAGGCGTCGCGTCCAACTGACGATAGATCGAATCCGACGTCGAAGGCATGAAAGGGTGCAAGGTCGAGCCTAGGACGTAGATCAAGTTGAGGACGAGGAGCACGACTTCTTGAGCTCGTTTAGGATCGGAAGCGAGGAGCGCGTTATCGACGTGGTTGTCTTGGATGAATTGATTGCCTCGGGACGAGATTTGCATGACCGTTTGGAGACCGGCACGGATCTTTTGGTGGTCCATTTGGTCGATGAAGGTCGTGAGGAATGTGTTGATGTCGTTGACGAAGGATTGGTCTTTCGCAGGGATGGGGAAAGCTTTGGTCGCGTAATCGATCGAGCCTTGGTTCGGATCGGGGATGACGGAATCGAATTTCGCAATGACGAATTTGATCATGCGGTTGACGAAGTTGCCCAAGTTGTTCAACAGTTCGGCATTGGCCTTGGCGACGAAATCGTCCCATGTGAATTCGGAGTCGTTCGTCTCGGGGCGGTTCTGCAACAAGTAGTAACGCCAAACCGAGGCGGGGACACCAGTCTCACGTGCGTTGGAGCCGAATACACCGACATTCTTGGATTTGGAGAACTTTGTACCTTCGTATTGAAGGTATTCGGTTGTGCTGATCGAGTGCAGCATCGTCCATGGATCGGTCGTGCCGAGCAAGTAGGCCGGGAAGAGGACGGTGTGGAATGGGACTGCAGGCGCAAATGGCATGGGGTCAGTTCGGGAAGCGGAGAGAGCAAAGGGTCGGGATCGGCCATTCACCATTGTCCTATATCGTCAACGGAGGCCCAGAATCACGCGAGTCAGTACACACGGCACGAATCGATCCTCGGAGTTCAAAACTAACCTTGCCCATGAACTGGTATAACTTGACGTTGTCCGGATTCCTCCACCAACGCTGCCATTCGTCGGTGTAGTTCGCCGTAATGGAAGGGTATCCAATCGGCGCATCGAACTGTGTCACCAGAGCATTCATCAGCAAGATGGCTCCCTCTTCCGCACCTCGTAAGTGAAAATGGCCCCCGGACTTACCCAAACATACATGACCTTGTTCTCCCACTTCTCTCCCAACTCCTCGGGCAGCTTGACGCCCCATTCCAAATCCCTTGTCATACCGCGACTCTGCAAACCCCCTTTCAACCAGCCATTCGTAAACGCCATACCATTCGCTGACCAGTCACCCTCCGAACTGGCTTTCTCGACCCATGCTTCGATTTTGGGTTGTAATTCCTTGAGCTTGATGTGCAGGTGGGCGGTCACGCGAGCGGTCGGTTTAGATCCGCAGGCTGAGCATCGAGGGTTGACGAGTTCCATCGGGGATTCGTACGTGACGGAGCAGAACTCGCATTGATCACCGCGCGCGCCCTGTGGGGTGGGGACAGAACCAATCAGCCACTTCATTACTTCCGTTTCATCAAAGGGAGTGATGGACGTACATCGTAACCGCACTTGGGGCACGTTCCTTCGACGTATCGGTCGGCCAAAAAACGCTTGTCGGTCTCGCAGTACAACTGCTGGTTCTCATGCTCCTCCATCCATCCGTTCTGATACAGCTTGAGGAAGATGTCTTGGCAAATCCTGTACACCGAGTCCAAAAGGCCCAGGTCAGTACCCCCAAGGGCCTGGCCATGGATCTCTCCGACGCGACGCACTCGGTCTGTTTCGGGGTCGACGTCCTGCCAAAGTGGTCGAAGCCGATTTCGAACCATTCATAAGCCTCGGCGTGCAATTTGTGGTCTGAGCCACCCGGACAATGATTTCTCGGTCAGTTTGGGCTACCAAAGTCCAATGGCCATACATCGTACATTTATCACACAATGCTTGCGGGCCCAGGCCTTCCTTGGCGGCCATGACTTCGGTCGTTGTACCGTACTCGTCCGTTCCGCAAATCTAAAGCCGAGAAAAGGCCGAGAACAAGCCGAGAACAAGCCGAGAACAAGCCGAGAAAAAGCCGAGGTGGGGGTGGAAGGAGGAACGTGTCGTCGCAGGGAGAAGTCAGGTAGTCAGATCCTGAACCTTGCAAGCGAAGGCACATGGAACTTTTTCTGTCGCGACCCTTGCTTGTTGCGTCGAGTGTCTTGGGTACACGAATAAGAATCGTACACTGCGTCCGGACTCACGTAGAGGACCCTCGCATTGCGCTGCCTCTGATACCTCGCAAACACATCCGCAGACAGCGTCGACCCAATGATGTTGCCTGTTACGGATCACGATATCCACCACTATCAGCATACACCCCTACAGACCTTCAATCTCCCTTCATGACCCCTATCGACCGCCGAATCACCACCCCCAAGTCGAGGCTTCTCGACCTCTGCCGACGACGTACCCAAATGCGGCTGGTTATTGACATACGGCAACGCCGACGTGATCAACACATTCTTCTCCCCATCCTCGGCGATACTGTTCCCACCTCGTCCGGCAAGGCAAACGAGCAAGTCAGTCTTTCCGCTGGGTAAAACAGCCGTGGCTCCGCGCTAGGTGATACGTACACTTTGCCTTGGGCGTTGCGATAATCGACCAATTCGACGCCGGGGCGGATCTTGCGTGTGGAAGAAGTCGAGTCGGACGCTTTCGCTGGGAAAGGGGAGGCCATGATGGTGGGAGGTCGGGTGTGTGTTCTCTCGAGAGCGGCCGGGAAAGAAGGAAAGCGACCCCCACCCTCGCTTCCGCTTCGAGTCAAGAAAAAGGCACCAAGAGTGCCAAGTCACATGTCCGCCTCTCGCACGGACCTCTCTCGGCGCACGGCGGTATCGATCTAAGAGCGGGGAAATTGCGATTGCACACAGCACAGCATCACGCCAAAAATATGTGAACGGATCCAGCCAAAAAAAAGGAGAAAAATCAGATCAAAGTCTCCACAGCTTTCAACCGTCCAAAAGCCAACAAAGGCTGGGTCTTCACCAAACTCGCCCCGTTCATTCCCTCACGACGTCTCGATCGACTCGGCCGTAGTCGACGTCGCCCTGAATCGACTCTCACCCCAACACTGGCAGCGAACTCGTCGTTGTCGTCCGAACAGACCCATCCGTCTCATCGTACGAAGGTAAGCCCATCGAAGCCGAAATGGGCGTCACCCCACCTCCCAAGAACCCTCGCGAAGCTACCTCGTAATCCGGTACCCTCGATAACCAGTCCACGGGCTCTGACTCTTCCTCGATGTCCTCTTCCCCGTCGTGGTGGTTCGGTCCATGATGGTGCGAATGATGGTGGTGGTGTCGGTGATTACCAATCGTGCCTAGCCCGTGCGCATGCGCGCTGCGGTGAGAGGAGGACAAAGGTGACGGCACCGGCGATGGGGAAGAAGCCGTTAACGACGCTGAAGTAGAACCCGCCAGCGCAATCGCCGAATTTGCAGGTGGGACCGTCGCCAAGGTACTCGGTGATGCCGAGTGTGGAGGAGTATGCGAGGTCGAGGTCGAGTTAGACATGACCGCATGCGTGTGCGTTTCAACGGGAGCCGACGACGACGCTCGTTGCGTTTTGGCGGCATGCATCGCCAACGCATGCGACAGAGCGGATGCCGAAGGGTGGTGGTCGAACGCTGTGGAGATCGGTGGAGAGCTCATGCCCGAAGAACCATGCGAGTGACCTCCCGAAGCATGTTGGAGAGATGAGCTCGAGCCGTTGCGTGAGAAGGAGGTGAGCGGTCGCAGCGGTTTGGGGATATGAAGGTGGAACAAGCCACCGCTGCCACCACCTGAAGACGCGGCAATAGGTGCGGTGCTAGCTGCTCCATTGTTGGGTGTAGGAGGGCCCGAGTGACGTCGCTCCGGACTCCCTGGCCTCGAGGACTGTCGCGAGCCGGGTAGACTGCCCGGACGGCTGCCCGGTCGACTTCCCGGACGACTTCCTGGCCTCGAACTTGGTCTTGAGCCGGCAGGGGAGGTGTGATCGAGCGTGAGCGTGTTCATCAACTCGGAATCGAACCAATGGCGGTGGTCCTCGGGATGATCCTCGTCAAAGTCGTATCCGTCTCCTGGCGGGGTCGTTATAGGGGTCGCCGTGCCCGAACTTCGTCTTGACCCATCGCGGTGGGCTCGGTGCTGCTGCGAGAGCGCCGAAAGGCCACTGAACCCATGGTGGAGGTGCGCACTGCTACTGCTGTGGCTCCGGTGAGGCGAAGCAGGTCTCGAGTTAGGAGGTGAATGCGCAGGTGTCGCTCCTGCACCCGGTGTGCCCGGCCCCGGGGTGACACCAGGAGATCGGTGACTCCACGGAGTCGGGAGGAATCCAGAGGCCAGCGAAAAGTAGGACGCCGTCTCGGCATTCGCGACTCGGTCCCGCACATGGTCTTGGTAGGAAGGGAGGTCGACTTGAGGAACATCGGAATGGGCCAGCACCCCGGACTCTCCAAAGAGCAAGTTGCGCGATCCGGCCGAGGCGAGTTGGGCCTCCTCCGCCAGCGTCGGCGAGAGGATGTGGATCGGCAGGGCACACCGCAACTCGGATACATGACCGTCGGGGTTTCGGATGAAGGCGCTCCATTTTATCTTATGGTTGATGAAGCACGGGTGCACGTTGTGGGTCGGGCAAGTCCAGACAGGTACCGGCACCTCGACGACGACATCGACTTCAGTATCTTGTCCATCATCAACGAGTGGGTCCTCACCTGCCGGATCCTCGCCTTCACCGGCCAGATGGGCATGCGGAGGTAATGCACGGGTACCGCCTGAGCTACTTCCCGCAATCGCGTTCCCGTTCCGGCCAGCCCCAGAGAAGGAGCGGCTGAAGCCGCCTGCGGCGTGGTCGAGAGCAGGTGAGGCCAGAGGACCGCTGGACTCGACGCGGATTGGGTGCGGCAAATCGGGTCGGGCCAGAGCTGCCGCGGCGTTCGACGTGCCTTGGTCGGAAACAAAGTTGTACTTGACAACGGTGGCATCCCGAGCTTCCGAGTGCGACGAACTTTTGGTGTGCACGGTGCTGTGTGGGGAACCAAACGTTGCTCATCAGCACAAGAGGAGAGTTGGCCGAAGGGACCACAACACTTACGTATGCTCGCGAATGGTAGTAACCAATGATACGATGCGCACCCCTTTTGCGAGGGGTGAGAACTTGACCAAAACGGGGACGGTCTCGCCAGCGGCGTAGGCCTTGTGGGGAATCGTGAAGGCGTACATGACCTAAAGCGAGGGGTACAGTCTCACAGTGAGCGGCTTCTCGGAGTGTAAGCTGCACCTCACTACCGGTTACCGCTCACCTTGCCGGGCCAGGTGTTTTCTGATTGGCATGATCGAGAGAGGCCCGAAGCGAAGATCGGCAATGGTGAAAGTGGGGCGGTAAAGGGGTGCCAGCAGGCGGGGCGCACATGGGACGAAAGGGGGGTAGGGCGTTGAAGCCAACGTGTCGAATTAGCTGCGCTCGTGGCATAGTCTTCGAAATGTGATTCAGACACGCACCAATCTCCAAAGTCTGGTTGTACTCGACCGCATCGACGCCAAAGCCGCGGGTGATCTTGACGACCCGCTTGGCCCTCCAGTCCGCGGCGGCGAATCCGGAGCGGGCTGCGACGGCCTTGAGCTTGTACTCGATCATGCACGCGCCGGAGTAGGTCCTCAGACTAGCAGGTAGAGATCCGGGTATATGGAGCGAAAAGGGGAACACATGTCGCCCGGCTTTGAGCGTGTGCGGGTGCGAGTGCTTGATCGCCGGGTGGGGCGTCGAGCTCGAGGACGGGTTGAGGAAGGCAAAGTCGTGATAGAACAGTGGGAAGTCGTGATGGTGTGTGGACGTGTCCCTCCAACTGACTTTGGCTCTGTGGACAGGGGGAAGGAGGAAGAACGATGCAAGGGTAAGAGAGCGTATCGCATCAATCAGCTTTCCGGGGATGAGAGCGATTAGGACCTGTGATTGGGATCGCTTCCCGAACGGGGGAGCACCGTGCAAGTTCGCCCGCAAGAGACGTCCGGAGGGTATATGATTGCGGCAAGGAAGCACACTTACGTTCCCGTAAAGTTGAGACTGATCTCCTTGAGGGTGGTGGTGTCGTGGAGGTTGAGTACGAGCTCACCATTGAGCACAGCCGGCTCGAGGTCCTCGCCGGTAAGGCCTCGCAATACGAGCTCGGACGATTCGAGGTGAATCTCGAGCGGCTCGACGTGGTGCGAGTGCCCGTGCGACAGCGACGATGACGACGAATGGGGCATCTTGGAGCGATCAGTTGAAGGGCAAGCTGGCCAACGATCTGGACGAGCGCGAGTCGAGTTGGACCAACGGTCACCGACCGGCGACAGAACGAGCTCGTTGTCGTTGAGCTCGCTATAGCCCGAAGCGCCTCAGTCTGCCTCAGTCCGCGGCCGGGATCGTTGATCGTTGATCGCTTGCGAACGGATTGATCACCACTTGTACTCGCGTTGCCGCGATGACTTGGGTGAAGAGCTGGTCAGCTGTGGCCGGGAGGGTTTCACTTCTCGAGGTGGAGATGGCAAGCGACGACGGGGATGGGCCAAGGTGATCGGTCAAAAGCGAGAGATGAAGAGCAAGCGAATGTCGTCCAAATGAGAAGGAGCAGCAGTTGGGATGTCTGCAAGCGAGTCGAGCGTGCGCGCCTTCCGCCAGCAGGGCTGCGAATGACGAGAGTGGCCAGCGCCAATCAGCCGCGCATGTCAAGCTCGGTACTACTACAGATCTGGCAGCGATCGGCCAGAGAGGTAACAAGCACCTCTAGGCTTCTGGCGGATCAAAATAAATCCAAATTATTGCCGACCCATACTCACTTCTACACCACGTCAGGGAACTCCCAGATCCAGGACCTAGACCACAATTTCCTAGTACTCGCATCGCCTCGGTTGACGTTTATCGCGCGGAGCTCACAGCTCGCGTCCGGACGGGCTTTATCGATTGCCGGCTCGAGCTCGCTATCGACGACCCAACAGATCCGAATGCTTGTGCTCTTTGATCATTCCTGACGAAAACTGGCAACGTGGCTCAAAAGTTTCTCTTGCTGGGCCGGATGCCATCATCATGACTCGTGCCTCGCGAGTTCAAGGCCCTGATATATACTTTCGGCCCGGATAAAACATCGACTATCGTTCACGTGACCTTTAAGAGCACGTGACTTCAGCGCTTCAAATTCAGCCGAGAGCCCGCCGAGACACGGCCGAATTCCTCCGCGTTCGCACTCGCAGCTTCTCTTCAACCATTATCCCGTCTGATATGTAAGCTTTTCCAAACTATATCCACCCACTGGTCCTCCGAACGACCGTATTGGATTCATGCTTTGATGGATGGCCGCCTCGCCGCCTTGCCGACGGGGATCACCTCCTGTTGGCGTTCGTTCCCTCCCGCCGATCTTCACACAAGACAAGGCAAGATATTGCTCCATTCCATGCAGTAATACTTACTTCCAAATTGCTTGATGTCCCCCAATCATACGATGCTGATAGAATAAACACGAAAACACGATTCCGTCCTGAGATGGCCCCACCCCGACCTCCCGCATAAATCAGTGACACTTCCGACCGCCTGTTCTTGGCCCGAGACCGCTCTCCACCTCATCATCGCTTCTGCCTCTTGCTCGCTCGAGCCGCATCCAACGTGTGTCCAATATTTCTAAGGTCGTTCAAGGAAGACGTGGGTTCCGGCGCAAGCAGAGTTTTCGGTCTCACAACCGAGTGCGCCTTCGTGATACCCGCCAGCGATTTTTTGATCGCCATCAGCTCGAGCTAGAAGAGGAGACATGGTCAGAGTTCATTCTTTCGGTGCACAAAAGCAAAGCTCCTCAAGAAGATGGACTGACCATCCCCGGAGCGACTTTCATTCCCTGAATGCCCCTCGCCGCTCCAATCTGACCATGCACTTTAGCCCAAAGCGCATCCGTCTTGAGCCCCAAGATATCGCGATGACACATATCATACACGAACTTGAACCTTGCCTCCTTGCCAGCTTCTCTAAAATCGGCGCTTTTGAAAGGACGGGGTCCGCGTAAGGCGACGAACGGAGAGTCGACGATCATGTCGTCTCTTGTTGTTTCGTTGGGTCGACTGGCTTGGGAAGTCGAGGGTGCCGAGGTGGCATTCGTCGACGTCTCAGAGGTCTGGGACAGGACCAGTCCCGTTCCAGGGATCAACGAAGATCGACTAGTGTTGTCGGATCGAATGCCCAATGGGGACTCCCCTACACTCTTCGGCTCGACCACGCACACTCGATCGAGCTCGGCTTCCCACTCCCCTTGAGAACCAGTGAAGAGTGAATCCCCCGAGATGGAGATATCATCGCTCATGAGATGCTGCGGACTTGGGCTCGACGTGCGATGAACCCCGAGCATTTGCTCAACTTTGTCGGCATCCTCGTCGTTGGAGTCGAGGTCATCTAGTGTGGGTGCACTACTTGGCTTCGTATACGAGACGATAGGGGCGGGAGCGACGGCTTTCAGTCTTTCGAACAGTGAGGTTGAAGAGGTGGAGGGCTCTGGCATGAGAGGTTCGAGGTAGCAACACGACGCCTGCAACGAATTCGATTCAGCATTCAAAGCATTCAACTGCAGAAACGGCTGGCTGTGCCATACGAATACTCACAATTAACGTCCTCGCCGCTTTCGCCCCTTCCAATCCCGACAACCTCGCCGATCCAAAATGATCCCCGTCCAAGATCGACCAAAGCCTCCTCGAGCAATTGACAAGATCCTCCTTCTGGTTCTTGGACGACGACTTCCAAGCATTGGACGATTTCGGTGAAGGCGATCCAGGTGCTTGGTACGCTTTGCGGATCTCGTGCTTTGAGTCCCTTTCTCTGGCCCAGGAGAATAGGAGCATCTTGTAGTCGTTCCAGGCCGTCTGCGCGGGCGAAAGGACATCAGCTTCAGCTGGGCGCAGCAAACCACATCAAGTGAGAAGTACAGAACAACGCACTTTAACATGCTTGAGAATCATCTCCAAATCCCTATAATAAGCACTCCCCTCCACGGACCTCCCCTGCTCCAGCCTCGCCATCGCCCACTCCCTCCTCCACGGGCCTGCCAGATCCTCATCCACATCCGCCTTCCACCCTTTCGACACCTCCCTCCATTTCGCAGGTGCTTTATCCAATGCCAGTCGACCTTCTTTCACCAACTCGTCCATGACATGCTTCCCAAGCCCGACAGGACGAGTCGCGAACTTTTGAGCTCGGAGATCGGCGTCGAGTCGACCTTCCTCCCTTTCGGTCCATTCGGGCGCCAGCAGGCCAGGGGGAAGTTGAGCCTGAATTTTGGGCCAGTACCGATCGTTGAGACTGAGACCCTGTTTCCTTCCATCCAGAGCGCGGGCAAAGAGGTGACCAAACAGGCGAGTTTTGGGGTGGTCCAACCCGAGGGAGTAAGCCAGCTTGGTGTGTAATTTCGAAAGTTGCCCAAATCGAGCGTCTTGGAATAGACCCGAAATAAGCATTCGAGATAGGCCATTCGAATTTGCTTGATTGATCAAGGGGAGGACGGAGTTCGACACTTTGCGACGATCGACGGCAAAGAACTCGGCGTCGCGGAAGGGCGGGTCGGCGAAAGATGGGTCTGCTTTGCTAGCGTCGAAGGCTTCGACAATCGTCGGGTCGGTGATGATCAAAAGCTTGTCACCTGTGACCAGGGGCTTCTACGTTAGCATTTCGTCGGTCAGAGAGAGAAGGTTTTAATACAATCCTGGACTTGCCATCATAATCTCCACCTGAAAGAACTGAACAAGCTGCCCTCTTGCCTTTGGAAGGAAGAATGATCAAGTCGTAGACATTGCGGAACTCGGGATAAAACACAGCTTTGAACTTCTGTACATCGCAAGGCTGGATAGCCGGCGGTCGGGTGACGAGCACATCTCCTGCAACGACGTTGCTGAACCGTGAGCCGTTCTGAATCGCCTCCGAAGCTTGGAAGAAGATCTCGCCTTCGTTGAGGAGGCCGAGGTGGTCGGCGACGACGAGGGCAGTGCGACACTGTTCCGAAGTCAACTTGAAAGACGTATTGCGCTTGATTTGGTCTTGGGCGATCCAATCCAATTTGGCACCCAGGGGTGGGCATGCCCCGACCGTCGTCCCGTCGGGTGAAAACCCAGCCTGGATCATTTCGACGACGAGCTCGAGGATCGTATTCGGTGCTCCAGACGACGCATCCAAACGCCCATCCAGTACGAACCCACTCGAATCTTCCTCATGTTCACCAACTTCAACATCGTCGATCAAGTCTTCCCCCTCCCAAGCATTGTCCCGAATCGTCGCGGGGTCCGACGAGGAGCGAGCTTTGAACAATCGTTCCTCGTGCACTCGCGTCGTCTTTTCGATATGATAGAGTACTTGTCCGAGATCTTTGAACTCAAAGAATGGGTCGCAGATCGCCTGGAGTTGCTTCTTGAGCAGCTCGCGAAAGATTTGGACGGGGACGCCGCAATGCGCGAGCACTTCAAACGTTTGCTTCCCCTGCATAGCACAAGGTGTGGAGGAGTTATTAGCACGAGGTCCATTCAGTAGGTAGCCTGAATCCTGACCAGTTTTGCCGAGTCTCTTGGAGAAGGTATCGAATGCAGCTCAAAGGTGAAACGCTGTGTCTGAGCATCGTCAAATTTCCACTGCGAGTCCCTCACTTCGATGAAAGACGCCTCGGTACCCCACGGCGAGAGGGGAACCACGGTCCATACACCTATGAGAGGATCGTGCATCAGTACTGAAGACCGCTTCAAAGTGGGATGGGATGGTCCTTGTTCGCACCTTTCCCAGGTCCCAGACGTCCTTGCGCCGCGGGTGGGAGGCCTCTTAGCAACCGACCGTCCCCCTCAGCCGCGGTCAACTTCTCCGCGATTTGTGACATGGCCTGGTCCATAAAGCAAATCAAAAGTCAATTCAGCGCCCAAGCAAGCGCGCTCAAGATGATTTGTACTTGCCGCATCAGATATCAACCCGCAGCCATCCGTCATCACGACCTCCGAAGTCATATGCGGATTATCACTTGAGAGATACTCGACCTCTCCTCTCGCAGGTTTCATCTCCGTTCGGATCGATCGCCCATCCTTCATTTTCATTTCGAACACGATGGAGACCACATCAAATCTTGCTGAATGACCCGCTCGCGCCCATACCTGAACAAAAGAGGGGCCCGTTACGGCAGCTGGTAAAGGAGTTCCAGGCGGGGTCGACTGTATGACCGCGATATGCGGACAGGTGTTATAGTCGAGTCGCCAGACCATCGCTCGTCGAGCCACGCCGTTCGGTCCAGGGATCTCGTATGTTCCTCTGATTGCACCTGTGTTGAGACGAAGATCATTTTTTCCAGTGAGTTAGGAGTTCCTGCACACGCGGCTTTGTAGTCTCCGACGCGTCAGGGCGTCACGGCGAGAATACTGACTGGGAAGATAATCAGGCGGTAGACGCTCGTCCAATTCACTGTCATCCAGGTCACGCAAAGCGGTATAGACCTTGTGCATCATGGCATACGAGACGGTCAAAGAATCCGACATGAGGTCCGGGATGCGTAAGACATGAGCCCGTGGGAAGACCACGGTTGGGATGGTCGGTGTGAGGCCGAGTTCGAATCGTGCGGCCCATTTCGCTACCGACATGGAGTGATTCAAGTTGACGTCGATATACTGTGAGGCGGTAGACAAATTTGGGACAAGTAAATCCCGATCCTCCTGTACAAGCTCGTGCCAAGCTAAGCTCATCCTACTACCCACATTCTGACAAAACTTGATGAGCGAGATCGTGGGTATCCGAGGGCCCGAGGCACACCAATAAATCATCGCATCGTCTTTGTGACAAAAGGGGAAGTACTGACGTCCAAAAATATTGATGGGGTGGTGAAAAAACTGCTGGATCGTCGAGCGCAGGGGATCCTTCGAGTCCGAGTCAAGAGATGCAGTGTGGATCAACTTGCGTTCAATCTTGAGCCTAAAGAAACGATCCGAACCGTAACGCCGGAAGATGTTGCTCCCCATGCCGACGTGCGCGGGACAAAGCCTGACGACAAGCTTCTTGGTCTGCGCATCCACCGTCAAATCTCCTGTAAAGTGGATCGTCCCAAGTTTGAAAGCGGCTTGCATCTCCTCGAGCGACTCTTGTTCTGGGATTCGCGACCAGAGCGATTCTTTTGGCGCGTCGAAGCGACGCGCGCCGGATCGGCCTACGAGGGACTGCAGGTGGTCAACCATGAGTTTGAGGTTGGGGGGTTGGGTCATAAGGGTATAGGTTTCCCAGTTGATACTTGACTGCGGAAGACCCTGATGTAGTGCTCGCGCGTGCTCCCATTGGTGAAGCTTTGGCGGGCAACAGCTGGGGTTAGCTGGGTGAAAGCATTTTTTTGAGAGTCGGTTGAACAAGAAACTAACCCAAGAGCAGGTATGCTCGAGCCTTTGTCGATGAAAGCGAGCCTTGACGATGCAGACATGGGCCGTGTTCCCCGCTTCGCACGGGTGTCCTATAAAGTTTCACGCACCCCCTTTGGGCGCGTCAGCGAAATTTCCCGAAGAAAAGGAGCGCGTCTCGTGGAGAGGAGTCATGTGAGCGAAAGGCAACTTGCCGGAATCTTGCGCCTGGATCAACGTCCAAGACGAGACGACATTCGATCTAGTATTGGAGGGGGTATATCTTGCGGTGTTCGAGGTGGGCCTTCTGAACATGAGTGGGCTCCACACCTTTTTCGTCGGAGCTGGTGCTGCCGAGTCCTCTGGAGCGCCGGCCTCGACCGACCGCTCCTCTGTTTGGGCGACGCTGGTCGAGATCGAATCCGAGCGAGGCAGTGGGGCCGAACGAGTCGTAGTAGAACTCGAACAAGTGGCCGATCCACCGAAATTAATACTTTGAAAGGGCTTTTTGAGGTCTCCAGGCATTTGCATTTGTACTGGAGCTGCGTCTTGCGCCACCTCAGGCTGGGATCTCGGCCTCGCTCGAGCGCTTGAAATTGCCGCCGGGGTCGTGTAGGGCACAAACAGCGTGAACGATCCCGGCCGTGAAGCCGCCGACGAAGACGAAGAAGATGAAGACGACGGGCGTCCGAGCCGCTGTGCAGCGTTCGACTTTGCCGGTGCCATTGTTACCGACGATGGGAGCTTGTACGGCTCTGCTCTATATGGCGACTGAACTGGCCCGTGCGTCGTAATAGCGTAGAGGTTCACGGCCGTCACGTCGCGTCTCCCCCACCTGTGACTGTCTCAGCCGGTCCTAGGGGTCGATCCAAGTTGGAGAACACGACCAGCGCCTGTGAGTGGGGTAGCCAGCGTGGGAAGTGTTGGGAAGTCAAGCTAGGAACGGAACCTGAGAAGGACGAAGGCACGGAGTAGAACACAAAGTAGAACTGCGCAATCACAGCGGAACACCCTGGCTCAAACCCCGTTGCCCGCGCGGCCTCGCGCGCCCGGGAACACGAGTCGACACGAGTGCGGAAGAGTGCGGAGGTCCGTTGAGGGTTGAGGTCTAAGCTCAACTAAGCCCTCCCTCTGGGAGGGGCTTACACCTCAGGCAGACTAAAAAGTAACCAGTCTTAGTAGCGCCGCCGCGCGGCCAGAAAACCCTATGCAAATAGGCGACCTGGGCCCGGTAGCAACACTGCTACCGACGGTAGCAACTCGGCGCCGGGACAGGCCCGTACACCTCTTCCAAGTCCGTTAAGACCACTACATTGATCATGTGACGACATGAGAGATAATAAGAAGCAAAGATTGATCTCGAGTTGAATCAGTAACCACACGTAATTTTTTAAATGTTAAGACTCTAAGCGCCTGAGGCCGGGGCTCATGCTCATGGGCGGGTGTCCAGTCACGTGCTTGACGCGTTGTAAGATGAGGAACACGTCAAATTGGCACGCAAGGAATCTGTCGCGCGTGCATGCAGGCGGCCGCCGCTGCTTCCTGCAGGACGTACTACCTGGATCGTCGCAGACTTAACCCACCCGGAGCTCGTTGCTGCTGAGCTACTACACTTGTGTTCTCGTATTCATTCCGCTCAGTCACCATGGGCCGCCCCTCGCGACTCAAACCACGCTTTCCGCGGATCAAGCCTTCGGACTACCTCGACCATCCCGATTGCCCGAATCAATACGCCACGATGCCGCTGTGCCTTGTCACTTTCGGAGGTACGATCGTCGATAAAGGAGGACGTAAGAGGCCGAGGAAGGCCAAGACAGATATGGATGCCACTCCCACCACATCTGCAACGTCAAACGTCGAAACGAGCACGAACCAACGCGTCCCTGTCGCCTCGACCTCAGTCTTCGCCAATGACCTGAACTTCTCCCACGATGATTTCAACGAGGATTATCTCAGGGACTTCCCTCTTGCTCAGCAGGCCGAGTACGAAGACCTAGGGGGAATGGATCTTTCCATGGAGCGCTGGGACCCACCCGACCCCGACTTACAACGCCCAACTCACCAGGAACTCGCACAGGAGGTTTTACCAACTCCCCGCGTCTCCGATCCGCCGGTTGCCGCTAAGCAAGAAGGTTACTTCAAGTTTATCACACTCGAGCACGAGCAGCGCGAGGGTCAGCGCGCTGCCCTTTTGGGTCTCTGTCTTGATTTACGCATAAGCACCAATGGGCAGTTTCTGCCGCTCGTTTCGAACAGCGACAAGGACGACTTGAACGTTCCTTCACCATGCCACTGTCAGCACGTGTATGCTCGCGAGGTGGTCCTGTACGACGGACTGACCGGTATGTGTCATGCCAGCTCCGTTCACCGATTTGCGCGATGCATCTTTTCTCGCCGTTGTCCTGGTATCACTGACACGTGAAACCCCCTCTGCGCCTTGCCTTTCAGTCTATTCCAAGCAAGTCACGTTCTGCGCTTCCAATCCGCCCTGTATTGCGGAAGCTGTACGCCTGGCTCAACTTGGGTTTATAGCATCGACCGCTGTCAACCCAGGATCAGCGTTCTCCTTCCGCATGATCCGCCTAGAAAACTCGCGTTGGCGTAACGCCCCTTACGCCCTCACTGGCCACGCTGCAGGCTTCGAAGACTATTTCGGGGACAACGGGTGGTCGAAACCAGAGCATTATCATGGACACCCATATGTGAGCATTTGTTATCGGTTTTTTGCCATGGGTTCTACCTGGACTCATTTGCTGCCTGATTGTGGAGCTCAGGATAAAGAGCTGAGGAAGCAATGGCAGCGGGCGATCGACGAGTTTCGCGCCATCGAAGCATCTGAGCGCGACGTTGGCGACTTTCTCTTGGGCACCGTCGACGCGCTGGCCAACAAATGCCCAGCGTGCTTCGGGCCGAAACGGCTCAACCGACCCCATCACACCCTCCAACTGGATTATATGATCGCGCTCGACGGCAACTTCCAGCAAACCCGAGAAAATAATGCGACATACGACGTCCAAGGAATAGTGCCGAGCTTGTTTCTGTCTGATAAAGCCGTCCTGGACATGAAAGCACTCGTCGAGAATACAGCGCGGCCAACGAAGAAGGTGAGGAGCGTGATATATTTGCGATCCGCCTCGAATACTGAGTAATATCGCTCCGGCCCCGTCGGAAGGCGTGCACAGAGTCGTGGAAGGCTGCTGACGGGGGCGCTGGTCGAGTCTCGTCGCGCAAGATCGATACAGGACTTGTCGCCGGCGTGTGCCGCCATGATATCGCCCTAAAAATGGTGAATCTTGAGAAGACCGGCGAAAAGTGAGTGTATTGAGCTTATGTTCTTCAACTCCAACTTGCATTTTTACTTTCACTGCTGATGCTCATGCCTGCGCTCCAATCACCTAGGCTGTACTTCGCTTTAGCCATTGTCAAGCACATCTCGGACCATCTTCCCCCAGATGCTAGGATTGGAATTTTGTACGACATCGCTTGTAATTTCAAGCACCACATTGAGAAGGTTTGCATTGACCACCTCGGCTCGGGCCCCTCTCCGATATGTCGTTGCTGATCATATGGGCTTTGTGTTTCAACCTTTTCAGGCATCTGCTGCCTGAGCTGTTTGAGCGACTCGAGTTCGCCACAAGTGTCTTCCATGCATACGCCCATACCTGGGGTTGCCAGGTTGACTACAACCCCCGTCTCATCCCGAACTTTGGATTCACTGATGGAGAAGGTTGTGAGCGACTATGGAGCGCGCTGCGCTCCCTCATCCCCATCAATCGTCCATCAAATAAGTCCCACCGCCTCGTCAATTTGGCGGTCCGCACGCAGGCAGTGAACGACGCGAACGTCTCAAGGCTTGGTCAGTGCTCCGCAGTCGCCGCTTCGTCTTTCGCCGCATTGACTCTTTGCACACGACTAGGGTCCTGGTTCACCCGCCGACTTCGCTCAGTCAAGGCTCGGAGCACTGCTGCTCGCAAGGAACTTGACGCCGTTATCGCCCACGATGCCACCTGGTCGGAGGAGGCGCTCCGCGTCGCTTGGCAAGACCAGCGACGAGCGCAAGCGTCGAAAACAGCTACGCAGGAAGCTGAGGAAGATCGTTTGAGGGAAAGCGAGCTTTATAAACTTGCTGAGGAACTTTACAGGATTGACTGCATCATGTACGTGCTTGGTGATAACTACTTGAGCTTGAGCTTGTCCTTCGTTCTCACTGACTCATCATCTTGCTGAGCAGTGACGAGTCTGAACCAGAAGCGCTTGTGGGGCTGAATTCGAAGCACGATCGTCTTGCAAGGGAGATCGATCAAGCAGCAATTGTCCAACTGCAAAGAAGTGGGACAAGCATCTCGTCCACAGGTTGGCCTTAATTCTCTTACTTAGTTTTCCCTGTTCCTGATTGCGATGACGTGCCTATTTGCTTCACAGAGCTTCGTCACTTGTGCCAGTGTTCCGTTGCGCTGCGCAAGCTTCATCAAGAAGTGATTGCCTACAAAAGTAGCCGTAAAAATTTGCTATCGACGCGTCGCGGCAGGGGCGGGTCAACACTTGGTCAGAGAGAGGCCAACAAAGCTCGCAAAACGGAAGTCAAGACACACTCTGGCGCTGAAAAGGCACGTAAGGCATACAACAAGGCTGTCGACGCGTTTCGAACGGCAGGCGGATCATCACCATCGCACCTCCTCAACAATCTTCCATCAGTCGGTAGCCTAGCATCGATTCTTGATCTTGAAGACACGGATTTCTTCTGGCAAGACGGGTTTTTCACGCATGTTGGAGCTGCTTGGGCCACCGATCCGTGGGTTAAACGGGGCATCGTTGCTGTGCGTGACCTGGATCGAGCTGCGGAGGAGTTCGCTCGGATTGGCGCCGAGGTGCGACAAACCCTTGCTTGGCTCGAAGACGAGCACGACCTCATCTCTAGTCGCCAAGCACTTTGGCTAAGCGCGACAGGTCAGTTGTCAGTCGAACGTTACTCCACTAGTCTAGATGCTGATACGTTCTTGATAACACAAATAGATTCCGCTCCAACGATTTATGACCATGATCGTGTTGAACGCGCATTTGGCAGTACCGTCTACGCAACGATCCGGGACCGTGCCCTCGTCATTCTGGAAGCTCGGATGAGGGCTCTTCAAAAGCGCGAACGAGACTGGTTCCGCGATAGCACTTTCTTACTGCTATGGTACACGACCAGAGGACCAGCGGATACGCACGAACCAGTCCCTCGAGCTCTGAAGCGTCTCACCCCGCATCTGCTGTTGAACCCGGGCAACGTCTCCAAGACGACAACAGCTACTGGAGCTGACGCGCGTATAGTGTTGCGCCTCGGGAGGACGCATCGGGCGCCTATGCAGCGCCGTCCGAGTCGTTCCGGACCACCGATGACGATCGTCTGCTCGCGCGGCGCATCACGGAGCAGCTGGATGCTGACATGAATGTAGAAGGCGCAAAGGCTTTGCATGAGATGCTGGAGCAGCAAGAGGGCATGCTATACGATTCGGACAGCTCTGATGATCTGGTTCCCGACGAGGAGCGTTCTTTGTCGGACTCTGACTCGGAAGAATGAAATGTGAAAAACACTGGCTGCAGTAATTATACCATGAGTTCGAATGATTAATGGTGTGACAATGATTACTGCATTTGCAATATCAATGTGCACGAACCATGACATGTCAGGCAGGGTTCAGCCCACTGTTCGGATGGTCGGAAGTAATGGGGAGTGCGAGCGT